ATATGTTTCTGTACACAAACCCAGCAAATGGTTGTGCCACTCAGTGTATGCTGTCCCTGCTAACATATTGCACCCGGCTACTATGTGCTGGGTTGCCTTAGAGGTCTCTTTGCAAAGTCTGCACATTGGGTCCTGTCAGGTGTGATAGACCTCTACTTCTATGGATATAGTGCTGAGCCCCTGTTTCTGTGCTGCTAGGACCTCAATGCTGTTTTTCAGTCCTGCTTTTTCCAACCACTGGTAGGATTTCAAAATGTGAGCAACATCTACTGTTGGTGGTACATCCCATGAAAAGGTTTGTCTTGCCATGGAAGCTTTTCCTTTTCTACCTGTTATTGTCTCAGGAATTCCCCCAGTATTTTGATCCATCTTCATAATGTACTTGTGGATGCTCTGTGTTTGGTAGGACATGAGTGTTCATTGAGTGAATCTTGTACCTGCCTTTGAGGTAAGACTTAAGCACTTGTCTGACTTTTTTGGAGGTACTTGGATGTTGCTATCCTCCTTGCCTCCAGTGGTGGATCCGAAAGGGTGGGAGGCAACTGGCCACTAGAAAATAGTGCTGACCCGGAGTCTCCCCTGCCGGCCCATGCTATCCAAGTGCCAGCTCTGCTGTTTGCCTTCACAGACACACATACTCACTCACTAACAGACACACACTCACTAACAGACACACACACACACACACTAACAGACAAACACACACACTAACAGACACACACTCACTAACAGACACACACACACTAACAGACAAACACACACACTAACAGACACACACACACTAACAGACACACACACACACACACACACACTAAGAGACACACACACACACACTCACTAACAGACACACACACTCACTCACATTAACACACTCACTTTTCTTTTTTAAATTTAACCCCAGCCTCCTTACCTTTCGGAATGCTGAGGTGGGGGGGGTTCTGGGGCGGGCGGTGCTGGAGATGGAGCACTGTCCCCTGAGCTGTCTGCTCTGCTCGCTCACGCGCCGCAGAGTGATGCCGGAAGCCGCAATATGATGTCAAAGGCATTTGCCCTGGGCATTTGGGGGCGGCTTGTTGCCTCGCAGCTAATACGTCCCTGCTCATACACACTGACCCCCCATATACACACTGCAACCCTCACACAAAAACATACTATCCCCCTTACAGACACACTGCGCCACTAACACACAAACACACTGCTCCCAATACATACACAGCCCCCAATACACACGCTGCACCCCTCTCACACACTCAATTTCCCCATAAACACACACTGCCCGTCCATACACACACATTGACACCCATACACACACACACTGCACCCATCACACACATACACACTACTGCCCCCATCCCGGCAGACCACAGGTAAGTTATCAAACGGTTTTCTAAATGGTTTGACAACTTACTGGGAGGGCGCCACGGCACTCATGGCACCAAAATCACTACAGAAAGCTGTAGTGGCTATTGTGCCTGGATTATTTCTTTATATAATCTGCCAGTGCCCCTCCCGAGATTAAGTTGCCTCTTCCTCATGATTGCCATGTACTTGTTTTCTATGTCACATATTTGGCCTTCTGGCGGATTAACTCCTTCATCTCTGATTATCTTCCTCTTTTTGCTATCATCCACTTACACTTACTTAGTATGAACGACATTCCGATGTCCTTGCTGCCAACCAGGCCCCGACTGGCCATCGGGCACACCGGGCAAATGCCCGGTGGGCCATGGTGGCCATGGGCTGAGGCCGGAGGGGAGGTCCCAGGCACTCTCTCACAGCACTCTCACACACACAGCACTCTCACACACACACATCACTCTCACACACATCACACACAGCACTCACTCACAGCACTCTCACACCCATCACACACATCACTCTCTCACAGCACTCTCACACACACAGCACTCTCTCACTGCACTCTCACACACACAGCACTCTCACACAGCACTCTCACACACACAGCACTCTCACACCCATCACACACAGCACTCTCTTACCCATCACTCTCTCACCCATCACTCTCACACACACTCCGCACTCTCACACACACATACTGCACCCCTCACATACACACAGAACCCCCCCAACACACTGCACCACACACATACACAATACTTCCAAATATATATATACACATATACACACACACTACACTCTTAACATACACACTCTGGATCCCCTATACACACACACTAGATTCCTTGTAAGCAAACACGTACTACACCCCTAAACACACACTACATCACCTATATACACACACACACACACACACACACACACACACTATAGCCTGTATGCACACACTTGCTATATCCCCAATATACACATTCTCTACAGCCCATAGCCACATATGCATCACATTACACCACTTTACACCACAAACACAACATGACTAAAACCAACCTTATTACACAATACCACACCACAATCAGCTCACTCTACACACACGCAATACCACAAGCAGGCTCCAAACACATGCACAATACTCTTTCCTGGCCCTTTTGTCTCCTGGTATCCATTTATAGAGACACCAGAGACAAGTTGCAAGGAAACACAGTGCAAGCATGTTTTTAAATTTGCTTGCACTGTGCAGAACAAATACAGAGCTTTTTTCTCATGCTAGAGCTCTTCAGCAGAGCTCTGCGCATGGTCTGCCCTGGGAGAGCATTGAACCAACATGCTCACTTTGAGAGGGGGCGTGTTTGTCATTGGTGATGACAAGACACACCTCCTCTGCCCCGCCCCCTTCTTAGTGGGCCACTGTGTTAAAAAAATGCCCGGGCTGAATTTTTCTCCCTGTCTGGCCCTGGTGAAAAGTGAGAGAATATCCATTTTATAATGTAATATTCATGTAAAACTAAACACCTTAATAACCTTCTATGCCGATTTTAGTACATACCAATCGTCTTCATTAAGTCATGAAAAAATTACTATACATATCTTAATTCCCCCTTCCTTTTAGCCCCTTATTGTAAGCTCCCAAAAGCAAGCTGCTTATGTATTTTTTTTTTTTTGGTTTCATTAATAGGAAACATGCGTCAGAATCATTCCCATCGTAGAGTACACAAAAAACAAAACAAAAAATCCATAGGTTGGCAAACAGTATATTAATGCTGCATGTTTGTTCAGCGGATAGGGGAGGTCGCCACAAGTGAGGAGAGTGGATATTTGTGCAAAAGTATGTAGAGATTATATGCAGTTGTGTCATTTCATATTCATTTAATTTCTGGCAGTGCCATGAAACTAAATAAGGCCATGTCTGATGCCACCAGGGTAGCTGGTGGCGAGTACATACCGGCAGTGAGCATTAGTCATGGGAAAAGGAGAGCACAGCAGTAGTTAGCAGCACCATGAGACTAATGGTGTATATGGACTGTTTGCTTGCACATGGCTCGTCTAGGGTTGACAGATTGACTGCATGCAAACGTACCAAAGGTAAACGGGAAAACCAGTCATTAAAATAGTGGGACGTTCGTGGGAAAACAGGTGAATGCCAGATAGCCACGAAACCCCAACGCGAACCATGCGAGCAACAGGAACATGGAGAAGGAAAAAACTCCCGAACGGTGAGCCCAACACGTTCGGGAGTTTGCAACAAAAATGACATGAGGAAACGAAAAAACACACGAAAGGGAGAAAAGATCCAAACCATTATGACGCCATGGGACTGCGACCGTGGCGCAACGGTAGGGTAAGTAACTCACAAAATCCGAAGAGTTGAAAAGACAAACAGCCGACCAAAGCAGAGCCCAGAAAAGACCGCGGATGAACGGAACAACGGGAGAACAGTAGGCCAGGCAAAGAGAACCACGAGGAACCTGGCAAGGAGGAGAAAGCGACCGGAAATAGCGACATGCGAATCGCTAAAAGCACGTACGGGACGGAGAAAGGTGAGTAGGGAAGTTTAAGTAGGGTAACATGCCCCTCCCACAACTGCAGGCCAATCCTTTGCATATGTGGAGAGGATTTAAAATATACTACAAAAGCAATGGCTTTGCTCAGTATTTGCAGGGTGGGTGGAACAATCTCCACCAAGGAGTTGAAAGTAATAGTCCAGGAAGATGTGCTTCAAGTAGTGCCAGGAACAATGATAGAGTAAAATGAATAAAATAACAATGAAGGCAGGCAGGTACAAAAATTTAGGAACCTCAGTGCATTATTGATAATACCAATTATAAAAGTGGCCATTAAAGTATAAGCTCAGTTGCCTCCTCAATGCAAAACGTTGAAGGACAATTAAATAAAACATTCTGGGGATTAAGAATTATTTTTTTAAATTTAAATAGGAGAAATAAAGAGTTAACTCTAAGGAGCAAAAAGAAGAGAGAATACAATGTATAACTTTCGATTACTATACAAAGAAGGCAGCATTTAGTATTGGCTGAAACCTAGATCTGCCACCTTTCACAAATCCACCCTGTGTATTACCTGCTGCTTCCACTAGGAGTAACCATGGGGGTGTCTGCAATGTCAGGACTGGGGGCTTGTCTACAAAGATTATATGCTAACGAAGCCGTCAGTAGAAAGGCAAACTGTATAAAAATGGAATTGAGGAGGTAGGCTGAACATAGTGACTGAATGGAGAGGCAATATTGGGGTGAGGAGGTAATTGTGTAGGGCTGTGTGCTAAAGAAAGGGGGCAGTAGAGAGATGGGCTGTATAATGAAGGAGGGGACAGTATAGGAGTGGGCTGTATAATGAAGGAGGGGGCAGTTGAGAGGTGGGCTGTACACTGGAGTAGCCTTTAGAGGTGGGCTGTATAATGAAGGAGGGGTGGGCTGTATAATGAAGGAGGGGACAGTATAGGAGTGGGCTGTATAATGAAGGAGGGGACAGTATAGGAGTGGGCTGTATAATGAAGGAGGGGGCAGTAGAGGGGTGGGCTGTATAATCAAGGAGGGGGCAGTAGAGGGGTGGGCTGTATAATGAAGGAGGGGGTAGTAGAGGGGTGGGCTGTATAATGAAGGAGGGGGTAGTAGAGGGGTGGGCTGTACACTGGAGGAGGCGCCCGGCTTTTGCCTACGTTGCTGGTCCATACAGTGGGCGTGGATGTGCTCACATCTGGCCACTATGCTTCCAGCTGTGCTCACGATGCCGACTTACCGTGTCGTGCTGCTGTTCTGCCTGGCGTGGCACATGCTGCCGGGGGCACAGGGCTACAAGAAGCGAGGACCTACAGTGACTGCCAAGGTATGCCATCCCTCTGCCCACCCAGCGAGGGCTGCCCTGTGCCATATAACGCCCAGCCGCCGCTATTTAACCTCCTAGCTGCCCTCCCGCACTCTTCCAGAGTGAAGGTCGGTGTTTGAAACACTTTTCTCGCCCGAGGAGTTTCAGTCTGTACAGTTAACCACTGCTATGCCCGCCTGGTATGGTCCAGAGCTCAGTATTTACACAGTGCCTGTTTATGGCACACTATGGGCAATCCATAGCCCTCTTACTGAACAGGGTGAATACTTACTAATGAGGGCACCATAATCACTGCAGCAACTTGTAGTGATTATGACGTTTGGAATGTTCCTTTAACTATGTCCGTTCCATCAGAATCTGTCTCGTATTCCATCACAGCATGGACAGTAGTGCAAGGAGCCAATACAAACATCGACTGTCTGTCTGCATCTAGAGTGACGGTGTTATGTCAGATTATGGAAAGGGGAGTGCAGTCTAATCAATACTTTCAGGGCTAATCTCCATGTGTCACCCCCAATAGCTTGGTTAAAAACAGATAATCCCTTTTTGGAAATTGGTCAATTGGCCTTAGTAAATGGCCCAGTGTTATCCAAAGATTTTTAATTAAAAAAACAAACACAAAAACCAAACAAAAAAAGAAACGCTGCTGTTGACATCAGTTTCCTTGGTGTTTTACATTCTTTGCTGAGAAGTATTTCAAATATTCTGGCATGTAGCCCCTATGAAATATCATCAATCCCTGTATTTCTTTTTAATCTATCTAACTTTTGGTGCACTTTAGTTTCAACCTGAAAGATGTCACCCCCTCTCGCCAGCCCCCATTATCTCACGGAGCAGTCACAGTACCCATTAGGTAATACGAGTAAACTTATTCTTAGGTATTTTGAATTTGCATCTATAGTTTGTAAATGCTGTCTCCATTACTTCAGTCACATGTGGGGCAGAATGTCCCCTCAGTTGTTTGGCAGTTTAGAAAACCCAACATGTGATGGCTGTTTTTCCCTGTACTAACTTCCCAGTCCACTCTTTATATGGACACTGCAGACCCCTAAAGCATTTCAGCTTCCTGTGTAAACACTGTGTCCTATTTAAAAAAAAAAAAAAAAAAAAGTTTTTTTTCAAATTTTACAAAAAGTGCAGATTACAATAGAAATTGGCAAGTTTATAAGGTAGCCTTGTTATATCCCTGGCTGTCAATCAGACAACGGTTGCTGTTACTTCCTGGTTTGGCTAGCTCAGTGGAGCTAAAGTCAAGAGGCAAACAATTGCCCACAGCACCTGCCTTGCAAAGACTTCTCATTGAGCTGCATTGGGAAGTCTGATTGGACCACCACAGAAAGGCTGGGCGGGGTTAGAAGGGGAGGGCTTGCAAAGGTAGCAGACAAAAGGTCTAAATGCATAGTTAAATGCATGCATTCATGTTTCATTGGATATATTTACTATAAAGGGATTCTTTTTATTTATTTTTTAATATGGGCAGGGTAATCCCTTTAAGTGACCATAACAAACATGAATTCTTTTACTGTTAATTCTTAATTTAAATTTATTATTATTGCCCTTTATATAGCGCCAACAGATTCCATAGTGCTTTACAATATTATGAGAGGGGGGATTTAAAGGGAAACTCCAGTGCCAGGAAAATAATCAGTTTTCCTGGCACTGCAGGTACCCTCTCCCTCCCACCTCCCATTCCAGGTAGCTGAAGGGGTGAAAACCCCTTCAGGTCACTTACCTGAGACCCAGCCGATGTCCCTCGGCGGTGGTTTTCGGGTCGGCGTCGCTCCTCCCAGTAATCGCGTCAGCGGGTGGGCGAGACTGATCCCGCCTGCCGGCTGAGGAAACCTAATGCGCATGCGCGGCAATGCCGCACACGCGCATTAGGGCTCCCCATAGGAAAGCATTGAAAAAGATTTTCAATGTTTTCCTATGGGATATTGAGCGACGCTGGAGGTTCTCACACAGCGTGAGGACATCCAGCGACGCTCTAGCAAAGAAAATCTTTGCTATCAACTCGGAAGTGCCCACTAGAGGTGGAGTTAACCCTGCAATGTAACTATTGCAGTTTATAAAAAACTGCAATAATTACAATTGCAGGGTTAAGAGTAGTGGGAGTAGGCACCCAGACCACTCCAATGAGCAGAAGTGGTCTGCGTGCCTGGAGTGTCCCTTTAACTATAAATAGGACAATTACAAGAAACCTTAAAGGAACAATAGGTTGAAGAGGACCCTGCTCAAACAAGCTTACAGTTTATAGGAGGTCGGGTATAAAACACATTAGGACAGGAAATGGCAACAAATAAGGTGGGAGTGAAGCAGAGCTGGAGGAGAGAGTAAAGTGCTGCCGTTTAGCAAAGAGCAAGAGACATGTATGTGAGGTAGAGGCTACTCTGGGAGGCCATAAGCTTTCCTAAAGAAATGGGTTTTAAGGCACTTTTTAAACAATTGAAGACTAGGGGAGAGTCTGATGGCGGTAGGCAGGCTATTCCATAGGAAGGGAGCCGCCCACAAGAAGTCCTGCAAGCATGAGTTGGCCGTACGGGTGCGAGCAGCGGACAGGAGAAGGTCACGGGCAGAGCGGAGAGATCGAGAAGGGGCATACCTATGGATCTGTGAAGAGATATAAGAGGGGCTATAATTGTTCAGTGCTTTAAATGTATGGGTTAGCACTCTGAATTGGCTCCTATAGGATACAGGAAGCCAATGTAAGGACTGACAGAGGGGTGAGGTGTGAAAGTACCGACTAGAGAGGAAAATCAGTCTGGCGGTAGCATTCGTTACAGGCTGGATAAAATATGCGGAGAGAACCAGACAATAATAGTGTAGTATTTTAAAACTGTAGTGGTGATAGGTAAGATAAAAGATGTGCACTCACACTTTCCTGGAGCTTCAATACAGCTCCAGTGTATGCGCCTGGGTGGAAAAATCCCCACCTATGGATCAATTCTTCGAATTATAGGTGTGGTAGGGGGTATCCTCATAAAAAATAAATAAAATAAAAATCATATATGTAGAGCTATGTAGCAAGGGTAGGTAAAAACTAAAAAATGTACACTCACGTGTAATGGAGCCGTAAAACCTGGCTCCTCTGATAGCGCTTGAAATGGTATGATCCCCACTCAAGGATACAGATGTAAATATAAATTCTTCTGTCCGTATATTTATACCTGAATCCTTGAGTGGGGATCATACCACTTCAAGCGCTATCAGAGGAGCCAAGACAGCGCGCTTGCAAGGTTGGACTGATGTGGATACCACTAACTTGAAGGGAGAGCGAAAGAGGAGGAATTGGTATTAAGAGGAGGAAAGACAAGGAGCTCAATTTTAGAGAGATTGAGTTTCAGAAAGCGGGAGGACTTCCAGTTAGAGATGGAAGAAAGGCAAGCAGTGACACCTTGCAGGACGGCAAGAGAGAGGTCCGGGGAGGAGAGATATATCTGGGTGTCATCAGCGTACAGGTGGTAGTGGAATCCAAATTAGGTAATAAGTTTTCCAAGAGAGGCAGTATAAAGAGAAAATAGAAGAGGACCAAGGACAGAGCCTTGGGTGACTCCAACCGAGACAGCAGAGAGGTTTATCAAACTAAACGGCTAGTAAATATATTCAGTACAAAGTTTAATTTAATTCCAAGCACACCTATTGATACTATTCAATTTATGGCAGCAACCTTGTCTGAACCGTGTAAGTTTCAGACATGTAAATCTTTAGTCTATACATTTGCTGGTATTTTCACACCATATAGATATCCTCTTAAAAAATGACAAAATTAATGGAAAAATTGTTTTGCTTCACCTCAATACAACTAGAGATCTTTTAAACTTCTTAACCGCAGAAAAGGCTGATTAGAAACACAGGCATGGGTGACAAGATCCCTAGGTCCAAATAATGCTCCAGATTCCCACTTTCACTCCCAAAAACAATGAAATTCAATGATTAGCGCCCAATTCCACCACCCAATGTTTGTTGGATTGGAAGGTAACAATAACAGTCGAATCAAGTAATAGATCAAGTTTTTATAATTTCATTGTATTCATCAGAAAGTATCTGTCAGTAAGCCCTTTTCTCTGTTTTACCTTTATTCAAGTAGAAATTCCCAGTGTAGTATAATTCAAGACATAACTGCTTGAATGAGGGCCCTCTGAAAGTGTACATCATTACTTACTGCTGCTCTATTAAAGAACACTCCAAGTATCACGGTTACTGTAGAGCACTGTAGTGGTTATAGAGCCAGGAATTAATTGTAAGAACTCAAACTGTTTTAGAATGGTTTCAGGCCACCAGGCCTCACCCCAGATCTCTGTGCTGTCCAGGAGAGCCAAAAGCTCCTGATAGACAGGGGTGTATTTTTCACAGGGTTAACAAGGCATTTGCCTTGGGCAGCACTTTCAGGGGGTGGCAAAAAACACTACCCCCAGGTGCTCTGGCAGATGCCTTGTTAGCCTCTTTTATGGGGAACCCAAGAGCCTGCCGACTAACCACCTCAGGGCCCTCCAAGGCGTTCAGCTGCTCACATTGCAGATGGCAATGGCAATGGCAATGGAGCGCTGTCCTCTGAACTCTTCCTGCTCAGCTCCCTCGCAATCCTCAGTGATTCCGGGAACCGGAATATGACTTCACTCCAAGTCCCGGCATCACTAAGCGGCGTGCATTGTGTTTGTCAGTGTGTGTCTGTCAGTGAATGTATGTCACTGTATGTGTATCTTAGAATGTGTACCTGTCAGTGAGTAGGAGTGTCAGTGTGTGTCTGTTAGTCAAACTGCGGGTTGGCCTTAAATAGGAAGGGGCAGGGCAAATGTAGATTGGGGGAGGGGAAAGGGGGTGCCCGAGTTTCGTCTTGCCTAGGGCAACACAAATCCAAAATACATTGCTGCTGCCTGGCCAGCTGATCACTCTCAGCCAGTGAGCTAAGCACTCCACTGCTACAGGTATTTCCATACAGCTGAAAATGTACCCATTGCTTAGATTTGCTTTATATTGAGAATTGCCATTCGCTACAGTAGCAACATTTTATAGAAATACTCCAAGCACTATAACCACTACAGCACTCTGTAGAGGTTATGGTTCCAAGTCTGTCCTTGCTTCCCGAATTTTGGATCAGTTTGACCTCTTACCTGGGTTCCACCAAGCACAGCACCCTGCCTGCACTGCAGCCGGAATCTCTCAGAGCTAAGCCCATGGGTGCAGGCCCAGCTCATGGCCCAGCTCAGGTGGTGAACTAACAGTGGGTAGTAAAATACAGCTTAAACACTTTTATCACAATGAATTATATGAATAGGACATCAAAAAAGCTGCTTTGGTGATGCCATCCATAGCCCCCCCATTAAACTTCAATACAACCATTGAAGTATTTGGAGATCATCACTGAGCAAACCTTGACATGTTCACTGCCCATGATGACTGTTGAGTGATGCATTCTGATTGGTTTGCTGTAAAGCAATTAACCTGGTTGTGAGTGTGAACAATGACATCTGTCTTTTTCATTATGTTGCCTTTTGCATTGCCAGCATCATGGGATACTAGAAGAATCACATTGTGTCAGACTGTACCTTCACAGTAACTGTTATAATGTTAAAATTTAAATCTGATTGGTGTCAATTCGTTAAACAATGACGTTTTGCAATAGGCGCAATTTGGTGGCCATGGTCCCATTGTGAATATTGAAGAATAGATTAACTGTGGGGGAAAAATAGGACCAAGTGGCTGTTTTAAAATATTTTTTTAAATGTCAGATATTTTGTCCAACACTAAAATTCTATTCATTGCTGCCCAGAAATAAGCCATAAACTTGCAAAGATTACAAAACCAATGTCACATTACAGGGCTGCCAGAATATTGACCTTGCCCCTTTAATTACCTGTGACCACATATGCTATAGTTATCACAGATTCGTAAGTGAATACCCCCAAAAAGGTTGTCATAGCTGTTAAGGGAAAAGCAGTGTTTTAATAAGATATTAAAGTCCTCGGTTCATTTTTGTTTATGTATTTTCACCCTCTGGCAGCTGAAGTTATACTGTGTTTATCAAAATTGTCAACTTATTTTTTCCCAAACTCATAAAGATATGATTAACGAACAGCGACTTTTTATGTAATTTTAAATAAAATGAACACTACATGTAATGCAGGCTATGGCCTTGCAACCTGTACAAGCCAATTCAATTAAGATAAGCCAAACCTTTTGTGTTCCATCATCAGGCTGGGCTGATAATCTCTAGTAATATCACAAAGCTACATATATATTACATTCAGTCTTTTGCTGTAATCTTTACGTTTACATTCCTGTATCTTGCACTTTAATTTTGCAGGTCTTCTTTGATATAAGGATTGGAGAGCGGAATGCTGGAAGAATTGTTATTGGTTTATTTGGGAAAGTTGTCCCTAAAACTGTAGAAAACTTTATTACCCTGGCAACTGGTGAAGTAAGTATGCCAACTCGTTTCCTGTTATGTTGTGCAATCTTCACATCATGCTTCCATAATTGGAAGAATGTTGGATCTGTCTATAAAATAAAAATCAGTTTGTGGCACTATATTCAAATAAGTTATTCTAATTTGCATATATTTCATAATTGTTTCAGAAAACACATGCCGTTGTATGTATAAATCTTGGCAAGGATCTTGTATACTCCCAAGTACCTTTTAGCGCTGTTTTATAAATAGATTTTACAAACATATTTAATGCATTGTTTTTTTACAGATTTAGATCAATGGTAAAAATTGTAAATGAAAAGCAAAATGTATAAAAAAAATAAAATAAAGCTTGCTGTAGTGGTTATGGTGACAGGAGTGCCCAGAACAGTTAAACTTCTTATCTTTTCTTTACCAGGCATTAATTATGGCAACAATTATGTAGTGTGGCAGTGCCCCTATGGACAGGTCACATCTGTTCTGCTTGTTGTAGTATTCTAACCGTTCTAAAATGAAATATCCTTTAGGTGTCAGGATTGTAGTAAGAGCTTCTGGCTATGAATTTAGGTGCCAGGACTGATATTTGAAACATAGCCTGCTGGCTAAATAACATGAAACTACCTGTTACTCTATTGCTGAATGTATGACCATGACAAATGATGAAATTCTTTGTCTGACCTCTCGAGGGAATTTCACAACACGTGGCAAATTCCCCTTCCCCCACAAAAATCGGACATTAGAAATGAAGGCACTCTTAACGATTCAGTGACACCTTGTTAATACAAGTTAAAAGCTGACCGCAACTGCAAAATAACAGAACTAGTAAATATTTTCCTGAAAAGAGAAAAGTAAACATAGATATCTTTCTGTCTTATATTAGTAAGATTGAAACACGTCTAAATTTCTTAAACAGAAAATAGAGCAGTTCTAAGCTGCAGTACTGGCAAGTAAACCATATACTTGAATATGAGATGGAACAAAAAGTTTGAGCAAAACCAATTTGTTCTGGTTGAATCCCCCTCTCTCACTTAAAGTGGCATTTATTAGGGGATCTCAATGATTATGTCCCCTGTTCATCCACCTTTTGTTTGGTTGGGTAGAGGGTATTAAAAAGACCAGGGCCTGATGACTGGCCCAATTAACCTGTGGAGTGGAGGGATCTAAAATCTCTGGCTCCCCAAACATCGATGGCCTACAGCTTCATGGATGCTTTGTATCCAATAGATAGCTAGAGAATCATGGGAGTTGTCAATATCTTGGGGTCCTGAATTTGTGATGCATGATTTAGGGAGTTATAGGAATGCTTGGGCTGCAGGCGTGTGCTCATAGGCATGCGCACGGGGTGTGCCAGGTGTGCCTGGGCACACCCTAATCCCCGTGGCACGCCTATGGTTTGAGTCCTGCAGGAACAGCGTTCCTGCACTTTTTTTTTGAGCAGGAACACTGTTCCTGCAGGCACTCAGCACCCCCTGTCTCACCTCTTGCCCCTGTCATGGTGGGGGGGGGGCAATAGGTGATGGATCCCCCCCTCTCCATCTCAGCCGCGGCGAGGGAGTGAGAGAGGAAGCAGAGAGCAGACAGCTCCCTCGCCGCGGCTGAGATGCAGACAGGCGCCCGCCCCACTGGACCCCAGGGACAAGTCCACGCCAGCACTCCAGGTAGGGAGGCTGGGTGGACATTTTTTTATTAAAATATAATAATTTGTATGTGTGTGAGTGTGTGTCTGTGAGTGTGTGTGTATGTGTCTGTGAATGTGTGTGTCTGTGTGTGAGTGTGTGTCTGTGAATGTATGTGTGAGTGTGTGTCTGTGAATGTGTTTGTGTGTGTCTGTGAGTGTGTGAGTGTGTGTGTGTGTGTGTGTGTGTCTGAATGTGTCTGTGAGTGTGTGTGTTTGTACGTATATGTGTATATATATATATATATATATACACACACACACACACACACACGTGTATATTATATTTTTTGGGGGGTGGGAATCTTGGGAGAGTTCCCACACAGTATTCCACAGGACTTGCCGGCTCTACTCTAAGCCTCCATGGGCCGGCGGGGAGACCAAAGATCTACCTCACCGGCCCACAGCAGCATGGAGGGAGGCAGGAGAGGACCCAGGGAGCTCTAGACAGAAGCTCCGCCAGGTTCCTCTCGCGATATCTGAGCGTTGCCGCGGCAATGCTCAGATCTCGCGAGAGTTAACTCTAGCCCTGCAGGCTAGAGTTCACTCTCCACTGGACCACCAGGGATGGCGTATGGCAGCAAGGATTTACTAATCTGCCCCCACCTCCACAATCCCTCCAAACATACAGCACACACACATACAGCTCACACACAGCACGCTCACACACACACAGTAAACTAACCACACCCTCACAAACACACACAGCACCTTTCAAAAAAAACAACACCCTCACACACAGCACACTAACAGCACCCTCACAAACACACACACACACAAACAGCACACTCACAAATACACAACACTTATACAAACAGTACCCTCACAGGACAAACACACACACACAAACACCCTCACACACAAACAGCACAGTCACAAACACACACACACACACACACACAAATACCCTCACACTGCACACTAACAGCACACACAGCAGTGTATGTGTGTGTGTGTATATATATATATATATATATATATATATATATATATATATATATACACACACACACACACACACACACACACACATATACATGCGGCGTGTGTTTGTGCTTTAGGGTGCACACCCTAATGCAATAGGCTGCGCACGCCTATGCGTGTGCTGACAACATCATTGTGTGCTCTAGCTAATCAACAGCATGGTTTCCATTATGCGACTGTAGCTAGGAAAACTTCTTTGTTTGGGTTTTTGTTTTGCGTATGTGAATACTAGTTTTCCACTGTGGGAAGCGTTACCAGTCACCAGAGCAGCCTGTATTTGTCACACTAAAACATGGAGGCTTCATACAGGGGGTTAAAATGGAATGCATCTAATGATAAAAGTAGGAAAAAGTAAATGACTAATACAGACATGCATCAAACGTGTTTCTATGAGAGAAACCAACTAACGTTTAAATGCTTAGTGTCTCTCTTTTAATATAGCTGTGATAACGTTTTTTTTCTTCATTTTCCATTAGAAAGGATATGGCTACAAAGGGAGTAAGTTTCACAGGGTGATTAAAGATTTTATGATTCAAGGAGGAGATTTCACAAAGGGAGATGGGACTGGAGGTAAACTGCCTGTTTAATGTTTTCAAGCCTATACTGTACAGTATAACATCACACTGAAGAATGAAATGTGGTATTTACAGTTTTATGTGACATTGTGAATTGCAGGGTCCCCAAATCTTAGCATGTTATTGGTACATACATGTGGAGTCACACACCAGGGCTCCAGACAGAGATCCTGTCACTAATTATGCCCCCCCCTTTACAGATATACCAGGCACAGTACTTGTTGGGAGTAAGACAGTCAGGGTTATTCAGAGTAACTGCAACTGAAAAAGTCAGTTATGCTTCCAGTTTGGTTACTTTGGCCTTACATTTGAAATTCACTTTGAATTCTCTCTTTAGTGAATAACCTTGAGTATCTCACACACCCAGCAGCATGCATTGCCTGTACTAATGAACAGAAATAATGACAAAAGTGTAGCTCCTGTCAATCTGAGGGTGACCATAAAAGAGCCCACATGAAAATTGCACGTATAAAAAACCCCACGGTCATAAATGCCCACACTGAATATGCACATATAGTCATTTTCCCATTTATGAGCAAGAATAGGTATATTACCTACATTTTATTTTGTGATCAATATTTTAGGATTAAAATATCTCATATTCATATGCAACAATTTGCATTGTGATTTTATAATGTATAATTTAAAAAACAATTTTAATTTTAAAATTTAAAAAAAAATTAATTTTAAATGTTATAAGTATACTAATTCACTACTAAACAAAATGTGGTCTGGGTATGTAGAGGGCCTAAACCCCTTAAGGACAGAGACAATTGTACAAGTTCTGATTAAAACAAAACCTGGAATTTGAGCTATATACAGGGAGTGCAGAATTATTAGGCAAGTTGTATTTTTGAGGATTAATTTTATTATTGAACAACAACCATCTTCTCAATGAACCCAAAAAACTCATTAATATCAAATCTGAATATTTTTGGAAGTAGTTTTTAGTTTGTTTTTAGTTATAGCTATGTTAGGGGGATATCTGTGTGTGCAGGTGACTATTACTGTGCATAATTATTAGGCAACTTAACAAAAAACAAATATATACCCATTTCAATTATTTATTATTACCAGTGAAACCAATATAACATCTCAACATTCACAAATATACATTTCTGACATTCAAAAACAAAACAAAAACAAATCAGTGACCAATATAGCCACCTTTCTTTGCAAGGACACTCAAAAGCCTGCCATCCATGGATTCTGTCAGTGTTTTGATCTGTTCACCATCAACATTGCGTGCAGCAGCAACCACAGCCTCCCAGACACTGTTCAGAGAGGTGTACTGTTTTCCCTCCTTGTAAATCTCACATTTGATGATGGACCACAGGTTCTTAATGGGGTTCAGATCAGGTGAACAAGGAGGCCATGTCATTAGATTTTCTTCTTTTATACCCTTTCTTGCCAGCCACGCTGTGGAGTACTTGGACGCGTGTGATGGAGCATTGTCCTGCATGAAAATCATGTTTTTCTTGAAGGATGCAGACTTCTTCCTGTACCACTGCTTGAAGAAGGTGTCTTCCAGGAACTGGCAGTAGGACTGGGAGTTGAGCTTGACTCCATCCTCAACCCGAAAAGGCCCCACAAGCTCATCTTTGATGATACCAGCCCAAACCAGTACTCCACCTCCACCTTGCTGGCGTCTGAGTCGGACTGGAGCTCTCTGCCCTTTACCAATCCAGCCACAGGCCCATCCATCTGGCCCATCAAGACTCACTCTCATTTCATCAGTCCATAAAACCTTAGAAAAATCAGTCTTGAGATATTTCTTGGCCCAGTCTTGACGTTTCAGCTTGTGTGTCTTGTTCAGTGGTGGTCGTCTTTCAGCCTTTCTTACCTTGGCCATGTCTCTGAGTATTGCACACCTTGTGCTTTTGGGCACTCCAGTGATGTTGCAGCTCTGAAATATGGCCAAACTGGTGGCAAGTGGCATCGTGGCAGCTGCACGCTTGACTTTTCTCAGTTCATGGGCAGTTATTTTGCGCCTTGGTTTTTCCACACGCTTCTTGCGACCCTGTTGACTATTTTGAATGAAACGCTTGATTGTTCGATGATCACGCTTCAGAAGCTTTGCAATTTTAAGAGTGCTGCATCCCTCTGCAAGATATCTCACTATTTTTGACTTTTCTGAGCCTGTCAAGTCCTTCTTTTGACCCATTTTGCCAAAGGAAAGGAAGTTGCCTAATAATTATGCACACCTGATATAGGGTGTTGATGTCATTAGACCACACCCCTTCTCATTACAGAGATGCACATCACCTAATATGCTTAATTGGTAGTAGGCTTTCGAGCCTATACAGCTTGGAGTAAGACAACATGCATAAAGAGGATGATGTGGTCAAAATACTCATTTGCTTAATAATTCTGCACTCCCTGTATGTATGTTCAACCATAATTTACCTCTTTTATATTATGTGTACCCACACTTATTATATATAATTTTTTTCAGTAGAAAAAAGGCTTTCATTTATATGGGGTACCATTGTACTCATGAAATATTGCCGAACACATGAGTGTTTTTAAAACAGTAAAATGTATAATGACAATGATATCATCAGTGAAGCTGCAGTTTTTTTGTGAAAAATGCAAAATAAAACAAATCTGAACACTAAGTTTGACCAGGGTTTGTGACTGAGTGTCTCCTAACAAAGACTGGACATACCTTATTATTTTGAATGCCCTGGGTTGCAAACGTTTGCAACTGGTATGTCAAATAGCGCTAATTCCCATTCCTGGGCTACCATACGGTCTCAAAGGCAATATAGGCCCAGAAAACAAATCTGGCAAATTTCAATGTGCAGGCTCTTTATTTGACCATGTAACTTTCCAAAACACAATGAAACCTGTACATAGGGGGCATCGTTGTTCCCGTGGGACCTCACAGCAAACAAATGTCTTTGAATGTCAAACTACTCTCTCCTTTTACTGAATTATAGTTAAAATGCCATGCAGCAGTTGAAAACTAGCCAAAGTTCTTACTATCTCACACTTTTTTAGATTTTATTCAAATTAAATTATATATAATATATAAATGTTTCTCCTGAAAAATATATATATAATAAGTACTGATAAACTTGAAAAAAATTATGGACATATATAGCTCAAATTCTAGGTTTTGTTTTGGTCAGAACTTGTACAATTGCCTCTGTCCTTAAGGGGTTATAGCCCTCTACACACACAGGCCACATTTTGTTTAGCAGTGAATTAGTTTACTTATAACATGGCAAAATCATTATTTAATTATACATTATAAAATCACAATGCAAATTGTTGCATATGAATGATATATTGTAATCATAAGATATCGATAACAAAATAAAATGTAGGTAATATACCTATTCATGCTCATAAATGGGAAAATTACTATATGTGCATATTATTCAGTCTGGGCATTTTTCTTGTGGGCATTTATGACCATGGGTTTTTTCTGTGTGCAATTTTCATGTGGGCTTTTTTCATAGAACCCAATCTGAAACATGTATATACATGTATATACATCTGTATATGTGTTGCATCAGATGGAATGGCAGGGTGAAGGCAATCTCTAGCACTCAAACTTAGAAAAGCATTTCATTTATTTTTTTAGGACTTCTGCATCATATTAATCTCATTGTACATCTAGTCCTTTGGCCATAATGCTGTACACAACACATGGAGTGACGAAGGTTGCCTATCCCTGGTGCAGACAGTCATAATAAAACATGCCTTTCTTAACACTTGTCATGAAAGATGAAACGTATGTCCTGGGAATATGTTTTATGTTTACAGGGTACAGCATTTATGGAGAGTCTTTCCCAGATGAGAATTTCAAGCTGAATCATTATGGTATTGGTTGGGTGAGCATGGCAAATGCAGGGCCAGATTCCAATGGCTCACAATTTTTCATCGCCACAACAAGACCTCTGTGGCTAAATGGAAAGCATGTGGTATTTGGGAAAGTTCTGGAAGGCATGGTGAGTATTTGATTACTGTTCATTGGATATTCATGAGACTTAAGCATGACCAAATGGTATTCTCCCAGATTTAGAGCAATAAACATGTAGTGTTTGTACAGCCTCAAGGTGATACTCTGTGTAAACCTAAACAACTTTAGCTTAACACCCTTCTCTCTCCCCAACCCTTTAATAAAGCATTTTCAGTGTATACATGTCCCTGTAGTGTTACTATTCAATTCTCTGCCATTTAGGAGTTTTTTTTGTTTTGTTTTTTTTTTACAATCCTTATTTATACAAGACTTCAAAAGAACAATACAAGAAGTCTATGATCAGAAGGTTCAAATGGTGACAAAACACATAATACATAAGGCAAATATGCATGCCAGGAAATTAGCTAGAGAATGATCATTTCAAATACAATCTACCTCAAACTAAACCAAGAAAAACAGAGAGGTAAGTAGGTAAATGGAAGGAAAGAAGGAAGTGGAGAGGTAGGGGGAAGAAGAGAGGAAAAAAATGGGGGTAATAAAAAATTAGTAAACAAAATCACCTGGAGTGAGCAAAGGCTTCATTAAACTCTGAAACAAGAACAAAGGCCATTATACATCAGTTCATCTCATCGTAAGGTAGAGCAGTCATGGGTACCCTAACTCATTGTATATTATCTTGTGTATTTTTGAGGGAAGTAGTCCACACATCCATTGTTCTAATTTCTTTCACCTTATCCATCCACTGGCTGAGGGTCATGGCAACTAGCCGCCACCAGAGGAGAGGGATAAGCTTTATTAAAGGGCGGCGTCTGGTATTTTGGTCTCACAATGTCTCGCATAGTCCCTGAAACCCTAAAATAGTTAATCCTTTGAGTGTAAAGAGTCTGCTACTTCAGGGTTATGAGCCAGTGTTGTGATTAAGAGCTAACCTCTATCCTGGGCATAAACAGAACTAACTTCAAACCAAACTATTTATTTTTTATGTTGCAGCCAACATATTATGATTTAATCTAATTGTTTATTCAGCCTTAAAGGGACGCTACAGTCACCCAGACCACTTCAGCTCATTGACAACTTTGTATTCCTAACACTATAGATTCCCTTTAATCACACCTTGACTGTGACTTGTGTAGCTTGCATAAACAAATTCAAACCAAACTTACAGCACTGTGTGTTTATTAAGAGGTTTCCTATCTCCTGCTCTGTTAAGGGGACTTTAATCACACACACACATGGCTGCTACCAGCTCTAAGCAGACAATTAACAGATATGGTGATAAGAAATTCTAAACCATACACATTGTGCATTGCTAAAATCCTTTGAGTCCGTTTACAGGAAGTGTAATAGAGGAAAAAAGAATGGCTAGGACTGCCTAAACACTGATTTAACTCCTAGATTCCAGATAATGTAGTGATACTGCAGAAACATGAGCTATCCACCAAAACTACTTTATTAAGCTAATATCAAGCTCAACTCTGATAGATTGTTTAGTTGATTGGTATTATACTTTAGATTTTTTCATGTTTCTCCCGATTCAGGTAGTTTCTCTCCACAGCTGCTTGGTACCTCCGAAGACTACTGCCCACTTTGTTATTTCAGGAGGGGAGGAGTATAGGTTGGGGGTGCCATCGAAGGCACAAGCAGCCAGTATAGGTATTTCCCCCCCTTCGTTCTGTATAGGCGTAGCACCACATTGGTTTAGTTTACCTAGATCGTTGGTCCGCAGCTGTAAGAATGGAGTGTTAGGTAAGACGGTAAGCTCCAGTCTGTACCGTGCATACTACTTTGTTGCTACTCTTGCCAATTAATGAAGTGAAATTCTCCTTCACCTTATCACTGCTGTTTCTTTTCATTGTTACTTTGTTTACTATTCAATTATACAGCCAGTGTAAATCACATTGTAGCAACATCAAGGAGATTTTTTTTACAGATTATTGGTTCTGGATGAACATTTGTTTGTGTGTGTGTGTGTGTGTGTGTGTGTGTGTGTGTGTGTGTGTGTGTGTGTGTGTGTGTGTATGTATGTATGTATATATATATATATATATATATATATATTTATTCGGTTTTAATCTACACTAATAAAAGTTGTTTTATTTTACTCTTGGGATGTATTTAGCAAATATTTACGTCCAAGTAGTCTTTCTAAAGTGGATAATCTTTAAGCAAATACTCAATGTCTGATATTTATACACTTTGAAGACCAACTCTAGTTGCTATTAAGACTGCCCCCAGAGAATGTATTAAGCAATACATAAAATACATGATTGCTTCTGTGTCCCCATTCTGGTTATGGTACACTTGATTAGTAATATTCAGGGAGTAATTATGTTATTGCTTTCTACAGGCCATAGTTCATTCAATAGAACTTCAACAAACGGATAAACGAGATCGTCCTTTACAAGACTGTGTGATTGTGAACAGTGGCAAAACTGATGTCAAGAAACCATTTGTAGTTGAAATAGAAGACTGGCGAGATTGAAAAGATTAATAACTTTATGACAATAAATGTAAATATGTATACCACAACCTATTTGGATTTTTTTGTTTAAAAATAAATAAATAAAACATACGTTGTTTTTGTGGCTTATTGAAAGAAAGTTCATGGTGTTACGGAGCCTCCTGCTTTCATATGAAGAGACAGGTATGAGTTATTTGGGTTTAAACCCACAGATCACTTTCTGTAAACATCTACTACATATTTTGGCTCTAATTTCTGTCAATCATATTGGAAGAACTGCAATCTCATAGCATTTTTGAGATGATATCATTTACCTCAGTAGACTATCAATCCTGGGGTCTCTAACTTAATAATTGTGTGTGTGTGTGTGTGTGTGTGTGTGTGTGTGTGTGTATGTATGTATGTATGTATGTATGTATATGTATGTATATATATATATAAGTATATATATACACACACACACACACACATTTGTTTAAACCTAAGTCCTTTCAGCAAGGTATAAAAGTAATTTTCCACCAAGTGCATAATTTGTGTGTGGTTTTAATTTTTTATTTTAAGTCTGCAGCAAGCAAACGACTTCCTTAGTGGGACAATTAAAATAGTCTACAGTGTGTATATATAGGGTATTCACATCATGCACTTTTTATATGGATAGTGAATTCAAAATGTAACAGTAACAACATTCCAAACCAAATGCAATTATGTCTTCTGTTTATTATAGTAAAGAAACAAAAGTTGATTTGTCACATAAATTAAAGATACAATTTAATTGACATTAATCTGGTAGTTCTATATAGATTAAAAATCACATGTAGCCATGCTATTTACTATACATTTACATCAATACATCAAGCTAAATGCTAGCACATAATTCTGTAAGCTGTATCAGTAGTGTTGCTAGGTTAATGCTTAATACTTTTAATATTAGCAATTTATACTTTTCTACACACAATTTAATATTACCATATATTTATGTCAGAGGCAGCGGCAAGTGTTACATTGTTATTGTCACATGTATTACAGTAAACAAAGAGCAGAGTCCAGATAACGGCACTTTTACGGAGTGTAGTGCTATATACCCACGTACAAAACACCAGTTTTTCATTGAAAATGGTCCTAAAACATAAATAGAGTATACTTAATGTGCTTTATGGAGAAATATATATTTATACAATTTAGTTTTATTATATATAACTAGTTTACTAAACAGCCCTTTGTGGTGAACATGCAATGGACCTTGAAAAATATATAAAAGAAAATTGGAAATCTCGAACAGGTTTTGTTGTATGTATTTAAGATTATTAATTCTATACCCATTGTTGCAGCCTAAGAGTAGAGGGTGTTTGAGTGCAGGGATAATTTGTTTTTCCTGGAAAATTGTAGACTAAAAGGCCAAATTGGATAAAATAATTCCATTGTTTTATTTTTTCATTCAAATTTGTCTATTTCAGCTTAAATTGTAGTTTTTGCAGTTGACCACTCATCACAATGCTTTATTTAGTTAATCAACCTCTAATGCTCACGGGAACATATTTTTTTCTCACTTTTATGGCATTATTATCCATTATCTATTTGGTTTATAAAGCAAACAAGTCATCTGCACTGCATGTATTCTGCAGATAAAGCAAACTGTAACAACAGGGCTGCAAATGATAATTTGGCTTAAATACCTTGAATAGCGCTGAACACAAGAAGGCTATCCATTTTCTGTAATTGAATTATTTAAGTGAAGTAGCACATACATACTGCAACTATTTAATAATCAATCAAGCACATGGTTTGTACTAAAACTGAACACAGCTTCTGGTTTCAATTGCTCTATATCTTCCCTTTATTGCGAATCAAAAAATAACAAAGAATCTCCCATCCATTACCCCGTTACTATTTATTTCCAATACAAATAGCAGCAAGCAGCGCGTTTGATCAAAAAATAGTATCTGTGTTACATCGCTGCAAGTATGTAAGACGGACATCCAATGAAAATACAAAATATAAGGTATTAATAACACTATAGTACTACCACCCTCATATGCATTCAGCCAACATTGCAAAGTACATTCATATGTTATTGTGCCACAAACATAACCTTTTCCTTATCTCATACTATGGAGAACACATGATGGAACCTGAGCAGTCACTTTTCAGACAGTGTGTTATATGAAGGCAGCGTGTAAATGTGTTCTATATCATTGAGTGTATTTACTGGTTAGAGATTAGCTAAGAAGGGTAGTCGCTTGTAAGTTGCTGAAGAGGGCAGATAGCAATGGATGTAGTACTATGCAGCAGCATGTTAGGCAGCCACAGCAGAGATTTAGATCCAAAGCTCCAGGTTATTTAATCTATACATTTATGTTTATTTAATTTGCACCATGTGTTGATATGGTCCACTTTAAAAGGACACCATGATCATTATTTATGAAAATGTATTAAAAAAAAAAAAAAATGTTTTCTTTAAACTACATGCTTATCATAAAGTAGTGGTTGTGGTTAGTGAGTCTCACAAGCCTCAAATTAGTGTATAAACCTGGAAAGAATCTAGATCAGATGAAAAGGAAGATACCGGTCGGCACAATCTCTACTATTGGAACTGCATAGTGGCCTAAGACCAATCCCTTTGTTCATTTATTAAAATCTTTACTATGAATGAAGTCTTAACCCACAAGGGCAGAGCGTGCAGTAAACTTTAGACCCCACTGGCAGCATCACATTATACAATGTTAGAAATAGGTGTCCGTTGTCTGAAGTCAGAATATCCGGACTGTCAGGTTTCAAGACTCTAGCTGGTCTGCAAATGAGGGTAAAAAATACCATGTAGAACTCCTTCTATTACGACATCTGCCGCACTATCTGAAAGAAAAAAAACAAAAAAAACAAGGGTATTAACAAATGTAATCAATTAACTGAACATAATTAAAAAAGAACAGGATGCACAGTCCAGAGTGAACTAAAATTCCAAACTTTATTAGGCACTATTCCCAAATAAAAAAGCATATTGTAGAATGTAAGTGTTAAAGGAACAATACAGTGTAATAAATATAAATGTACTCCTAATGCTATAGTGTCCTAGTCACTATTTATGTGGCTAGGCCCCATTGGCAGGGTTAAATGGTTAGTTTTACTTACCTTTTCTTCCTGACAGTGCTGGTCTTTGGTGTGTAGCTCCGCCTCTTTGACTGACATAATCAAAGTCAATGATCTCAGCCAATCCAATGCGTTCCCATAAGAAAGCATTGGGAGACTAGTAGGCATGCCCAGCAAAATGTTGCACCAATCAGATGGTCTCTATGAGAACATCTGATAGAAATAGTGGAGTTTTACTCCACTATTTTGTGGAAGTGCCTCCTGCAGAACAGCAATGTTTTCACCTGCAGGGTTAAAATAGGGGCACTTGGCATCCGACCACTTCATTGTGTTTATTTAATCATGCATATATAAATGCAAAAAGAGTACACTTAAATACCAATATAAACCTATATGCAGTCATGTTAGAGGGTTTACAGTTTACCCTGGGATGAAGCTCAGGTCATCAAAACCAGATCTGAGATCTGGGAACATGTGAGAAACAACAAACTAGTCCTTGGATTAAGCAATAAAGCACACTGCAATTATGTACTGTGCATGCACACGTGACGTTACAGTATGAGATATGGGAAGTAACAGTGAGATTCCCGGCTCCCATACCCAGCTTGGAGACGGGGCATGAAACTGTGCTTCCAATCATTATAATTTGTTTCTTATAGTGTTTTTTGGGGGAGGGGATTAAGAGATAGGGGAAGGGGTGGCAGGGCTGCAGGCACTATAACAACTTCAATAACATGAAGTTGTTAAAGTGCCTACAGTGTCTCTTTAAGGATTCCAAATGTAATGGCACTTAATGACTACCTGGTTGTATGAAGTGCCATTACTATATGAGCAGGGAATTCTATGATAGTATAAAGTATGTAAGGACCAGTGTTTTATATAGATTGGGTTAACATTTGGTCCTTAAAGGGTTATAAGAGCTTTTGGTTGAAAGATATTAAGGGTACTACTGCAATATTTATTTTGATGAGTTCAGCAACAAGCAATGATACAAACGAAGAAATGCATCTTTCATTATTTTAAACCCTCAAAAGGAGAAATCTGCTTATTTTTCTTCTAACCATTGGTATAAAAAGCCAATATTCAGTGTCGGCTGATGAGCAGCACATGTTAAATCGCAGAAAACCCATCTGTATTTGGCTGCTGTCAGCATCCTTTGCATTATGATTTTAGTTGAAATCATTTTATATATTGTGCCCATTCAGACAAAACACGCTGTAAATTCACAAAAGTTTATTTGACTTGAAGGTTTTTTGGATCTTCGTTGTCTAGTTTGCATGGGTCCCAATATTTAGTAGTTTGTGGCACCATAGACTGAGAATTTAATGATGTGACTGATGCCAAAATTACTCTGTACTTCCCTGTAGAGCAAAATGTTCCAGGATTGCATCCAATGGTGATGGTGTAAATAGAATACAGTATGTTTGCTCTATACCTAGCAGCATATATTGAGTGCCACTATTAGCCATCACTGTAAAAAAAAAAAAAAAAAGCCAAAGCAGACAAGGCAAATACTGAATCAGCCCTCTCTAACCTTACCCTAGCAGCATTGTGAGGAAGATGCTGCAAAAAAACTTTGTGATTAGATGACTTAAGACTAGGTGCTATAATTCTTCACTTATGGGCTAATAGCTTCTTGATTCCCTCCCCCCCCCAGTTTGCTGGAAAATTGGAAAGCGCTTTAAACATTTTTATTGCCTTTTTCTGGAGCAACAGCAAAATGGATGTTAGAAAGACTGAACTTGATTTATGCATGTCTCTTTTCAGCCTACGTAACCCATTAGACAAGGCCCTGTGCGGGTCTAGAGCTCAGGTTCTGATTGTGAAGAGGCCTTCCTTGAGGCAGCAGGGAGATGATCTTCCTGCTTAGCCCTGTGCTCCCTCAAATGCTCAAAGAAGCATTATAGTCAGCACCAATATTGAGTGAAGCCCATTTTAAGAGCTCCCTCCTTTTCCCAACGGCACTTCTCAATGACTCAGAGTGCCACATCCAGCACTCCCATCGTACAACCAGGGAAAGGTAAGCAAGGAGGGGAGGGACACACAGACACTACACACACACCACTCAGCCACACATACACTCTGTCACCCCCCTCCCCCACATACAGATTCCAGCCGCCTACACACCATCTCACACACACATACAAATCAGCCAACCCAAACACACACACCACTCACAGAAACCAAGCCCTGTGCTGGCACTCTACCTACCTACTTGCAATATTACGTAAGCATTGTTTTTCCAGCAAAGCTTTACATGTATATGAAATCTGGCAACTCAGATGTGTGAAAACCACATTTCCCATAATGATGGCACATGTGGGTCACTGAAATTAGCCATCATTACAATTGTGATTATTCTCTAGTTACAGCAGAGAAAAGAGTTGGAACTGACAAATAAAACAGAGGATATGCTAAATGAAAAAAAAATGTTATGATACAATGATTGGTAAATCAGGACATAATACTTAAAAATCAAATATTTCTAAGTTGTAGCTTCAAATGACACTGCTGGGTAAAGCTGTTGCAACTCACTGATTTTTCACGCTTAGCTGTTTTGACTTAAAATTTCCAATTCTCCAATTCTTGAATTATCTTTAATATATGTTTTCAATTACCTATTTATTTTTAGGTGTGAATGAATCACTTCACTTACATCCAGAAGACACAGCTCTTGGTAAATAAATGTATACAGTTTAATATTTGTGTAGTTTTGCCATCATGTGTTAACTCTTTGTATTAACTGTTTCTATGACCAGAGAGATGAGCAATATACCAAACAGTGTGATTTAGTAAATAGTCTATCATTTAGGGTATTACTGTTTAGTGTCATACCTTACAGCATCAACTAAATAATAAAGGATAATGCATGTATTTATCATATGCAGAATAAACCAACTATACATACATCAATTAAAACCCAGGATGCAAGCTAATACAATTAAAATAAGTAGGAAATCACCAAACAATAACTGCAATATGGCATCTAACACCATCGAGTGTTATTTAATAGCATAAAGCTGCTTTGCTAGCAGCTGTTTGAGAGGTGACAGTATTTGGTGAAATTTGTTAGGCCGATGAAAGCAGTAATGTGGTTTTGTGGCACAGGGTCAGATGAGTAAACAGCGGTTAACAGATGACAGGTTTGATTACCGTTGGCGGCAGGCAAGACATATGGATCCCTTAGGAAAAGAAGCACAGGCTGGTGGGACAGTTTGCTGGAAAAGGTCAAAAAACACAAATGTCAGCATCAAAAACGGTAACAAGAAAATTCAACAAACTAGTTTCAGCAAGGTGATAAGCAGAGGCTGCGCTGTAGTGAAATTCACTCAGCAAAGCAAGTTTTCCAAATCGTAAAAAAAAAAAAAAAAACACATAAGAAATTGCAGAGGATGGGTGGCTTGGAATTTTGAGCTAGTATATAAAATGTACAAAGTACACATATACTACATAGAGAGTCTGAGCAGACCTTTAAGTATTTTATATTGAAGTCAAATTAGGTGGCACAGGAGAACATCAACAGTGGCAACTGAGGGCACATACCTTTACCATTCAGAGACATGTACATAGTTGTTACAATGTCAGAAAATATAAAAAAAGCAACACGGGCATATATCATATATAAAGATTTGTTGTCATGTTAACAGTGCAATCATTAAATACAGAGCCGACAGAAAGCAAGTACAGTGGGACCTCGGTTTACGAATTTAATGCGTTCTCCGGGATGTTTCTTATTGCGAAACATTTGTAAACCAAAACGCGGTTTCCCATAGGAATGCATTGAAAACCAATTAATCTGTTCTGGAGGTCAGAAAAAAGTAAAAATGAGCTGGCATGGAAACCAACCCACAATGCAGAACACACAATAAAAGGTGTTCAAACGACAAAGCTCAGCTCCCTACCTTTCCACAGCTTGAGAAATGCACCAAAAAGTCCCAAAACAACTGAAAACAATTTCCAGAATGGCTCCAAAACGGGATGCAAAAGCCGCTCCAACATCTCCACACTCGACGCCACGTGCTACCCACGGGCTCCAGCATGCAGGGGGCTGTGCTATAAACCTCCCAGGTGCAATGCATCCTGGGAAAACTTGCTTTGAATTGCGAAAAAATTTTGTAAACCGAGGCATTATTTTCAATGGATTTTCATTTGTAAACCGAAAATTATGTTAACCGAGGCGTTTGTAAACCGAGGTCCCACTGTATTATCTCCTACTGAAAATACATAGAATAATATCTTTATAAAGAGCCATTTTGGGTGCCCCTAACACTCTCCGTTCCTGTGCGTCCATCTCGTCTTGTTGCTTATATTTGTCTGTTAGTCCACCTATAGTACAGCACTGCAGAGCTTGTTAGTGCTCTTTAAAAAAGAATACTAAACTAAAGCAAGTATGGGTGTTCACAAATACAGAGAGCAAGAAATAAAAAGGTAAAAGGAGGAATATATTAAGCCTACCTAGTTTCTCCTGAGTCAATGTCATCAATTGAGCTGGAACAAAGAATAATACATGAATTAATCTATTTCTTGAAAACATCAACAGTCCATTTCAAAATTAACCCCTTCACCCCCCAAAACAGTGTTTTACTAAAATACATACCACCATTTAACATCCATAGCTTACATACTATAGATTCAGACAAGGGATATTTACACACAGAATTGACATTAGCAGCCAAAAAAATGCTTGTTCCAGGCTGCTAATAATGCTGCCGGAGGTGGAGTTACACCTCCAGCAATAAACATAGCTCTGTACATGCATTTCAAACTGAAACCCTGCACATAAACTCAGAGCACCATAACCACTTTAAAGCACTGAACCTTTTTGTCAAAAACTGTATGTGTGTCAAAACTATGAAAAATTTTCAAATGCTTCACAAATAGGCATTTGTAAAGAACCTGATGGCATGATGTTTGCATTCTGGCATACAATAATTACAGTTACACAAAGCAATTTTGCGATGCACAACAGTGTATTTGAAGCCTGCCAAGAATCCCCACTTAGTTTACGGTGGTCAGGGCCCCTCCATCCTTGGCTACTGGAATGTAAATCTGTCTGTACTTTGACCTACAAAAGATTAGGACAGTGTAGAGCGTGTCATCATGTACACTACTCTTTTTGGATATTAAATTAAATAATTCTAGGTATTAGTTTGTCATTAAAATCCAACTGCAACACTTCTTGTAGTATACAATGAGAGGGGCAGCTACAAATATATTCTTTTTACATACCTCCCTATTGTTCTTATTTTGGAGGGAAAGTCCCTCTTTCCTATCTTAATCCCCCTCTCATGGAGCTCAGTATTCTTGGTGTCAGAATTCATACCAGAGTTCCATAGTTCAAAGTAATGTTTATTTAAGCCACTTTATATGCTGAGAAAACAAACAATAAAAACAAAATACACTTAAATTAAATTCTAGCTGCATAAAATGGCATTTGTAAGACACTTTCTCAGTACAGCCCAGCTCCTGGCCACACCCCTAAAATTTAAAATTGTCCATATTTGTTCATTTGGAATGTTGGGGGGGGGGGGGGTTAGGTTTATGTATTTAGCCTTCAGTTTCATGTTGCCTAAGTTATGAATCAGCACAAAACAAACAAGAAAATTACACCTTACCCACAACTCTCTGCTTTCGGTAGTGATGGCATATGGCGAACATTGAGGAAATCTAGAAATATTTTTGGTAGTTCTTCATTTTCAAAAATCACTGTCTGAAATTAAAAATTGTATGTATTAAAACCAAATCATAATACACAGTGATATGTAAGTATGTGTATATATATTTCAGACTTCAGGTGGAAGGGGTTTTCAATCACAATTTTTCCCCACCATAACCTAGTTGGATTTTGCTTCCCAAGCACTACCAAACCTCAATAAGCAAACCAGTAACCAACCTCATGCTGAAGAGTTGCATTTACAACGAAACAGCTGTCCATGAGTGGTTCACTTGTTTTGCATCTTTTCCTAAATTGTGTTCCAAGCAGTTGTATACTGCAAACACAGATTAAAAGGTATCCATGTTTAAAATGGAATGAGGCAAAAATGTGAGTCTGTTAAACTAATTTGCATATGCCCACCCAGAATCCTTTGTAGTTGTAACATCACTGCAGATTTGGGATTTCTGTGGGAAAAGCAAGTCTTATGGCTTGACTGGTGTGCAGATTTTTGTTTAACATTGTAATATATATATATATATAATAAATCTAGACAAATACACACAAAATGTGTGTGGATTAGAGGTGTTGCTAGGTGACACTTCAACCCAAGTGTACATTGTATGGCCTCTACTGCATATACCGACTAGCTCCTCCTAAACTGAGAAATATACAATGTCGTAACTCCAACCATAAATACATATTGTGACAACATAATGTAAATCACACAATGACAAAATTCGGAGTATAACATAGACCTATATTTATAAACACCATACCTGCCATAATAGCACAAACCATGCTGTATTAATCGTTCAACATTCACTACATTAAAACTCTGTACCCACAGCAATATAATTAAGTTGAAGGTTCATTGTCACAATTGGCTTTATTTCTCTCTCAGAATTACAGGGGACTCCGGGTTAACAATGAAATGGTGTCATAATTTTACTCCAGGCTTTTGAGGACCCCACTCGGAGTCAACCAATGTAACCCTGACCCTAAGCAATACCTCTAGACGGTGGATAGATCTTGAATTTTATGTATTCTTTATGTATACTTCCCCTCTTTGTCCCAGGCCACTCGCCCCTTCCTATTCCATGAGCGGATGTCTTCGTTACTTGTATTTTCTATATGCAGATAAAGTCTGAAATCAGACTGACCTAAAGACAATCTAAGTCATGGTTCTAGTCTAGATTTGACTGCACAATGCACAACCACCCTTTTTAATTTGCTTGTCAACATTTCTGCAAAAAGAATATACAATTATTCATAAATATATAGAGTGCTATGCATACATTTATTTTGTGCAACAGATGTCTGTACACTCCTAGAAAATTTTATTTTTTCTTCTTTTTTAAAAGCAGCTCATTCCTACAATGATTTTTTTTTTTTTTTTTTACTGTGGTTGGGGAGTAAGAAACATACCTGTCTTTGTATATTAAATTCACCTGCATATACTAAGTTTTGCAGTTTAAAGTATCTTTTGAATATGAGCAACTTGTAATTATTGTTACAATAACTCAAGTGAGTGCTGGGATGATGTGCCTGGTCTTAAATAGATAATGCGTGAAATAAAAAGCCTAAGGTGAATGTAATTTAAAACAACCACCAGTTTCTTTTTATTATGAACCTTTATCTCAGATTCCTATTTAAGCCAAAAGAAAACAAAATGTTCAGTTTCAATGTCCATTGCTATTTCATTACTCAGCTCTGAGGGAACCCAATCCATCATTATACGGAGAAAGAGGAAATCTCCTGTGGGTTTAGAGACTTACTTTGGTTTTATTAATGCAAGATTTAGGAAATGTTAACAATGTGAGTTGTTTGTCTAAGTTGACAGATCAGCTTACTGGCCACTTCTATAGTATATTTGAAAATGACAAAGGACAGGACACGGGTCTAATGCAGAGTTCTGGTATTCCTCCACAGTTATCAGGAACACAAATTTAGGGAATAAGTGATACAACAAAATTGTTAATATACAGGTTAATAATAGGGAGAAGTGAATCTCTACTTTGATGCTCATAATGGAGAAATTAAAGGAGCACTATAGTTGCAGGGAAACAAACAAATTTTCCTGGCACTATAGGGTCATTAGGTACCCCCACCCTCAGGGCCCCCGTCCCGCTGGGCTGAATGGTTTAAAACCCCTTCAGCCACTTACCTTTCTCCAGTGCCGGGCTCCCTCTGTGCTTGGGAACTCTCCACCCCCTGCAGACGTCAGATCCAAATGCGCATGCACGGCAAGAGCGTGCGCGCATTCAAACAGCCCACATGAAAGCATTACTCAATGCTTTCCTATGGACGTCCAGCATCTTCTCACTGTGATTTTCACAGTGAGAATCGCGGAAGCACCTTTAGCGGCTGTCAGTTAGACAGGCACTAGATGCTAGATTAACCCTCAGTGAAACATAGCAGTTTCTCTGAAACTGCTATGTTTTCAGCTGCAGGGTTAAAACTAGAGGGACCTGGCACCCAGACCACTTCATTGAGCTGAAGTGGTCTGGGTGCCTATAGTGGTCCTTTAATTGACGGTTGTGTAAACTATTTAAAAATATATGTGACATGGAAGTAGGTTAAACAAAATTAGTTAATGTAATCTAAATTATTTAAATAATAAAACAAAAAAAATTAATCTGATATTTCAGCCAATCTCATAGTCTGACTGATTTAGTAAAAATGTCCAGTTGGATATGTGTTACAAATACTGGTTGAGAGGGAAAATAAAACAAATATAAATGTGATGTACCACTTCATACAGAGACTGAATGGTTCTGGGATGGAATGATGGAAATTGGAAAACAGCAGCACAAACAAAAAAAAATATAAAGAGAAGAAACAGGAATGTAACTCTGCAGTTTGACCTACAAAAGATTAGAATAGTGTAGAGCAGGGGTAGGCAACCTTTGGCACTCCAGACGTTGTGGACTACATTCCCCATAATGCTGGCAAAGCATCATTGGAGGTGTAGTCCAAAACATCTGCAGTGCCGAAGGTTGCCTATGCCTGGTGTAGAGAGTGTAATCAAGAGGAGGTAGACTAAAGCGCCAGTGTAGTGGACCATGTGTGATGTATAAATCTATTTTCATAAGAAGCCAACCCACTGATTTGTATTTACATCTTATATAAAAAAACACTAAAAGTAATGGATTAAATAGCTAATTATATGATTTAGAGATCATTCTACCCTCTACAGATCTTTATCTAAGGTGGGGGGTGTTACATAAATCACTCAACGGTACACATAGTTTGAAACAATATATTCTGAGCCTATTGTGTAGGCATGCAGAAAAAAAAGGAGTAACTTTATCATCATACCTCGAACATAATCATTCCGTGAAAGAGAAGACAACATTTTCTACATTAAGTGCTCCAAGTTTAAAGTCATATTATTTGTTATTCTAAATTCCACTGTGCCCCATGGATTTTTCCAACCTAATCATTCTCACAAAACTGTGCTCCCAATGGACACCAATGATTGGATGAACATGTTCTATCTTTGACATCCCAAGCTCTTAATTGTCAGGTATCTCTTATTCTTCTTCAGTGGCTGAAATACAGTCACAAAATAACAGAGGGACTTGTTCTGGTTTAACCTTAGCAAGCTGCCATCACGCTGTGGAAAACCATGTTAAAATATCACAGGATCGCGCTGTACTGCAGAGGAAGACGTGTAAAGATTGTAATGATTTCCCTTGAGTTTGCTTTTTAGAAAATTGTCACTGGAGCCAGCAGAAACTGTGACACATTTTCAGAAGGGAAGTCGGGATATCGAACCATGGCATTCTAGTTAGGGCCAAATCTACTCATCAGCCAATTATAACGATAACCAAGCATCTTACTGAAAACTTCAACAAGACCACTAAGGCTAACCTTTGGAGATTTCTGAACAAGGTTTCCATAGAGCAAGGATATGTATGTATCATCAAGAATGAAACATTTCTTCCCACTTAGTCTTCGTAAAGTTGTTCGTGAAATGTACTCTAGACATTGGAAAGTTTTAAAAGAGAGGGCACGTCGCTAGTGTCTATTGTAGCTACTGTTTATTGGACGGCACCCATCTGTGGGAGAGAAAAGCATTTATTCCATCTGCACAAAGACTGCAATATCTTGGGAAGGTTGTAATATATTATTGGATGGGTGGGAATAAAACCAATAATACTGGCATTTCTATTTAATAATATAGTTCAGCAATCCGTGAAAATTTTTTTTAAAAAATTAAAAAAAAAAAAACTGTTGAGAAGGGAAAAAAATTACACTAAAAACAAACTAACATTTGATTAGCGGTTGCAAGTTTCCAATTCCAAGATTTTTTTTTTAAATACTGGATTTACTGATGCACTATAAAATAAAGTTATATTTATATATCTGCACAGCTGCATTCAGCTGTATACTGAAACTGAGCACCTTCATCTTGGCTGCCGGTCGATCACGATTATAAAATCTACGACTCTGCCATTAGTGAAGAACAAAACGTCAATCAGCATATAAGCCTCCCCATAAGTAGCACATGTATCTTCATAGAGGCAGCAATAATCAATGGCTAGCTAGAACACCGTACGTGGAAAAAAAAATAAAAAAATTCTCCCTTTTCAATCCCATGTGTTTCCTGACTGTGCCTGAACTGGATTGTTTGCACAGGCTGCTCACTGTTTAATAGACATGCCCCTACTTGCGGTATAGCGAGTTGGGTCAGATTATTTACTAAAACTAAGTAATCTTTACTTAGTATTAGTAAATTTGGCTCAAAGACCAATTTAGGTCTTTCAGCCTTTTGGTAGATAGCTCACTGATACCGTGGGAATTAGGGAGCTATGTACTAAGCAGCTGCAAGATGCAGCCAGGGCACGAATAGGATCGGAGTTTCATTCATTCAAATGAAATTCCGATATGAACAAAGTCCTGAATTGCGTCCTAACACGAATGGAGAAACTGTTCTCACTCTGTTAGGATGCAATTCGGTAGTTTCACCAGCGTTCTATCTAAGTGACAGGACATTCGGGAAAAGTGAAAGGAGGCTTCGCTGAGAAAAGGAGAGAATTGTGGGTAAAATGCTCAGACCACCGGAAATGAAGCACATTTTGCTCCTCAGCTGGTCAGGCGTCGGGAAACCTCCATAAGACAAATAGTCCCTACTTTGTCTTATGATTTTAAAGAAAACTAGAGCAGACAGGAAGAATGAAGAACAGATCCTGACAGAGGGAGAGAAGAGGAATCCATTGGGGAAAGGTAAGTTCGGCATGGCAGTGCCACGTTAACATAGAATTATTGTTCCAAGATGGATTTCTGCCTCCTCTTATTTGCTGCTCTGCTAATGTGGAAACATTACCTTGAGCAGCAAAGGGGTGGAAGAGATAGGTTGAGACCTTATTGCAAGTACAACAAATTGTACATATGCCTTCTTGTGACGACCATTTATAAGCAAAGCACTTCAGCTGACACTCTCAGCTTTTCTGCAACACTGCTAGGGTTGCCACCTGGCCGGTATTTTTTGCAGTATAGATTTTGATTAAGTTCTGCAATACTGGTGCCAGTGAGCAGGGGTAGCTGTGTTTGGAGAGAAACAAGGATAGAAGTTACAGCTGCTTTTCTCTACCGACTGAATCTGAAGGGGAGCAGCACTAAAGTTCAGCCAGCAGCTCCCAGCCTGCAGACAGACTGCATATCAGGTAATAAATAATACGTGATTAAAGCTACAGTGAAAACTTTGTAATATTGCCTGGTTATACCTCTATCTCAGACCTAATAAAATATGGTCCTTTAATTGCACTACACCCCATGTAGCTTAACAATTTATTTGTTACTGAGAAAAGTGGGAGGACAGGCTGCAAGGAGACACACTGGGAGACACAGATGGGGTTAACAAGAGATGACACAGACAGATGAAGGCTGATATAGTAGGTGAGACAGGAGAAGAAAAAGATGAGGGTTGACACAAGAGGATTGTTACAAGAGGAGAGACACAGATAAGGGTTGTTACAAGAGGAGAGATACAGATGAGGGTTGTTACAAGAGGAGAAATACAGATGAGGGTTGTTACAAGAGGAGAGACACAGGTGAGGGTTGATACAAGAGGAGACACATATTGGAGGGTTGGACAAGAGGAGAGACTCAAATGAGGGTTGGCACAGGAGTAGAGACACAGATTGGGTGTTTGGACAAGAGGAGAATCACAGATGGTTTGCAAAGGAGGAGAGACACTGAAGAGTATTTGTACCGGAGGACAGACACAGATTGGGGGTTTGGACAGGAGGAAAAACAAAGATGGGAGTTGATACAAGAAGGGAGACACAGGAGAGGCATAGATTTGGGGTTTGTACAAGAGGAGAGACGCAGCGAGGGTTTGTACAGGAGAGATACTGATGGAGGAGAGAGATATTTAGTACAAATCCGCTATTTTGGCCTTAACTTTGTAGCTTCATTTTCAATTCACTACACTAAATTTTTTAATTTAGGGAATAGAGGTGTATTCATTAAACTGTGAAATGTAGTGAATTTAAATATTAATTGCAAATTATAGACAAAAATAACTTATTTGATAAAATTCTCCAGTTGAGCCTTGGCACATCTTGGCCCTTATAACCTACATTTTTCAAATTGGTTATGGACATTGAGGATATACAATCTTTAGACAGAAAAGCCCCAAAGTAAACAAGTCAGATTTGGTTGGCCCCATATAACCAAAACCACTGCAGATTACTGTAATGGCTATGGTGCAATGGGGCTATAATGCAGTTGTCAAACGATAGTTAAGTGACTCCAGATGCCTAAAGTCCACTCCTACTCCTACTAACAAGATGATGAGAAATTACTCTGTTATTCCAAATAACCTTAATTGATACAGTCAATAATGATGCAAATTATAGTGGGCCATTATAAGCAAAGCTTCAAATTTTATTGATATGATGGCATCCAAGGGCATGCAGTTTACAATTCTGTGTTACAGACAAGAAAAGGCAGCTATTCTATAAAGGAGTGCCCCTTTAACTTTGACTATGCTTTAATAAAAGAGCAGTAATTGGCACAATAAGCATAAAGCAAAATTACAAAGGCATAACAAAATAAACAATAATTACCACAATTCTCAAAAGCCTATTATGGCAGAAACACGAGTTCCCAATACCCCCAACGTTTTGGCACCTATTGGCTGCCTTTTTCAAGGGAGTTTCATTATTTAACCGTAACTTGAATTTATTTTGGTAAACAGCCATAATATCAAACCTTGTGTCAGTGGGGTCCAATGAACTGGGCCAGCTGGGGAATAGTGTGGGCTGGTGGGCGGCCGGCGAGGGAGCTGTGATCTCTCTTCTCTCCTCCCTCATGCTTCGCTTAGTTATGCTGGGGCCGGAGTGACATCATATTCTGGCCCTGGCATTACGAAGCGGAACACGAGGGATAAGAGAGATATCACTGCTCCCTCACTGCCTGCCTACAGTATATGCAGCAGGTCACCCCCTTAGGAGTGATCAGGCTTAAAAATCCCAAGCACCAGGACAAAATTCCCAGTCACCATAGGACCTGGGATTTGTTGAGCTCTGCTATAGTCCTGCCATGATTGGAAGTGGTTACAAAACTGAATGGTTTATACTCATCCAGATTCATGAGTTGAGGTCTTCTACTACACTTCAGCTGCATTATGGCAGAAAGTAGGGAGAATCTTTGAAACACAGAATGTGACGGTAGATAAGAACCATTCGGCCCATCTAGTCTGCCCAATTTTCTAAATACTTTCATTAGTCCCTGGCCTTATCATGAGTCTAGGATAGCATTATGCCTATCCCACGCATGCTTAAAGGGATCCTATAGTGCCAGTAAAACAAAGCTGTTTTCCTGGTACTATAGGGTTAATAGGTCCCCCTCTCCCTACCACCCCCCCTCCCACAGGTCTGAAGGGGTCAGGCACCACTCATGCTCCTCCCCCCACCGATGTCAGCTGGCGGGGGAAACCTAATGCACATGCAATTATTCAGCTAACGGACCACAAGTCCGTTTGGATTCCGGAAACCTTCTAGTGGCTGTCTGGTAGACAGCCACGGAGGGCAGACTTAGAGCTGAGTTTCTCTGGAACTGCAATGTTTTACATTGCAGCACTAAGTGCAAAAGGGTCTCAGCACCCAGACCACTTCAATGAGCTTTAGTGGTCTGGGTGCCTACAGTGCCTTTAAACTTCCTCTATCATTTCAGCTGGAAGGCTATTCCATGCATCCACTACCCTCTTTGTGAAGTAGCAGTTTGTTCATATGTTACATATGTTATTTTTTAGATGATTTTTCGTGAAACATAATTTGTCTAAAATGCATTTGTAATATTCTAAGCCCAGTTCCATGCGGCATATTTATATAAGTGACTTTGCATAACCCTTAGAATTTGCTCGCAGTTTGCACATTTGTAGTATCTAGAATTGCAATACTCTTTCTTTGTGCATTCTCAGAAGTCATACGCAGTAGAACAAAAACAGATATAAACATTAAAAAAAAAAAGATATATATATATATATATATAAATAGAAAAGTTACACTTACAACTACTTACTTTGCAAGCACAACAGGAAAAACAAACAACCCCCCCGCCCTCCCAAAAAAACCCCCCAAAAAACAAAAAAAACCACACACACACACACACATCCGGCTGTTTTTTAAAATAGTATAGATCTATCTATATGTATGAATGACTCTAGGAACTACTTGACATTGTTTTTTTTTTATATTATCATGACCATAAAATATGGAGAAGTAGTCTGGGATCTAGAACAGTGGTTTGTCTTAACACAGAGTGTGGTTTTATATACTTACATCTGTTTCTGCCCTTTAGAGTGGTAGCAATTTGTCACCATTACAGTACTTTCTCTCCAGTCCCTCCTTGCGTTAAATGGATAGCTCTCCACAATGCACTTTTCACTTTAAATGAGCACTGCACTGAGTTCCCAGCATGATTGATCTCTTTCTTTAGTTTCCCCCTGAATGCTGTTAACAGGGCTGGTCTCTGATAAAGGCTAACTGGTATGAATTGTTGGTCTTTGCAGTCTCTCTCCTCTAAACACCACAGGGATCATTTAAAGATCACAATCGAAGCGCAAAGCAGCTGTTGGTTGCAAAATGAGGCTTAAAATGCAGTGTGCTCTTCAGCAACTTCTGCAGCGTACACACTGGACAACACATTTGTATCTATAATAAGTACAAAATAGTCCTCTGTAATGGTTTTATTTCTCATTCATGAACTCTTACTTTATGCTCCTGACTTGTAGAAGTCCTTTCCTTTTGATTTAGTTCCAATGCATTCTGCCACAGTTTATCAACTGCTGTTGGGACCATACCTGCAGTCCTATTATTGTGTACTTGCCCTTTAGTGCACGAATTGTAACGTGGTGGTGAAAATTCCCTACAATTATACCATAAAACAGAATTTAATGTACCATGTTCCATTAGATGTGCTTTACACGTGAATACCTTGTGGAGCAAGGAGGGCTTTAATACCTGACCAATTTTAAGGCTGGCAAAGCATCATGGGAGTTGAATTTATGGTACAGCCTATTAGCCACTAATGCTGCAATTATAAAAAAAAAAACACAAAATAAAACACATCACAATATACATTTATTTTTTTGCACGCTACAACACTGAAGAAACCTTGAATAAATTTCATATAAAATCAAATCTTAACAGTGCATGTCCTGTAACCATGACCTGGCTGCCTATGAATTATGTGCGTTAACGTTCTCAGCAAATTAATCGCTAGAGGTGCTTATCTCCATCAAGCAGTCCGAAACGTAAAATAACATCTGATTTGCCATCTGTCCTAAAACTTATTTTGAAAGAGGAAATATAAAACATTGTTCTAACCACACGTATTAACAAAGCTTGCCAATAAGACATGTAAAATTCTGTCATCAGGGAATTGCAGCTAAAGGTCACGGATAATGTAAATGACTTGGAAACAGATCTTACATTTCTGCCTTTTTTTCCCTGTGACTATGCATTATCCTAACTTCCTTGTCCAAAATGAGATTCTTTCAAACAGGACGAGCATCCTTAGCTCCATGCTGCTTTGCAAGTGGCGGACAATCAATAGCTGCTGAATGCCATCTGCTTTGGCCAGCGAAACAGCACCAAAAGTGTGGGCCATGCATCTTCTTTTATTGAAAGGTTATTTTTATGCAAGTAAACAATTCATCGTCTCTTTGCACGCTTGATGCTCATTTACCACTTCTGATCAATAAAATATGCAAAACAACAAAAAAAATTGAATCCTAAGAGTAGATGTGACGCTGGGATGAAAGGTAATCAATAAAAGGCCTGTTCAATAGGGCAGCGAGTGGGGTTACTCATTGTAAGAAATCATGATTCCTTGGGTCTTCTTTCACAATCCATTTGAAGGATTGGACTTATCTAAAGTAACAAACTCAACCTTATTGAAATAAAGAAGAGTTTACCGTGTAGACACACATCCTGATCAAGACAACACATTCTCTCAAAGATGATATTCAGATGCTTTCAAGACCGCAAATGTCTCATATCTGACATTTTAATAGTGGATTGACACTGGAGTTTATTAGCAGAACATACAGTTCTTGCACTGGGAATTGGCACTAGTTTTCCAATATGGTATTCTGCTGGTCGCAGGCATTTCATTCCGACTGGAACATGTACATTATTTCCTTCTAAGGGAACGTACAATGATGAATTGCATTGGACCACAAAGATTCCATTATTGAACCAACATTTATTTTAACGCAATTATCTCCCTATTTAAGATTCACTTAACATTATTCTTTGGTGATTTAAGCCTCTTCGAATATCGTTCCTACAGTTTTTCTCAAAAGTGACTACAAATTACAATGTGTCAAGTTACTATAATAGTTTTTTTTTTTTCTTTTCTTTAAATGGACTTTCCAGGCTATAACTGACCATGCTTTTAATTTGAATGCAATAAGATATATACTAATAAAAATTTGAGAGAGAATTAAAAAAAAAATAAGTTATTTGCATTCTTATATTTGCTGCATATCCTTCCACAGTGAGCTCTTACTAAGCTAGGAAATGACTGTCCATAACATTTTTTTACAGAACTGTTTGGGTTATGCCACACACTGTGCTTTATGGGCAACACAAGGGTTTCTAGTAGTTGTAGTTCAATTGTTAATCGTCATGACTTCATGTAAAGCAATATTATTGGATAAACAAAAACAATAAACTGCAGGTCGGGTCAGGCACAAAGGGTGGACTTATTGGGCCAAACAATTTTTCTAAACAAAAACACAGACATGCAAACCAGCAAAACTGTAATCTATGATATAATACTGTTCATCGATTTATACATCATACTAGGTAGTGCTGTCTTTGGCTGAACTAACTAGAAGGGATCAATGGTATTCATTGTATTACAGTTCTATTGTACTTAAAGATGGACTGCACTTCTTGTTGTAAGACTGCATCTCTTGCCTACAATGCTGTGACTATCTACCCATCTATGCATATGATGTACAGCAAGCATGTCAAACTCAAAGTCTGGCACGGGCCACATAAACAAGGTTTAAGTTTATGTGGGCTGTTTGTTTGTTTTTCATAGAAACGTAGGTTTATTTTAAAAAGTACAGTATAAAAACACCAGCATCCCCCTCTACTAAACCACTCCCCCCCTCTACTAAGCCACAGCACCCCCCTCTACCACTCTGTGCCAAATCTGATCCTCCCGCTGACACACACACATACTCACTGACAGACGCACACACACACTCACAGACAGTTACACACACACACTCACAGACAGTTACACACACATACTCACAGACACACACACTCACAGACACACACACTCACAGACACACACACACAGACACACACACTCACAGACACACACATACATACACACAGACAGAACACACTCACATACTGGCAGACACATACAAACTCACAGACAGACACACACACTGACATTCACAGAAATACACACATACATACTCAGAGACAGACACACTGACAGACACACACACACACACACACTTTTCTTTATTGCTTCTTACCTTTAGGAGCCGATGTGGGACATCTCCCTTCTATCTGCTCCTCACTGCTCCCGCATACAGTTTAGTGATGCCAGGTGCCGGAATATTACGTCATATTCCGGTGCCCGGCTTCACTACAGACGGCGTGTGCGAGGGAGCAGTGAGGAGAAGGAACACTAAGGTCCCTCGCTGGCCCTCCTCCCCGGCCAGGTAAGTTTTAGCAGAGTAGAGAAAAAAGGCCATTTAAAATAGACACACACAAAATCAACAACAACTAACATTTAGCTGGCTATAAGAACATGCTCTCACATGTAAGATGCACCCAAATATAATTGGCTTTATATAAAATATTATGCAAAGCCAAACATAAATACTGTTTGTAGGACTTGTCAGTCATGTCACACACTGACAATTTACACATGAGAATAAAAAAAAAGAAAAAAAGAAAAAGGCAGGCAGGCATCGAGACAAAATTAAAGTATATCAGTATAAAGTTTTGTAAATATGTTTTTACACAAATATTTAAACTTTACTAAATACACTCAATATACAGGTAAACCAAATCAAAGCATTACTATTCCCTTCTTCAGCACACTAGATATTTTAGAATTCATTTAACCCCTTAATGACAGCCTCTGGAATAAAAGGGAATCATGACGGAATATTTCCGTCACGTGTCCTTAAGGGGTTAATATAATAAATCTCCAGTGACCATGGTTCTAACCTGCTCATAAATCTGAATATCTGTCACATGTAAGTATCCAAAATGAGTAAGAAGAGCTGCAAGTAGCTATTTGGGCATTACTCCCCAAGACATGTTGTAATGTGAATTACATGGCACATTGTATGGGATAAACACCCATCATCCATATATCCAATAGCACATGGCTGGCCAAGAGTTATGAAAATGCTTTGCCATCCTTCAGAATGGAAGTTGCATCCTGAAAGCTGCAGTTATACAGCTCCTGAGGATTAACCTGCTTGGTTATAACCTAGTATATTCTACTACATTAGGACTAAAACTTAATTTGTGCTTAAAGGACCACTCTAGGCACCCAGACCACTTCAGCTTAATGAAGTGGTCTAGGTTCCAGGTCCAGCTAGGGTTAACCCATTTTTTAATAAACATAGCAGTTTCAGAGAAACTGCTATGTTTATTAATGGGTTAAGCCTTCCCCCAAAGCCTCTAGTGGCTGTCTAATTGACAGCCACTAAAGGCGCTTACGTGCTTCTCACTGTGATTTTCACAGTGAGAGCACGCCAGCGTCCTTATGAATGCTTTCCTATGCAACCGGCTGAATGCGCGCGCAGCTCTTGCCGCGCGTGCGCATTCAGCCGACGGGGCGGAACGGAGGAGGAGAGAAGGAGGAGAGCTCCCCGCCCAGCGCTGGAAAAAGGTAAGTTTAAACCCCTTTCCCCCTTCCAGAGCCGGGCGGGGGGGGGGGTCCCTGAGGGTGGGGGCACCCTCAGGGCACTATAGTGCCAGGAAAACGAGTATGTTTGCCTGGCACTATAGTGGTCCTTTAACCTACACAATCTTCTATTCTGTTTTCCTTTTTAGAAACAGTAGGAAGAATCTTCTGTGGGTATAAGAGTTCCCAGGAATTGCAATATTGTGTAAATTTGCCATGTGCAGGACAGACTTTACAGATGATCAAGACGTGGCACAGGAAAGGCAAAGCAATGTAACATTGCATGGAGATTGCAAACAAGCATTACATTAAATTAATAACATTTTGGATTAACATGAATCCTAAATTTTCAGAAATAACACATATCAGGGATCAAAATTTTCAGTCACCAATTAGCAAGTGAAAAAGCAGCCCTACGAAGTAAACATTACGGTGAGTGTGTCACTGACTCTCCAGCACCATGGACTGCAATGTCAAGTTTCCTTTAGACCTGCCTAGCAGCGCATGACTTAACATACTGAGCACCGCACATACCATGCCCACACCGGGTTAGAAAATATATCATTTAAAAAAAAAAAAAAATGCAGTAGGGTGTGCATTCCTGTATAAAAGTAGTAATTTTAACAATGAGGAACAGGACACACGTTTTGCTCTAGAAATAATTAGTTGTAATAGAGATAGTAATTATATTTTCTTTAAAAATAATATACACTAGCTTAAACTCATGAGAAAGTGCCACAAATATAGTTTAATTAGGGAGTGACTTGGGACTCCTATGGATAAGTTCAAGTCTATTAACAGTAATGTCCACTTGGTATTAGCTTGAGTTACAATGTAATGTGTTATAGATCATAGCTACACTTACTTGTAATACATCTTGATAACATTTAACGGGACACTATAGTCACCAGAACAACTACAGCTTAATGTGGTTGTTCTGGTGAGTATAATAGCTCCCTTCAGGCATTTTCATGCAAACACAGCCATTTCAGAGGGACACCTCCAAGTGGCCACTCCTAAGATGGCCACTGGAGGGGCTTCCTGACTCAGGGCTGCACAGTAACCAGCCCTGCTGTTCAGCATCCCCCACGCTTTGCATGGGGACGCTGAATTTTTCTCATAGAGATGCATTGATTCAATGCATCTTTATGAGGAGGTGCTGATTGGCCAAAATGGCGTTTGGCCCCACCCCATGCGGATTTTAACCAATCCATGGGAAAGCCTTGGTTTGTCTAAAAATGGGCAATTTTGATTATGTCACCAAGGGGGCGGGGCCAGCGCCAGCAGACCTGTGGAGAGTTAGAAATAAGGTGAGTTTTAGCCCATTCTGAGGGGCTTAAGGGGAGGGGGGAGGGGAAGGGAACAAGCCACCTAAATGGTTTGTTTTCACTATAGGGTCAAGAAAACAGGTTTGTGTTCCTGACCCTATAGTGATCCTTTAATATAGAAACCTGAGCTATCCACTATCAAGCTGTACAATGTAGACGAGGGATCACACATCACAGGAATCATTAAAATACATAGCAAGGTTTACAACGAATACTTAACTACGTTAAATACATAAAACGGTCCACCATGACTTTATTTTAAAACAATTATGGTAAAATCCCCCATCTAAAATACTCATAGCATAGTTTTAGTTACACTGTGATAGTCTCACAATAGCACAGCATCCGCACAGCACAGGTCACAAGTAGAAGGGTGCACTTAGGATATAGTTGAGAGGTAAACATGGTTACAAGACTATCCACCAGGGTTGTTAAACTCCGGTCTACCATATGCTTGACTACAATGCCCATAATTCTCTGTCCATTCATTGTATCAAGAGATTTAGGAAGTTCTAGTCAATTAAAATCTTGGGAGCTGAAGTGCGACAACCCTGCTCTACACTTCAGTTTAGAGAGGGTATCTGAATTCAAGATGCTTTGGCAGGGAATTATAATCCTTAGCATTTATAGTGTCCAAAGGAGTTAGGAGGTATACCACTGTACTCCTCACTCCCTAGGGAGGTTTATTTATTGCACGGGGCAAACAGCAGTAGCAGAGGACATGAGAAAGGGTCTCCATGAGGAAAACGTTCAGCATGGTGCATACTGGTTCCACAGTGTTCTGATCATATATCCCAAACTTTACAATAGTAGGCAGTATAATTGTAATACCATAGCTATTTGCACTCTCTTAAAAGCCACTTCTTCCCCCTATTTGTCAACACCAGGCACTGAGTACAACTCAAGATAAACCAATGAAATTCTGCTCAAAATGACAAACCCTAGAAAATTCATTACTCACTTATTTGAGCTCTTCGCTACATTTAAAGACCTGTCAGGTTATAAATATTAATTTTGATAAGTCCCAAGCAATGCGTTTGTATCTGTATTTGGGTCAAAATGTTGCTGGGTCCACAATGGTGGAATAAATATCCGGTAGCGGATAGATTCTTTGTTTTCCACGATCTACAAAAGGTAACTCGAACGTATCTTGCAGTGTTGGTCATCCCTATTGGCTTTTCTTCAATTCTGTCTCTGTCAGACATATTTAGCTGACTCCTTGGTCACTTACTTACCTGGGCGTGCATCAAACAGCTGATCCTCCAGGTGGGTGGCTGATCTTGAAAACAGCACAAGCAATCTAATTCTTGGACTAGCAGACTGCACGCAGTCATGATGATTCTCCTTTTGAAAATGCTACTTATGCCTTTCCCATTCAATTTTTTTAACATTACATTTCTTTTAAAGTGAATCTCCCACGTGGAGCAAACTTGATATTTGTGAATTTTGCGTACGGAGTACCAAACTGGAATAGTTAGGACAATGTTACTTAGTAAAACAGATTTCTTTCCCCCCAGTTTGCCAGTTTTTGGAAAACTGTTGCAGTTTGCCACAATTCATTGTTTAGTAAAAAATAAAATAAACCAACAATACTACTAGTGCTCAATAGGCAACTAAATTAATGAGAAAAAACACAGAATAGAGAAAAATAATCTGACTCATGCAAACTGAAAATTCATCAGCAAGTATGCTGTGAATTTCATTTTCCAAACATCCAAAAACTGTGTTCTGGCTTTCTTTAATTAACCCTTCTTTAAAGATCATTCAATAATTAAAAACACATATTGACATTTTACTTGACATGCATATACTAGCCTCCAATGAAGATGTTCATTTCCTCCAATTTAAAGACATAGTATTACACATGCAAAATACACACAAAAATAAAAAATAGATAATTTCAAAGTATGTATAAAATGTTTTTGACAGCTGTAACACTCTCTCCCCCTCTACTATAGTTTATTGCGGCCATTAGTAAATGAACAACGTAGTTAAAAATACAATAAAATTATTACAGGTCATTACATTTTGACTTTGAAATGATTCTTTCTGAACATGGCCCAGAACTCTGCAGTAGCTGTAAGTCAATGACCCAGCCAGCAGCAAGGGTATAATTTAAAGTTAGAAATTTCCAGTGAATGCACCGTTAGCCACAGTGAACCTGTTACGGCTCCAAAGGGAATTATTTGGATCTTATTCGATTTTCTACAGCATGTCCATAAGTGATAAATGCACTGCTGTACTCACTGTCAAGTTAATCAATGCTGCCAAAGTTTTGTTGACCTAACTGTAATCTATAAAGTAAGCGTCATTTTGTTCATTGCTACAACAACATCTTCTACATACAAGACACAATTTATTTTTTCTCCCTTTCACAATATAGTGTAAATACATTTAAATGTCTTAACCACCATAACCCTTTAATGAAAGGAGCTCACAAATTGGAAAGGACAGAGGGTAGCTGGAGGTACTCCAGAGTTAACCATCAGAATCCTGGACTGCTAACTCAGTTGGAGGAAGATACTCTGTGCCATGGGGCCACAAAGGGCCATACTGTGGGCTTGCAATTATTCTTTCAGCGATGTACTTTTAGTAAGTGTGTATTTATCTTAAAGAAGAATGCTCTTGATTGTATACAGTATGATCCTATGATTTGTATCTTGTATCTATATGTATTCTATATATATCTATAGCATCATGGGAAAACAAAAGAACAACCTCTCTGAATTCTATGGTTTTACATATCAGGACATAATCATCTGCACCTTAGCATGTTTTAAAATTAGGTAAACACAACCTCAGATAAACAACACAAGACCTATTACACTGTGCCATGATTTAACAAAATTAAAGCTAAAATGTAGAAGTCATGTGTGAAAAACCTTATGATTCCATAGCTTGCAGAAACACAAATAGCAACAATAACATGAAGTAATCATTACATAAACACACATATATATATCTACATAGATCAGCCACAACATTAAAACCAACTGCCTAATATTGTGAAAGTCCCCCTCATGCTGCCAAAACAGCTCTGATGCATTGAGGCATGGACTCCACAAATCCTCTGAATGTTTCCTGTGGTATCTGACATTAGCAGCAGATCCTTTAAGTCCTGCAGGTTGTGAGGTTGGACCTCCATGGACAGGATTTGTTGTCCCAGCACATTTCACAGATGTATAATCAAATTGAGATCTGGGGAATTTGGAGGCCAATGCAACACCGTGAACGCTTTGTCCTTCAACCATTCCTGAACAGTTTTTTGCATTGTGGCAGAATGCCTCATCCTGCTGAAATGTGGCAGAATGCATTATCCTGCCATCAAGGAACACCACTGCAACGAAGGGGTGAACGTAATCTTTAACAATCTTTAAGTGTCAAAGCAGCATTTCTCTGCAGAACATTGCCCGGAGAAGAAGACTGCCTCCGCCAGCCTGACTTCTCCCCATATTTTGCTGCAGAATTCACAGTTGTGACATGATATACAAAGAGAGATGTTCACATAAAATGCATGTTTATGGAAAAAATTAGATGCCGACAAAATTAAAATTGCCACATCATTTTCTTTTCCGACAATTTTGCACATTGCAAAAAGTTGCTTCTGAAATTATAATTAAAAAAAAAAAATGTTTGCAAGTGAGCTCCTTTCTTAAACAACCACTATGCTTTCACAAGCAATTATAGACATATGAAATATGATTTATAGTTGATATTTTTTACCCTCAGGGGTCAACCATGCTCCCTGTTTTATGCACTGAAGGCATTAATTTTGGCATCCTAACTTGACACATTTTTATAAAATGAACTTTTTAATTTAACCTGTGCTTTGTCAAATATATTCATTTTTTACTTCTTGACATTTGGTCCTTACACAGCTCTACTGCGACAGAGAATGGACAATAAAACCCTAGACAAAACCAATTACTTAAGACACAACTCAATTCACTAGGATCTTTACAAAACGCTTGAAAACAGAAAGCACTCTTAGTACAGATGCAACTGTTCTGACAGTTAAAAAATGTCATATACCCCTAACCTCAATTTTGACATTTTAAAATGCCTCTGTAAGAAAGCCAGCAATTACTGTATGAATTGTCTTTCATAGCAATTGCGATGAATGTGGTTCACAAACTTTACCACTCTCTCGTCTGGCAGAAACAACTTCTCAAAATTAAAGGGACACTATAGTCACCAGAACAACTACAGCTTATTGAATTTGTTCTGGTGAGTAGAATCATTAACTTCAGGCTTTTTGCTGTAAACACTGTCTTTTCAGAGAAAGTGCAGTGTTTACATTACAGCCTAGTGATAACTTCACTGGCCACTCCTCAGATGGCTGTTAGAGATCCTTCCTGGGTCATGGCTGCCTAAAATGCATCCAAACATTCAGTGTCTCCTGAACTTTCCTCATAGAGGTTCACTGATTCAATTCATCTCTATGAGGAGATGCTGATTGGCCAGGGCTGTGTTTGAATCATGATGGCTCTGCCCCTGATCTGCCTCTTTGTCAGTCTCAGCCAATCCTATGGGGAAGCATTGTGATTGGATCAGGCCACCACTTCGGATGATGTCAGCAGACTGCTTTTTTTTTTAGGCAAACAGCATGCAGATCTACAACTTCTGGCTTGAATACAGTAAGATTTTGCTATATTTATGGAGGCATGAGGGGCCCGGGGGGGGGGGCTAAATGGTGGTTTTAACACTATATGGTCAGGAATAAATGCTTGTGTTCCTGACCCTATAGTGATCCTTTAAATCAGATTGTCCTAAACAAGGAATACACATATTAAAAAGACTGGGTAATAAATGGATGGGAAACTGATTCATTAAAACCGTAGATTTAAGATAGTATATTATATGTAAGTGAATAACATTATGTTAATTCATTCACAGAAAAAAAAAACCCTAGCAGAAATTCTCTTGGACATACATTCTCAAAAGGATAGGCCATCACACCAGTAAATAATTATGGGATACATAGGTCAAAGGTTTCTGAAAAGTGATCGATAAATTCTGTAAATTCTGCCGTATAAAAAGTGACATTTACCAAATAGTAAATTCTGCCAATTGTTTTCAGAAATTTTAATTCCAACTTTGCAGTGGCAGGAAAAAAAGTTACTTAACTTTCAAAAAAGTAGCAGAAAAAAGTAAATACATCTATTGAGCCACTGAAAATGAATATATAAATGAATCAATGTATATTCAAATATAACCGTTCGGACGCAAAAGGTTGGGGGGACGGGGAGGAGAGAGAGACAGAATCAGACAGAAGTAGTAAACTGAGCCACAGTCCTGATGTTCTGGGATTTTACAAGTGCAAGAAGCAATACCAGGGCTTTTCCACCCATTTGAAAGTGCTTAATATTGATGCATATGGTAGATGCAGACTGGGTTACTAACACCATCATACCTCCTGGACTTATATCTGTTAAAATAGGCAGTCATTCTCTACCTGTATCTGAAAGTTATGGATACTTCCTAACATCTATTATCTGAAGTATTTAAGTATTACCACAAAACATGACAGATTCACTTTAATCCGTAACCAAGCCCTACTCTTTGACAGCACAACCCATATTCTTATTCACTGCATCATCTTAATTGCAGCTTCTAGCAGATTGTAAATTTTATCTTTATATTTATGGAATACTTTGAATACACTCAACATGGCAGATGTTATTACATTACTTGTAATCTGCTCATTTGGTGAAACTTAAAGGAACGCTAACATTAAAAATATATTCATTGTGTTAGAGTGTTCATTTTAACCGTTAGATGTAGGACCCCTCTAGAAATGTAGAAAAAAAAAAAAAAAGACAAACTCCTCCTCATACCGGGTCCTAAATGCATGATGGCAGCTTCTTCACCCACTTTGAGTTTATTTGTGAGTAAGTTGTCAGCCCAATCCAATGCTTCTCAGAGAAGCATTGGTGGCTGTACAGAGCATGCATAGAAGTTATTGCACTTATCGCAATGCTTCTCACTGAGAAGAAATATCAGTGTTTGGGGTCATCGAGAGTCTGAGAGTGAGTCTGGAGAACTTGATGGACTTTGAAAATCCTGCATGTCAAGGGGGAAGTGCCTCAAGGGCTGTTTGATTAACAATTTGATGGTTCCATACAATAAAGTGTGCAATATACTACTTTATGAGGAGATCCCTTCAATGACCTGACGAGAGCTTTTTATTTTTAGTTTAATGACAATTGGTTTGACCTTGTCAGAATTGTTTTACACACAATTTGCATTCATTAGTCAGTAGAGTAAGCGCTGGTTGTGAGGTTATGTTTGGAACTAATTGCTTCCAATGAATCGGTTCCACTTTGATAGCTTATTTATCAGATTGGGAAAGATAGAATTAATGGTGTTTGCTTGGAGCAAGTCTTGTAATTGGAAACAATGTTTTGTTCACATTGTGCTTAAGCAATTAGGAGCAATTTGCAAAACTGTTTTTGTTTTTTTTACTATTGTCTTCTTGATTGGATTTCTCCAGGTACAGACAAAACAAATGGAGATTCAGCAGAACAGTATTAGCCGGAATAAAAATTCAACTGCCAAATTACTTACTATGAGAAATGTGCACAATACCTATTAATTCTTCTGCTGTGATACATTTATTTCATTGAGGCACTTTAGAAAACTAGCAATATTTCTCAAAACATACCCTTCTCCCTCACTTTATATGTAATTATTTCCATTTGAGGAGCAATCCAAGGCAAACAGAAGAAGAAATTATTTTTCTTGATTAAGCAGGCACATTTCTCCTGGGAACCGAAACAAAACAAACGATTAATCTTTTCTTATTTGTTCTCCGAAGAATGTACATGCCTTGTACGCAAGATAGCCAGCCTTACCTGTGGCAGCCAGTCTGCAGCAATTAGGTTTGATCTGAAAACGAATAGAGTGAAATCGCACTCCCTAATCTGCAGAGATTTCTTCTTGGAGGGCAAGGTTACACTGTTCAAATTCCCTGCAGTGGAAATATGGGTAAAAATTACCCAGTGTGCGCCGGTGTAATTAACAAGGCCAAGGAATTAATATCAGCTAAGTAATTGGAAAGAATTAGCAAGAGAAATGTACATTAATCTTTACTAGTTACAGAGCGTTAATGAAAACAGGCTGTGTAATCTTGCTTATTCCATGCTTTTACCCTGCTGATTAATAACAGTTTATCACAAGAACATGAGTCAAGTTCAAATCTGAATTTTGTTTTTTTTATTAAAGATTTAGTGTCAGACATTTTGTTTGAATTATTATAAAGTATTTGGAGAGGAAAAAAAAAAAACCAGTTCTGATTGGTTTTTCGGATATAGATTTTTATTGTTTTAACAGTCATTGAGGAAACAGTGATGCAATTTCTAGATGGCCAGCATAAAAAAGGTCTACTTAGGACATATTTATTTATGCCTGCTAGGTCATTATTTCTTTTATTTACCATAACCCCGTTTATGGACAATGATTTTTCAGATGTACAATGTCCTATTGGGCACGGTTGATCTTGTGCACCCCGGTATTTAATTAGAAACCTTAATAGAGTAAAACTTAACTTAAATCCAGCACTGGGCAAGGATTGCCACGTCGATTGTCATACCGCGTCATCTGTGGTCCAACCAAGTACTTGATAGAACAGTTTCACCGGCTCAGAGCGCATGCACACCGTGAGCCGGTGAGGGGAGGATGGGAATATGAATTCTTCCATCCCACCCTCTTCACACGAAGCCTTGCTTGGTAACTATTGGATTCAGGGAAACCCCAAACAAAACTTATGGAAGTAGTCCATTGATCTGAACTATTTTTTGGTACTTTTTCTCTAAAAATTGTATTTGACAACCTTTTCTCCTAATATGGGTTTTAGACATTTAAAGTGATTTTATTTATTTCTGTATGTTAAATGATTAGTTTCAGCTTTGCTGCAGCACATAAATGGGAAGTGTGCACAATCACATTAAACACATGTGTATAATATATGCAATGTGCACAACACATTAAACACATGTGTATAATATATGCAATGTATAACACGAGAAATACATTATCTGTGAATAATACATCAGTGCATATCATGCTCTATGCGCCGCAGTTAAGAGAACAGGAAGGAGAAAGAGAAGTAGAGGCTCTCCATGAGGACCTCCAGTGTCAGATTTATCCCCATAAGAATTCATAATTTAATGCTGTCCTATGGGGAGGTCTAATGCACGCACGCATTTGCCGCGCATGTGAATTGGCACCGTTTGTGGTAGGACGTCTGAGGGGGAGGGGAAGGGGGTGGGGTGGTAGAGGACGCTATAGTGCCAGGAATACAGCTTGTATTCCTGGCACGTATAGTATCCCTTGAATAAATATGTGTTTAGTGTTTTTATCCATGTGGTTCTAGATCTGAAAAATGCGTCCACAATGTCTTCCTTGCTTCTCACTAAATAAAATTAAAAAAAAGTTATGTGCAAAAAGCACAGATGCCTTCCACTAATTTTCTCATTAAAAAGCATGTGAAAATAGTTGAAATCCAAAGTGCAATCTTCAAGAACAATGACATCTAGAATGTTTGAGTTTGTGTAACTGCCCGATTTATTGTCCATTCTCACTGCCTGTACAAATCACATCACGCAGTCTTGTTCTTGAGAATCCAATTCTTACAGCATTGTGCCATGTCTGTTCATTCTCGCTGCCTTTACAGATTACACTATGCCGCTTTGTTCCTGACCTCTTCATTTGTGTGTATCACATTGCTGCCGTGAACAAAATCCACACATTCTTCATGCAAAAGTTGTGGAGGAACAAATCCCCAAATCTCTTACAGTGAAGGCATGGGCAAGGCATGTATTATGCAGTCATCAAAAAAATCTAAAGCTTATGTATTTTATGGAAAAAAAACAGCTACCAAACAAGTTTTAGCCACAAAAGAAAAAACATGGTAAATGCTATAAATGCTAGGACCATGTTTTTTTGCAATGTATTCTCAGCTAAGCAGTCCCAGAATTAGTACCCCATGTGCCATGGATTGAGAAACTCTGTTTTAAGCAAATAAATGTTTTGTGTGTTTTTTTTACTCAGAAAAAGTTTAAAATCAATCAAGCAAATTAAATAAAAAAATATTCATTCTGTGGCCATCATATGATTTCCAGAAATTTGCAGAATAAGGAATTCAACTACAATATTACAAAGCCAGGTCCTTACTGGTACTGAAAGAACACGCTTCCTGCCGGTAAAACAGAATGTGCCCTAGCTAATCTAAACTCAGTGGGTTTCCCGAAGCTGCTGGAGACTTACATTCATCCCATAAACGGAGTCCAACTGATATACACAATGATGGATTCAAGTTATTAACTGATCAAAAGGAGATGGATGGTCTTCTGCTTTTCTTAATCCACATCATCATCTTGATTCATTTAAAGATATGTGGTGTACTTAACAAACACAGTTAAAGCTTCGATAGAATCAGTCGTATAATCTGAACCACAGCATTGAGTTTAAATCCAATCAATACATTCACTTGAATAGGAAGAGGACTGTTAAGTACTTACAACTGGAGCCATTAATATTATTTAACTCAACGTTCAAAGTTTTAATAAGGATCAGGGAAGGCCGGTCTTTTCTGCCCGGATCAGATACCACTATATAGAAACATTTCAGTTACAATGCATCCTCACTTCAGTGATGTGCTTTTAACTTACATTTACACAGAAATAAAAAAAAGCCAGAAGACAAAATTGGAGTAGCTTCTCCCCACAGAGTAGCCTTTTTGTTTCTATTTTTCTATTTAAACAGCATTACAAGGAAAATCGATACAGATAATTACAAGAAAAAGTGAATCAGGTTTTTTTTTTCTTTTTACATTTATCAAAGAAAATAAGTGGAAGGATAATGCAACTGTAGTAATCGAGCTCAAATGCACCACTATGTTCACCTGCTTATGTACATTTGTTAGAATGGAATGGTTCAATATATACTGCAAATTCAATATTATTTTAATATAAAATGCAATATAAAATCATAATGTGTTATACACACACACACTACATTATATATATAAAAATATATAATGAACAAATATATATACATAAATACTTATATATATATATATATATATATATATACAGACACAAACACACATATATATACACACACACACACACACACACACTATATACATATTTATATACACACATATGGGTGTATATACAATATATATATATATATACACATACATATATGTGAGGCCATTTGTCCGACAGCTAAAGCTTGGAGAGAAACACACACACACCTTTATTTTCTATTGTATGCTGACCATTATGCAAAGGTTTGTTGTTTTTCAGAATGGAAAATGTAACATAGGTGAATAAAAAACGGAAGTCTACCAATCTCCCTGTTTTTCCTCTGTTATAGATACAGTGGGGGAGAAAAGGTTTTTGATCGTTTGCCTACTGACAAAAAAAAAATAAAAAAAAATCAGTCTATAATTTTAATGGTAGGTGTATTTTAACAGTGAGAGACAGAATAACAAAACAAAAATCCAGAAAAACGTAAGTCTCTTAAAGGGAGTTCTCCTAATCTCAGCTTGTTACCTGCATAAAAGACACCTGTCCATAGATGCAATCAATCAGATTCCAAACTCACCAACATGGCAAAGACCAAAGAGCTGTCCAACAATGTCAGGGAATAATTGTAGACCTACACAAGTCTGGAATGGGCTACAAGACCATCATCAAGCAGCTCGGTGAGAAGGTGACAACAGTTGGTGCGATTATTCGCAAATGGAAGGAACACAAAATAACTGTCGCTCTCCCTCGGTCTGGTGCTCCATGCAAGTTCTCACCTCATGGAGTTTTGAATGATCATGAGAATGGTGAGGAATCAGCCCAGAACTACACGGGAGGATCTTGCTAATGATCTCAAGGCATCTGGGACCATAATCACCAAGAAAACAATTGGTAACACACTACGCCGTGAAGAGCTGAAATTCTGCAGTGCCTTCAAGGTCCCCCTGCTCAAAAAAGCACATGTACAGGCACGTCTGAAGTTTGCCAATTAACATCTGAATGATTCAGAGGAGAACTAGGTCAGTGTTGTGGTCAGATAAGACCAAAATCGAGCAATTTGGAATTAACTCAACTCGCCATGTTTGGAGGAGGAGGAATACTGCTATGACTCCAAGAACACCATACCCACTGTTAAACATGGAGGTGGAAACATTATGCTTTGTGGGGTGTTTTTATGCTAAGGGGATAGGACAACTGTACCGCATCAAAGGAACAATGGACGGGGTCATATACCGTCAAATCTTGGGTGAGAACCTCCTTCCCTCAGCCAGGGCATTGAAAATGGGTCATGGATGGGTATTTCTTTGGTCACCCTGAGCTAAAAAGCTTGCAGGAAAGCAATACAAATATATGCAAAGCACACAGTCAGCAATACTGTATAACCTAGGTATGGATCTCTAACATTTACGCATTACGTGCCTTCCTCAAAAGTGTAAACAATTTTACTGCTCATACGGCTGAAATGTAAATGCTTTTACCTGTAAGTAAGACTCCAGGCCTTGACGCCGCTGCTCCAGTACTTTTGGGATCCAGTTTCGTACGTGTTTAGAGGGAATCTCTGGTGTTTTGATACTTTTCTTCAACTGCAGAATAATCCAAACAAGTTTTTATCATAAACTGCAGACAATGTCATCAGTGCTAATATTAATATAAAATTCTATATGATAAATGCGAAAGGTCTGTATAGATTTCAAAAGTACTAAAAAAAATAGAGTTCAACATATATTGTGATGCATTAAGCTGATAAAATGAGTATTAAAGGACCACAATAGTGCCAGGAAAACATACTCGTTTTCCTGCCCCTATAGTGCCCTGAGTGTGCCCCCACCCTCAGGGTCCCCCTCCCGCCGGGTTCTAGAGGGAGGAAGGGGTTAAACTTACCTCTTTCTCCAGCGCCGGGCGGGGAGCTCTCGTCCTCCTCTCCTCCCTCTTCTTCCATCACCGGCTGAATGCGCATGCGCGGCCAGAGCCGCGTGCGCATTCAGCCAGTCCATAGGAAAGCATTATCAATGCTTTCCTATGGACGCTGGCGTCTTCTCACTGTGAAAATCACAGTGAGAAGCGCGGAAACCCTCTAGCGGCTGTCAATGAAGCAGCCACTAGAGGCTGGATTAACCCATAGGTAAACATAGCAGTTTCTCTGAAACTGCTATGTTTACAGAAAAAAGGGTTAATCCTAGCTGGACCTGGCACCCAGACCACTTCATTAAGCTGAAGTGGTCTGGGTGCCTATAGTGGTCCTTTAAGATAAGAAAAAAATAAAAAGCATACTTTTTTATCAGACGGTGCTTTGGTCTCCATGCTGCCGCCCTGGTGATATCATCCATAGGGGAGACTAGTGCGCATGTGCTGCAAATGACTACACAGCATCAATTAGCATTGGATTAGACGAGAAACAGAAAATAAGTCATTTGACACACGAGGCAGAGTGGGCGGCTGCAAGGAGTGAGCCTTGGCACTGGGCAGTAAAACCTTTATTATATTTATTTGATTTAAGGGGGCCCAGAAATCTAAACAGGTTCAAGAACACTATAGCGTTAGGAATACAAACAAGTATTCCTAATGCTATCGTGTTCCTTTAAAAAGAAATAATAGATTTATTCTACACATTTCTTTCCACATTATAATATACTATCAATGCATACTGAAATGAAAAATACATTTACAACTGACATTTTCAGAAAAAAAAAAAATTATATGGAGCGTGTATTATGTTATACTTTTTCAATTTTTTTACAAAAGTCTTCATAGTTGAGAGGTTAAATAAATAATGTGGCTCAGTGCTATTTATTTAAAGTCGTAACAGTATTGATGACATAGTGAGTAAAGGCTTGTACATATCGATAGTTAATTAAAACTTATTATTTTATTATTTTAAAAATGTAATGATTTAATAACTTTTTAGAGTTTGCAACTCACATATGCATGCTTTCACCTCTACAACTGGCAAATCTGCCAGAAAACATCCCAATGTCTGTTGACAGTGAATGGCACTATGTGTTTTATGATACAAAATGATGGGACAATTATCAAGCAGTCTGATCTGTGTGCAATGCAGCAAATACCACTACAGCAGCGAATAGAACAGATCTAGCATTATTCTCAGATTGCATTTTTTTTCCTTGACAATCTCACTTCCTATGACTTTATAAATGTGTGAAGCTTTCAAGAAGCCTTTATCACAGCTGCTGGAGTCCACGACACTCTGTGTGGGTAAATGATAAATTGCTCTTGATGGGGAGAGACAAACCTGAAACAATTCAGGTGTCCTGCAAGAGTGGACTGCAGCATGATAAATATTCCACAGCTGGATCTCCAGCTAGTGACAAACAACCATGTCAGTGTTCTAGAATCTTTATTTATCCCTCTTTCATTCTGAATGTAAGCTGTGTGATCATATTCCCATCTTGGTTGGTTTAGGTTAGTCTATGGACAAGAATGATTCTAATGATTAAATCAGACTTGATACATGAAAACAGGGATACCAGTCTGGCCAAGTGTATGTTATTTCAACTTTATATAAGATTTATTGCACATCAACCAAATTCTTTCTAACCATGCGATATTGAACAGTATAGTAGACTCTGATGGTGTTCTATAAAAAATAATACAAAAAATTAAACATATATTTACATTATATTAATATTATAAATGTGTGTGTGTGTAATTATTTCAGTGAAGCAGATATATTTAGGAATGCAATGTTTTTTATATACATCTTAGATTAGATAGACATGCTTATACCTCGCAACATTAGGAAGTATAGATGTGGGTGTAGGTAAACCGTAAGGGTGTTGTGATAAAGGGTCAGACCCAAACAAACAGTTTTTATTTTTTTTTTAAAGTGCACCAACTTGGCAGGCTGTCAGCTATATTTAAGACACTCTCAATGCCCTGAGTTTTCTTTGCCTATCAGAAGTGTGTTTAATGATTTGCTTGTGCAGTACTTTCTGTGGACTTGGTCTCTCTCGTGTCCTCCAAATTCTGAGACAGGAGATCAAACCCTATGGCAATACAGGAGCCCTAAATCAAATAATAATTAAAAGATAAATGAAATATGCCGGCACCGACAACCACTATAATAATACTAGTAAAGGAACAGATTAGAAACACATACACAAACATATTATTGGTACCCTACTGGTATTATAGGGGTTCATTTGTTAAGCTCTGACATGGTTTGTTATTTTATTGTGTGTACATTGTTGGAGAAGTATGATTTTATGCTGTAACTGCTAACATTATCATTTTTATTTTCATTGCTTCCCTACTGCACTTTTTTCTAGTGTTTTTAGTTGTGTTTTCTGAAATAAAGGGATTCTCCAGTGCCAGGAAAACAAACCTGTTTCCCTGGCACTATAGAATCCTGGAGTGCCCCCCCATACTATGTCGCTGAAGGTGTTAAAACCCTTTCAGCTACTTACCTGAATCCAGCGCCAATGTACCTCGGCGCTGGTCAGGCTCCGCCCACGCTCCTCCCCCACCGACATGAGCTGGCGGGGGGGACCTGCTGTGCGCGCATTAGATCTACCCATAGAAAAGCATTTTTCAATGCGTCCTATGGGGAAAATCTGACGCTGGAGGTCGCATTCAGCCAGTCCATAGGAAAGCATTATCAATGCTTTCCTATGGACGCTGGCGTCTTCTCACTGTGAAAATCTGGGGAGAGGAAAGGGTTAAAACGTACCTTTTTTCCAGCGCTGGGCGGGCAGCTCTCCTCCTCCGATCCTCCTATTCGGCTGAATGCGCATTCAGCCAGTCTCATAGGAAAGCATTCATAGCTTTCCTATGGACGCTGGCGTCTTCTCACTGTGATTTTCACAGTGAGAAGCACGCAAACGCCTCTAGCGGCTGTCAATGAGACAGCCACTAGAGGCTTTAGAGGCTGGATTAACCCATTTATAAACATAGCAGTTTCTCTGAAACTGCTATGTTTATAAAAAAAAAAAAAAGGGTTGATCCTAGAGGGACCTGGCACCCATACCAGTTCATTAAGCTGAAGTGCCTAGAGTGATCCTTTAACTGCCTGCATTTTTCATCTTGCAATGAAAAAATTAAGAATCTAAAAAAAAGTAAAAAAAAAAAAAAGTAAAAGGTCAGTTAGTTTAAATGAATTTAACCTAATGTTTGGAATATGTTTTTTTATTATTATTATTATCGCCATTTATATAGTGACAACAGATTCCGTAGCACTTTACAATATCATGAGAGGGGGGATTTAACTATAAATAGGACAATTGCAAGAAAACTTACAGGAACGATAGGTTGAAGAGGACCCTGCTCAAGCGAGCTTACATTCTATAGGATCATTACTTATGTAAACAATAGGCAGGTAGATGGGTCCTACAAACAAATAAAATAAAATTAAAAATTGTATTCTATAACATTGAGGACATTACCTTTTTATGAAGTGCATGGAATTCACTGTACCGTTTTTCAACAAAATGTCTTCTTCCGTTCACCAAAACTTCTATTCTAAATACCTAAAAGAAGAAAAGGTCATTACTAATGGGCATTTCTTGAAGGAAAACTCCAAGCACCATAACCACTACAGTGTGTTGTTGTGTAAATAGTGCAAGGAGTGCCGTAGCACCCCCAATTAAAGTCGTCAGACTGTTTTAGACTTCTTAACTGGGGTCAACTGGGCACCACTCCCTGTCTCCTCTTAGCTCTGAGCTAAGGACAGCAATGCAGGGCTTACATTACTAAGCGCAATCCCCTGTGCCTTGCACTGCATAGTTTAGTTCAGAAGAAGCAAAAGAGAGGCAGAACCAGTAAACCCCAGAAAAAAAAAAATCAAACTGTAAGTAAAAAAAATTAAAATAGATGAACCACACTCCAACTACATTATGAATGAAAGTAGTATTTAATGAAGCAATTCTATATTCATTAAGTGTTTAGATAATGTAATAAAACAGAAGACAAAAATGCAGACCATTTGTATAGATCACCAAAAAAAAAAAAAAATATATTCAACGTGCTCAAAATCTATACCAGGAGTAGGCCAACTTCAGCACTACGTTATGGACAACATCTCATCAGGGGAGATATAGTCAAAACCATCTGGAGTGTCAAAGGTTGCCTAACCCTAATCTTTACCTTCTGACATAGGACTTCTTAAAGCACACTTCTCGTTTTATAAACAAATCTTGTAGAACCAGTAGGCTTTTCTATTAGCCGTTACCCATTTTTTCATCTACAGTATCAAAAACACGCAGGAAAAAAAATAATAATATATACATATATAATTTCAGAAGATGGTGCAACTATTATGGTCTGATGCAGATTAGTATAATTTATCACTGTAAATGAGAACTTTTGGAATTCTTTGAGGTTCAGCTAATGTTGAATGTTTGCTTGATCCCGCCACCTAGCACCGTATATGGCTACACACAGTTGTTACATACACTATATAGAAAAACTTATTGGGATATCTGACCATTACACCAATAGAGACTTTTATGACATTGCATTCTAAACACATAGACATTAATATGTTGTTGGTCTCCCCTTTGCAGCTCTACTCTTCTGGAAATAGAAAGGGGCCTTCCCCAAACTGTGCCCACAAAGTTGAAAGCATCGCGTTGTCAAAAATGTATTGGTAAGCTGACGCATTAAGATTTTCCTTCATTCAAAGTAAGGGGCCTAGCCCAACCCCTTAAAAAAAATAAAAAACCCATATACTATTATTCCTCATCCACCAAACTTTACAGTTGGCACAATGCAATCAGACAGGCAACGTTCTCTTGGCCAAGCCCAGACTCGCCCATCAAACTAAATTTTATGAATTGACTTATTGCAAAGGTGGCATCCTAACACATTGCCATGCTTGAATTAAAGGGGCTCATTGGAACAACCCATCTTTTCACAAATGTTTGGAAATGCAGACTTCATGGCTAGGAGCTTGATTTTATACAACTGTGGCAATGGGACTGATTGATACACGAATGCAGTAATTAGGAGGTGTATCCCAATACTTTTGTCTACATAATGTGTTTTCATACTGAGAAATGACTTAAAGGTCCACCAGAGAGGTTAATAAAATGTCATTTTCTCATGTAAAACTACTTGGCAAAGTGACTGTCTATTGAATTCTAAACAGCTCTATTAAGAATTCCAGGTGACAGACATTTTACTTATTACAAGCACACTGTGTATGGTTGGCAAATTTCTTAACACCCTCAATATTCTTCTTCAGTCTCAGCTGGGGCACATCCTGCCATTTATAACCTACAAAAACAATGTACTAAAAATTGCTTTTCTTTGTGTGACATGTATGACAGAAAGTGCTGATTCCAGCAGCCACTGGAAGGTTACAGGGCCAAAAAGGTGGACTCTCCAGGCTCACCAATTAGTAGCCAACAATGTGATGTGCTTGTGACATTCAGGTCAAAAGGTCACAATATAAGCAGATGAGGCGTAACATAAAATGTTTTTTTGTTTTATCAAAAACAAGAAATAAACATAAAAAGATCAACAGAAACCCATCTACAATGATGTTGTGAGCAACAACCTCTTGAGAAGAAAAAACAAAAAACATCTTAATATGTATTTAAACTGATCTGAAAAAAACAAAAACAATCTTCATTATTCTGATTTACATTCTTAATAATTCTGTGTCACAGAACAACAACTAGATGATCTTAAACTGTTAGATTGGCATTTTCCAATTATCAACATGAGAATAGAACATTTCTAGGGATTTGTAAAAATTTGGCTTAAACATTCCATAAATATGATCACATCTATATTTAAGCATGCAATGAAGCATTCTGAATAAAATACTATATGTATGTTTACTGGTTTTGTAACACTTTACAGGAAATGTTCCCTTAAAAAAAAAAAAAAACAACTTAAATATATATGTTTTAAAAGGCACAAAATTAAAACATAGTAGACACACACACACACAGTTATACACCCAGAGGACACACTTACACACCGAGGACACACTCCCTGATTTGACACACACACACAGTTACACATAAAGGAAATTGACACACTTACTCACAGAACAATGATACATTTACACACACGAAATTGACACACAAACACTTACTCACTCACTGGCAGACATACGCTTACTTATTTGACACAATGTCAGACACACTTACAGATACACTCGCTGATATATAAACTCACTGATTTGGCACACATTGACAGACACTCACTGATTTGACACATACACATTCTCTCACAAATTGTTTTTTTTTTTTTTTACTTTTTAAAATTTTACATTTAAATTCACCCAGCCTTCCTACCTTTAAGAGAGCTGTAATTCTACCCCTAAAGTCCAGTGTGGGGCTTGTGTAATCTTCATGCTCTTCCAGTCCTGCTCCCTTATACGCTGTTTAGTGATGCCAGGGACAGAGTGACATAACAAAGCTCCCCCGGCATCACCGGATGGCACCCGAGAAAGCAGTGCTAAAAGACCATGAAGCTCCCTCGCTGCCTCGCCTTCATTCTCCTAAAGCCAGGGCCTCTTGGGAGAACGCTAAGGTGGCCAGCTCTTGGTGTACCACCCTACTTGTGGTGCGCATACCATGGGTTGAGTAGCTAGGACCTACATTTCTTTCCACTAAACCTAAATTTAATCCCTCGCAAAACCTAAACAAACCCATTCCTTTAAAATGTAAGTACTAGAGGCCATAACTTGAAAATAGTCTTATCTTACAGGGACACTCCAGGCATCAAAACAACTTAATCTAAAAGAAAGGTACCTTTTCCAAGCCAGTTTAGTGAATGGGGAGTCACTGCTGGGCTGAGAGCATTAACTGACTGCTCTCAACCAATCAGCATTCACCCTGCGTGGCAGCATTCCTGCTTCCTGAATTTAAAAATTCAGAAGGCAGATGCCACCTGGGAAGAGTGGACATTGCCGCTGGAGGTTTGTGTTGGTGCCTGGTGTGTCCCTTAAACACTAGTTTTAACTGATCTTAAAAACTGAACACCAAATGTATCCCAATATTAAATTTAACCTCACTCTAAACCTGAAGTCAATAATTCTAAACACCCTTTATATCACAATTATAACATTTTGAATACTCTAACACTGAACACCCCATGTAATCTAATTCTCATGTCAATTCATGGAACACCCCTTTACCCTACTTCTAACCAATTAAAGGGTTACTATAGTCAAGAGTGATGATCTGAGACATGAGGTGGGGCAGCGGCAGCAAAAGCAGCACAGCGTCGGAGAAAAGAGGAGTAAAATCAACATTTTACTGCACCAAGATGGGGCTGGTCACCTAAACAGCCACTTCAGCAGTATAGTGTCTGGAATATGTTTGTATTCCTTGCACTATATAGTGTTCCTTTAACCCTGCATACACTCAATATACTCTGATTCAAACACAATACATTACAAGCAGAAATATATGCACACATTTGCAGTTTTCAAATTTAAGTTTTCCAGTTAATAAAAACATTAAACTCATTTTAATTGTGTAAATCATGCCCTGCCTAGCGCTATTCCCTGGTAATGGAGCAAACCATTTTGCAACGGTTTGTCCTCTTACCAGGATCCATGCTGGGTTGCCTCTAAGGGCAGGTGGCATGCATTCAGCTTGTGCAGAAGCCATATACCAATTCCGGTCATTCATTGGCTGACAGTGCTCTTGGCCAATGAATACCTTCCATGCAAAGAATCTGCAAAGAATTGGCATTAGTCAGCTCGGAACACTTTGTTTTATGCTTGCTGATGATGCTGCCGGAATTGGAGTTACACCTCCAGCAGCAATTATACTTATCTCTAAATGTGCTGAAGCACTGCACATACAGAGTCCAAACACCATGTCCACTCCAAAACCCTGAAGTAGTCATGGTGCTTAGAGTAATCATTTAATCTAACTACAGCAGATTAAATGAAATAAATAAAATAACTGTAACCTATCCTACACATTGTAAATGGAATGCATCTTTTATGAACAAGTTTGCAGTGAACAACTGTTGTTACCTGAGCTCACTTCATGTTTCATACTGAAGTAAGCAGCTCACAACACAAGATAAAATTAAATGCATCTCAAATATTTGTTCACGGTGGGACGTGCTTTAAAACTTTGTTCTACTGAGGAAGACAGAGTTAAATATGGGTAAAATGGCTTTGAGACCTTTTAAAACAGAGAAAGTGCAGATATTTACTAGCTAACAATGTGAGGAAGTTAGTTCATGGATTGTAAAGTGCCAAAGTAAAGAAGGAAGAATTACAAATTGAAATATAAAAATCAGTTTGAGGAAATTAGTTTGCCATAACAATGCTATCGTCTAGTAGATAATTACAACATATACAGGTCTGAAATTAAAAACCTGAATGTAATTATACAGTGTGTAACCCAGCCATCACCCACATGTCAGGCAATATTAAAACACATACTGGGCAGTATCAGTGAGAGAACGGTATAAATTGAGCTCAGAAAATATCCGGTTTATGGTTTGATCTAGATAAAGAGTTGGAAGGGGCTGTAGGCTATGGAAAAGGAATGCATGAAATCACATTGAAAGATAAGACCATTAATGGTAATAGAAAAGATCATAGGACATTATGCATGTGGCTTGGTGGAATAGGAAGATAAGCAATGGCAGGTAATAATGACTAAGGCAAAAATCATGGTGTAGGATTATTTTTGGTAAAAGAAAAAAAAACATTTACAAAAACGTAAAAGTAAAATGGTTAGTCCAAGCAACATAACCACTATAGTCCGCTGCCCTATCTTCCTGGTAATGGGGTGAACCATTTTGCAATGGGTTGCAGTCTTACATGGTGCTGCTGGACACCTTGTTTACTTTAAAAGTACACCAATTAATAATAATAATATTAATAATAATGATAATAATATCACTGTTTAGTAGAAATACTTCCAATGAAAATATGCATGTATTTAATTATGCCTTTTTTCAATGCGGGTATATCTAAGACATTTGCAAAAAAGCTGCCGTTATCTTGTCTGCTGGCTTTGCAAGCCCTTCCCTTCTAAGCCTGTCCAGATTCTCTGTGGCTGTCCAACCACAGACTTCTTAATGTAGCTCAATGGGAAGTCTTTGCAAGGCAGATGCTTTGGGCAATTGCTGCCTCTTGTGTTCAGTGCAACTAAGCTAACTAAACCAGGAAGTAGCATGACAAGTTAAAAGCCAGGGGGCGTAACAGTATAATTTATAAAAGTGTAAGTGTCTATTGAAATCTGCACTTTATGTAAAATGAAAAAAAGAGGAAAGGATTTGTATGTGGAGTGATCCTTTAAGGTGGAGCATCCGGCTTTTATAGAGCCGATGCTTGGAATAACCCTTAAAAGAATAATCAGTATCTGTTTCATACACTATACTTCTTAGTCAACTAGTAGGTAATAATGCTGATTTATAAAGTTTTTTTTGTTTCTGAAGACAAAAGTAAATTGTGGGCAGAGTTACTGAATAGAAAACTCACAAAAAAGAAAAAAAAACGCATAGAATTGCTGACCTAAATAGACTATGATTTTACAAGGACTAAATGGGGCCAAATAAACAAGGTTTAAGTTTATGTGGGCCGCAAAAATTGTTTTTCGACCTAGACCAACACAAACTAAAATTACTTGCATCATTCTCATGCAAACAATATGTAATCCTGGGTATGTATATAATTTACTCTAAAGTTTCACTTCAAGTTACTTACTAGCCCCCCAATTTAATACACAGCCACCCGCAGCCCCAGTCCCCCTCACTCTAATACACTGCCTCCACTCCCACCACTCTAATTTAATACTGACTCCCCCTTCCACCAATTTAAACACACTGCCCCCACCTCCTTCCCCCAATTAAATAAACTGCCCCCCTTACTGTAATACCCCACCTTCCCCAATTTAATACACTACACTGCAGGAGGGTTCCCTTAAGCCCCTTTTCCCCTACCTTAAGCCGTCTTCCAGTCCAGCCCTTCATGATCATCTCTGCTCAAGCAGGACACACGCTAGTCTGGCACTGCGAGCAGCAGGGAAAGGGGAGTGGCTGACCTGCTCTGCACAGCCGCTGGGTATGACTCCATATGATGGAGAAGGTGATCGCCGTGGGCCGCGGGAATACCACAGCACAAAGCAGCCCCTGGGTCGCAAAAATACCAATGGTGGGCCTCATGCGGTACATCATATATTAATAAAAACCCAATATGAACTCATTGTTTAATTGACGGGTTATGTTATCTGTATCTGACCACTTCACAATCTCAAAAAATAAATAAATCTTATGGCACAAGACAAGAGCTCATAATCCTTAATGAGAGGCTCCTGTTCTAAAGGATTAACGGTTGTAGATCACTGGCAAGAACTGTAAGTTAGTTTTCTTTTTGTTTATTTTGCATTTATTATGCACAATAGAATGCAGTGCAAACAGTAGGAAGAGCTCCTTTGAGGACCTTGACCAGTTGTATATATCCTCGGCTCAGAGGAAGGACAAACACTAAACAAAAAGAACATTTACATCAATGGTATGTTTTCCCGTTCCTCATCTAATGGTCAGCATCACATAATATTCGTCACAACAGAGAGCTAACATTATTCACTATGTGAATAATATAACCAATTATGCATAATCAAGAGGTATAACTTTATAAGGGTTAAATGTATGAAGATAAACATCACAACAATCTGGCACATCCTATGCTATGAATACAAGTCACCCAAAATATGGAATCAGCACTTAGTAAGCTATAGAATGTTCCAAGTGATTTGTCATTGATTTTTCCACCCAAAACAAAGAACCTTTTTCAAGTTACATGATCTATCATGATCAGACAATTTGTATCTTGGCTTTATTCTGGAAACAATGGCTAAAAATATGTTGCTTGCAAAAGCAGAGATAAGTTTTATGTTGGTAGCAGCTGTTTACACTATGCATAATCTATACGAGAAAATGTAACTAATACATGTTATGTTCCATGTCCATTAGTACAACTGAATATTCAGAAAAGATAAGAAATGCCAGTGTTTCACTGTGTGCTCCTGTCCCCTGACTATTATTGTGTGCTTTTCTTTAGCCTTGATAGTCCTATTTACATTGTATCATAGACCATGCACAAAGTTTACTGCAGAGCCTGTGACATTGATATTATGGGTTTCCACTTCATTAATTCACCAAGACCTTACCAACTCCAATACTGGACCTATATATAACCTGCTAAAGATCAGTGCTCCTTAACCCCTTAAGGACACATGACATGTGTGACATGTCATGATTCCCTTTTATTACAGAAGTTTGGTCCTTAAGGGGTTAAAAGTGACAATCTCAACCTCTAAAGCTCTTCCATTTTTTTATTATTTTCATTTTACAATAAAAACTGACACTTTTTATTGCACCCACGCGAGTTCTGTTACTTCTTGATTGCTTAGCACAGTGGATCTAAACCAAAGAGGCAGGCAATTATTCAGAGCACCTACCTTGCAAAAAGACATCTCATTAAACTACATTGGGAAGTCTGATTTAACAGCCTGGGCGGGGTTAGAAGAGGAGGGCTTGTAAAGACAATACGTCTATACTACAGCTTTTGCATGCTTTTTTTTTACCGTGATGCCAATGAAACAATGCATAATTAAATGCATGCATGTTTTCATTCGCGGTACATCTACTAAAAGATATTTTTTTTTTATTTGGGGAGTGGTGTTTCCAGTTAATATGTTCTAACAAACTGGGACTTTCTAAAATAGCACGGAAACTCAGATTTTATTAATGGACTAATGGTTAAGGCAGGGCTTTACAAATTTGTTTGCAATCTAGGAGCCAGCCTTTTTTTTTTTTTTTAAACTAGCAAAGTTTCCTTTACAATGAGAATTATACAATTCCTAAAGGGACACTATAGTCACCAAAACCTGACTATAGCCTGTCCCTGTAGCCTTTTCAATGTAAACGCTGCATTTTCAGAGAAAAGGCAGGGTTTACATTTCTGCCTGATAACAACTCTACTGACAGTCACTCAGATGGCCACTAGAGAGAGTCCTGTGTCAGTATTGCACAATGTTTAGCACCTTTGTTCAGCGTCTCCACGCTCAGCATGAAGGTGCTGCATCTTACTCATAGAGAACATGCACAATATCCTCCCTATGCTTTCCTATGGGAAAACATTGAGTTAGCTGAAGTCACAAAGATTAAATGATTTCAGCCATGGAGGCGGGACAAGCTGTGAGTAAACCGACATAGCCTGTGAAAAAAGGTGAGTAAAAACTCCTCTCTCATGTGATCAGAGGGGGGCAGGTACATAAACAGAAACACTCTGACAGACACAGTGACAGAGACACAAACACTCAGTGACAGAGATATACACACAAACTGACATTTTTAATCCATCCAGCCTCCCTACCTTTGGGAGAGCCAAGTGGATCTTTCCCTGGAGTCCAGTGGGGCTGCTCTCTCACCCTGCATGCCAGGTAGCAGTATTCTACCTGCAGCTCCTCTCTGTTCCCTGTAGTGATGCCAGGACCGGAGTAACATCATATTCCGGATTCCACCATCACTATACAGTAGGAGGGAGCAGAGAGGAGCTGCAGGAAGATCACTGCTCCTTCACACACTGCCCAAGCCTGCCACCTCCATGCAGCCCAGGGCAGCCGCCTCCATGATCCCCAGGGCATCCAGCTACAATGTTCCCTGTGCCGGCCTCCTCTATGCTCCCTAGGGTGGCCGGCTTCATTGTTTCACAATCCAGGCCCTTTAGCTAGAGAGCTGCAAATCCCAGGAGGTGATCATCACGTCAGCATGATTATGACAAATGTGGCTCATGCTTCTTATAAAGAACAGCATTGGATTCAAAACCTTTCTAGGAGAAGCACTGGATTGGCATGATGTTGCAATTGCTGCAAAATGCACCTTAATCAGTGAAGCTTCTCTGACTAGGTTGCACAGGGTACACATAATTGCAGCCTGAGCCGTTTATTGTAAGATCCTTAGAGTTTAGAATGTCTTGGCATTGGATTAGTGGTAAATTTGTATTTATAAAGTGTTCTTGCATAGCAAGACCACTTAATGTTATCTCACATATATATTATTCTTATTATGGCCAAATTTACCCTAACGCCTCCCACAGTTTTTACACTACATAGACCGTAATATACCGAAACGTGCGGATTGTTACCGATCGGATTGCTATTACTTTGTGGAACGTTTTGCCGAATGGTTCACAGAATATCGTTGTTCTTGTGGCGAAATTGGTCCCATAGGAATGAATGGCAAAATGTTCAAAACTAGAGTGGGAGCTCGCAAAAGCTAAAAAATCAGGACATGATTTCTAAACTGCCACCACTCCCTTTTTTTACAAGCCCACCTACACAAATCTTATATCAAAACGTTCAGCTATCCCTGCTGCCACTAAAAATGTCCACGGCTAAGCCATAGTCCTGATCGTTTTCACAATATATGACCATTTGTTTGCAACTCACACTGCGCATTGACATTCATTGAAACTCCACTCTAGTCAGCTAAAATTTGACGGGCAATTTCTAAACTGCGACTGTGCCTTCATTTTTAATATTTCAGAGACATACTATGCATCAAAATGTAGGTCTGGGTCCTGTGATTCTCACAATATAAAGCTCTTCACTGTAGGCAGGGGCGGACTGAGAACCCTCAGGGCCCCCGGGCAAAATAAATCAAGGGCCCCCTTACAGGCCCCACCCATACTCTGCAGCAAGCGCCACCCTTGTTCCGCCTCCATGCACCGCCTCCAGCCACACCCTACACAATCTTTAGACACAAGGAACAAAAGGGCAATAAGCCCTTCGAGGCCCCAGCAGAGACTACAATTGAGGGCTAATGGGCCATGGAGGGGGGTCTTTCTAGCGGAGACTATCTCAGTGTCCTTTAGAGTGTGTGTTAGAAAGAATCCCCTCAAGGCCCCATTAGAGACTACAATGGAGTCTAATAGGCTTGGAAGGGGGTCTTTCTAACAGAGGCCATCTCAGCGTCCATTAGATATCCCCTGCTGGAAACAGTCGCCTCCAGGCCCCAGTAGAGACTACAATTGAGGGCTAATGGGCCATGGAGGGGGGGTCTTTCTAGCGGGGGCTATCTCAGTGTCCTTTAGAGAGTGTGTTAGAAAGAATCCCCTCCAGGCCCCATTAGAGACTACAATGGAGTCTAATGGGGCCTGGAGGGTGGTCTCTCCCAACACTCTGGTTTCTATTCACAATATAGCAACACAACATAGCTCGCTGATACCTAGGCCAAGTTGGCTCTTCTTACCTTAATTACTGTTGCTGGCTGGCAGTCTGTGGGCTTGCTTGCTGCGGCTGGCAGGCTGTGGGCTTGCTGGCTACTGCCGGCAGGCTGTGGGCTTGCTGACTGCGGCTGGCAGGCTGTGGCTTGCTGGCTGCGACTGGCAGGCTGTGGGCTTGCTGGCTGTGACTGGCAGGCTGTGGGCTTGCTGGCTGTAAGCCTGTGGCTTGCTGTAGGCCTGTGGGCTGGCTAACTGGCTGGCTACTGGCCAGCCTGTGGGTTGGCTGGCTGGCTACTGGGGCACTTGCAGATTATTTAAAGAAATAATCCATGCACAATAACCACTACTGCTCCAGAATAAGTAGTCAAACCATTTAAGAACAGTTTGACAACTTACCTGGGATCTGCTGGGATATGGGGCTGTAGTAGGGAATAGGAGCAGTGGTGCAATGTGTGTGAAAGGTTCAGTGTGTGTGTGGGGGTGTAGTGTGTGAATGTGTAGGGTGTGTGGGCTGTGTATGTGTGTGGCAATGTTAGTATGGGGGTCTGTGTGTATATGGGAGGGCAGTGTATGTGTTTGTGTGAGGCAATGTGTGTAAATGTGTATGGTGTGTATGGGGGCAGTGTGTGAATGTGTATGGTGTGTGTGTGTGGGCAGTGTGTTTATGGGGCTAGAGTTCACTCTCACCACTGCGACCACCAGGAATCCCTGGGGGTCACAGTGTTGAGAGTGAACACTAGACCGTAGCTCCAGGGCTAGAGTTGACTCTCGCAAGAGCGGTAACGTTGCCATGGTAATCGCGGCAACGCTCTGTGTTCGTGCAAGAAGGACCCAGAGGAGCTGCAGGGTGAGCTCCCAGGTCCTCTCTTCCTTCCTCCCCTGCCCGCACGGTGCCTGCGGACAGGGGAGGGGGAGCAATTGCCCTGTTGCCCCCCTGGATCCACCAGTGATATATACAGCCCTTCTGTGTGCCTTTTTGACTCCCCCCGTCCCTCTGTATGTTTCTTTCTCCCCCCTCCTTCCCAGTCTCTCTTACCCCTCTGCCTCTTTCTCCCTCTCTTCCACTGTTTTTCTCCTCCCTTTCCCTGTCTCTCTCTCCCCCACATCTCTCTTCCTCTGTCTCTTTTTCCCCCTCCCTATCTCTCTATTCCCCCTTCTTTCTCCCCGTGTCTCATTCTTCCCTCTCTGTCTCTTTCTCCCCCTCCCCATCTCTCTATTCCCCCTCTTTCTCCCCCTGTCTCATTCTTCCCTCTCTGTCTCCCCCCTCCCCATCTCTCTATTCCCCCTGTGTCTCATTCTTCCCTCTCTGTCTCTTTCTCCCCCTCCCCATCTCTCTATTCCCCCTCTTTCTCCCCTGTGTCAGGCTCCTCCTCCTTCAGCGTTAGTGAGAGGAATGCCGCCGGACCGGCGAGGCTGCCACCCGGTCCGGCGGCTGCAGCATGAAACGCGGCCGGCCCCCTCACAGTGTGCCACCGGACCGGCCACCCGGTGGCACCTTCCTCTGAAGTCCCCAGATGCCGGGCCCCCTGAAGGCGGCCCTGGCGGCGGGCCCCCCTCCCGGCCGGGCCCTCGGACCATGTCCGAAGTGCCCGACCGGTCAGTCCGCCCCTTACTGTAGGATTTATAGTTTTTAAAATATGACCGTTTGAAGATGGCAACCGCCAAAATACTCTGACCTGTGCCAGGCTGCAGCAGCAAGTGATGTCATAGACAGGGCCTTTTGTACACCTGCTAATGTTTTTATAAATGTATGTTTTAATGTAACTGTGAAGCACTTTGGGCAACAACGTTGCAATTAAATGTGCTATATAAATAAATAATAAGTTACTCTGCCCACTCCAGTTGTAGACTACTGGTGGAGGCAAGAACACTTCACACAATTTCCCCAGAAATTTTAGCTTTTCTAGTTTTTTTTTTTACAATCCTTCTTTAAAGAAGTTATTGACATCATTTTCATGAAGGGAGAGGTACAAAACTGGAAACCGGTAAGTAGGCATACAACAGCCATAATAGTACAAAAGTACTTCAACACAGATATTACACTATCTGGTATGTCTTTTTTCCCCACTAAAAAGGAAATCCAAGATTAAGAATACATTTATTTTTAATGTTGGAGTGGTGTTCCTTAACTTCTTTTATATTCTGAAAATGGAATTGTCACCATTAACACCAAAACGTAGAGAATTTACACGAACCCATTATGAGCATCTCCGCATTGAAAAAATGCAAATGCCACTGTACATAAGGTCTGTGTGTGAATCTTTGCACAGATAGTCCCAAACAGTTTTCTTGATCTCTTTCAACTTGAAGTCTTGTCAATATATGGATTGTCTTCCTTTCTAATTCAGTGAAAAAGCTAGTTTTCCATTAGTCTCTGCCTTTCTAATTTTCAATACAGGTTTACTAAATGTAATTATTAAGGGCAGATTCAAGAAAGCAATTACTGTGCTACTGGTTTGTATCTTCAAAGTCTTAATAAGCAAGGAGAAGTTTGAATGCTATCGCAAGTAGAGAAATTTCAACATGATGGGGCGAGTGTCCACCTGCTCTAAAACATACCGATCAACTGTCCAGAATGCAGTGTCACAGTCTCGAGTTTGGGTCCCTGTTCTGCCGAGCTTTTTCTGTAGTGTATTGTGTCTAAGAGATCATAGAAAAGACTACAGAAAGGACAGATTAAGACAGTGTTTAAATGAGCAATAATTAAATCTCAATCATCTTTTTTTTTCATGTAAATGCAACACTACAAGAGCCTGTGGAGGATCTACCCACTCTTTCTTTATATTGTATGAGGAATTATAGAGTTGAGCAAGTTTAACAGGAATACACAAGACAAGGATGGGCTAGGGGGAAAAATGTAAAGGGAAAACAGGGCTGGCCTGAGGATACAAAGCAGCCCTGGAAAAAAATCTATGCCAGTCCCATAAGTCATTGCGCTATATATTGTCACATGTAATCTGTAAGGAGACGTCTTGCCACCAGATCATTGAGTAATGAGATATATATATATATATATATATATATATATATATACACACATACATATATACACACACACACACACACATTATATATATATATATATATATATATATATACACACACACACACACACACACATTATATATATATATATATATATATATATATATATATATATATATATATATATATATATATATACACACACACACACACACACATATAACAAATATATTTTTGACACACAAGCTCACTGAAACACAGACTCAGACAATCGCACTGATATATATAAGCTCATAAATGCACACACATAGGCTCACTGACAGAATCTCACTGACACACACAGACAAGCTTATTGGTATACACACAAACGTAGTACAGACAAACTGAAACGCACAAGCTTTCTACAGACAAGCTCACTGTCAAACACACACGCTCACTAAAGAAAAGCTCAGTGATACACACATGCTTCCTACAGACAAGCTCACTGACATATACAAGATCACTACAGACAAGCTCACTGTCACAGAAATGCTCCCTACAGAAAAGTTTGTAATAAACATGGTCTAGATATTCTGTGGCCGCCCTTTACTTTTTCCTGCAAACGAGTTAGTGGCACAATGCCACATCTACAATGGAACAGATATGATGATATGTTTCTAAAACCTCGCTTTAGAGTGATCTGGTTATATATGCAGTGGAGAATCTCAGGCTTTATCAAACTGTTCCAAAACAATCTGACAGCATTAAAGAGCTTTATGCACCTATTTGTAGGGCTATAACCAATTACACTCTTACTCACACAAGCTCACTCACTAGCAGACACACACACACGCAAGCAAGTTGACTCACTAGCAGGCACACATGCACACACACACAGCTTAATGTAGTGGTTCTAAGTGTCTATAGCTGGTCCCTGCAGGCTTGTCAATGTGAACACTGACTTTTCAGAGAATAGGCAGTGTATACATTGTTTCCTAGTGACAGTCACTCAAGGTGCTTCTTGTACATTCAGCGCCTCCACGCTCAGCATGGAGGTGCTGAACATTCCTCATAGAGATACATTGATTCAATTATTTATGTATTTATAAAATATTTTACCAGGATGGATACATTGAGATTTCTCTTGTTCAATGCATCTCTATGAGGAGATGCTGATTGGTGTAACGTTTTGCAGCCAATCCTATGACAAAAACATTGGATTGGCTGAGATCATCAAGCTTGATGATCTCAGCCATAGAGGCAGGGCCAGTCGAGTCGATACCAGCATGGTGTGGAAAAAAAAAAAAAAGGGGGAGGTAAAACACTATTCCTTTGCCAATGGAAGGGGTCTGGTAATCTAAACACACACACACAAACACCCAATGACACACACATTAACCATGACAGACAGACACACCACGACACAAACACACACACCATGACTCACACAATATTGCTACCTGTGAGGTCCAGTGTGCGACCGGCCAGAGGATTGTGCCGGTGGGTGGTCTGCCAGACAGGCGACTGGTGGCGCGAATATGGAGCTGTGCAGTCTCTGCTCTGCTCCCTAGAGCGCAGCTTAATGGGACCAGGGCTGTAATACGACATCATATTCTGGCTCCGGACTCATTAAGTAGCGCGCAAGGGTGGGGGAGCAGAGCAGAGACAGCACAGGGCTCCCTCTGGCCGCCAGCACACCAGCTGTCTGTCCGGCCCCAGGTGCCGTGGCCCACTGGCAAATTTCCCGGTGAGCCAGTCCAGCCCTGAAGGGAAACTACAGGCACAAGTATAGCTTTAATTCACCTGCTTTGCAGAGACATCTCATTGAGCTGCATTGGGGAGTCTGTGATTGGACAGAAAGTCTGGGCGGGGTTTGAGGATGGCTTGCAATGGCTGGATATACAATATCTGCAGGTTTTGTAAGCTGATTTTAGATAAACCCCCAACAAAAAAATAAATAGATATTTAAATACATGCATGTTTTAAGTGTATAACCACTAAATAATATATATTTTTTCAAATTATTTTGGCACTAGAGTATCCTATTAATATGCTGTATTCTTTTGCATGTTCAAATATTTCTAGCTTTTGCAAGAAAAATATAAAAGGAGTTAATAGAATGTTGCATCATATACATGCCTCCTTGACCAAGCCCAGACTACCTTATTCTATATACCAGCGATAGCGAACCTTGACACCATACATTTTTTAGAGTCTGAAAGCTAGCTGAGCATCATGGGAAATGTAGTCCAGAAACAATTTATGGTGTCAAGGTTAGCCATCACTGCTATATACATAGCTCAGCCACAGACATCACAGATTAGGCTAAACTACTGTAAGCAACGCAGTCTGCTTTTAAATCAGAGGATACACAGATAAACACTTGGTAAAATCACTGCATGTTTCTCAGTTTCTATGACTGTCCAAATCTATTAAATGCATTTGAGCCATGTTGGCGCCCAGAGTGTCCCTTTAGTTATTTTCCAGTTGAAGTGAACTGCATAGGCCGTGACTCAAATTACTGGGAAAATATGTATTTGGCCAAAATACATGGCAATTACCTACTGAGCCACTCATTTCAAATTAACTAATAAAAATCTCATTTCAAATTAACATGTATATGGTCCCTAAAGTGCTATCAAGTACTCACTCCAATCTTCTGAGAATACTTTTCACTAGATGTTGAAACATTGTTACAGAATTTGCTTCCATTTAGCCAAAAATTCAACAATGATTTCTGGTACAAATGTTGCATTATTAGACATGGATCAAAGTTTGTGCTCCAATTTATCCCAGAAGTCTTTTCACTGGGCTCTGCTCACCTCCAATGAATTTCCTCTTGTGTGCACAATTAACTGGCTTGTAGAAACAGGAAGGGGTCCAGTCTTGTTATGCATGTACAGTTCTCTCAGCATCTATCAAACCTGGAATGTTTAATCGTATTTCCATATGGGGAAGCAACAGTCAACATTCCAGAGGTCAAAAGTTACAAGCTTTGCACTATTCTAGCTAATGCTCAGTATTGCACATGGTGATATTAGGCTCATGTGTGGAAGCTTGGCCACAGAAACTCATTTCATTTGGCTACTGACTAACAATTCTTGTGTAGTCCTTTCTTTTAAAGCTAGTTACATATGAGAAAGGGTCCAATAAAAAATATAGGGCTAGGCACATTAAGACATTTGTCCAAGGCAGGTTTATTGAATAGAAGTGAACAATGCTTTGGCTTGGAAAATAGCCCTTTTTAAAAGATTTTTATTTGAGCTGAAAGATTCACCTTTTATTATTCAATAAATCTGCCTTGGACCTTTTTTCCCCTTTTTGCTAATATGCCCAATCCTTAGCTTTAACGGATACGTGAGTGGAGTCTACTCTAGGATGAAGGCACTTGGGAGGTAGTTCCTACGGGTCTTTTCGCATACATTTATCTTTAATTAGAAAGAGTGTCCACACAGGTTTAGCTAGATACTGCAAATACAAACATATACACAGCTACCTGGAAGATCAGGAGTAGAATTAATTTGACAGTGATGATGTGCTTCAGATTCAATAGTTTCCTTATGCATACCTCTGTGTAAACAGGCCAGGAATTCACAGTTTCTGCCTCTATATAGAAACACATTTTAGATAAGGATAAGTTAGAGGTGTTCTAATGGTTTTGTAATCAGTGACCCTTCAATAAACTGACACTGCTGGGTGAAACCCTTGTAGCAGGGTCAGTGCTTCTCAGGATAGGCAGAATTCCTGTAAATCTCAATAGAACACGTTGGTTATAGAGAAACAATGGGATTTCATGAGCATACTTCATTATATAGTATCAAACCATTTTACCAGCAAGGATCAAATTCATTTTTTTTAATCTTGAGATGCAGATGACATTACCCAACTTATCAGTAGTCATTTTTTTTTTTTTCAACTTAGAAAAATGAAAAGCTAAGTTGATTCTGCCAGATATCTCACATGCAACCCTGGTAGTTCTACAGGTGTTAAAAGTGTTGCAGTAGGGGGCTATTCAATTAATGTAAAACCCCTTCATAGCCAGAAATAAGAATGTGAAAGAGAGAATTTTGCGTTCCTGCAAAGAAAAAAAACAAAACTAAGTGAACAAAATATATTTTTTTAATAATTTCAGTTAAATATAAAATCCTACATTGTTATTGACTCAGACGCTTTTTATGATATGGTCCCTAGCCTTGCATTTCCATTCAATCTAGCCATCTTTTGGGTGACAGTAGGAGAACGTGCATGTGCTTCTGTCTTGCATATGTGCACACTTACAGGCCTTCAGTATTGTTTGCATTGGGTATTCCATGAATGGAACTATAAATGGATTCAATATACCTCCAACAATACTGACACTGTGGATTTGCCTATTTTTTTACATTATGGTTGTATCCAGTTTGCATGTTTATCTTGTATATTCTTCTTATTGCAATGTACACTTTGCATTCACATAATGAAAACATACACTTTGCTCAAGGCTCTGTTCATAGTACTATCCATTTCTCTGCATGTTCTACCTCGCTCAAGGTAAGTACGGTTAGTTCAGACAAACTGGTAACCTAGTTACCAGTTTAAGGAATATAGGGACTATGACAGCCAATAAAAATTTATACAGAAAAAGGATAGGGGGCACTCCCAAGACCTGCATTTTGTATGAAAGGTGCTGCCGCAGTGACCAAACTTCATACATAAAACAATAAATAGTTGCAGCGCACTCAGACTACAAAACAATACATAATACAAAGAAGGCTACTAAAATGCCTATCTGAGAATAAATATGGGGATTTAGTTCCACCATATGGCCATATGTTGTTAAGCCCACCACTACTTTCAAAGTACCCCAATATTGGTGGGTCCTACGCTAAAAATGTGGGGGAACAAATTAAATAGTACTAGTGTTGAAAATTACAAGTGTTAAATTAAATCCTAATAAGAGCATAGTGAGTATACAAAAATGAGTGATGAAAGCAATTAAAAACAGTGTTAAAACTAAACAAATAATGTGTTAGTGCTAAAAAGAGTATACTCACTATAGCAGATGATATCTGTGCTGACTAGAGAAAATAATAAAAGTGACTAGACTACTGAGAAACTCCTCCTATTTATACACACCTGTGGCCACCTCTAAAGGAGCCTCTGAAGTTGGGGGGCCTGGGCGGGGTGCTTAACCCCTAAGGAATCTGGTCTGGATTCCAAATATAATGTATACAGAAAAAGGATAGGGGGCACTCCCAAGACCTGCATCTTGTATGAAAGGTGCTGCCGCAGTGACCAAACTTCATACATAAAACAATAAATAGTTGCAGCGCACTCAGACTACAAAACAATACATAATACAAAGAAGGCTACTAAAATGCCTATCTGAGAATAAATATGTGGATCCCCATATTTATTCTCAGATAGGCATTTTAGTAGCCTTCTTTGTATTATGTATTGTTTTGTAGTCTGAGTGCGCTGCAACTATTTATTGTTTTATGTAGCCAATAAAAATTTGGCATATTGTTCTGTTATGCAACCATTTTTCAGTTTTAGCCTCTGTTCATTAACTTATTTTCCTAAAAATTTATGAATATTTTAAAATATTTTGACTACAGGCAAACCGTAAAGCAATGTTAATTATTTAATAGCTTCTTTAAACCTACCTTGAGTATACAAAGCCAAATCACTTAAAACCTGACACTGTCCCATGTGCCTTGAAATTTGTCTATAATGTTTTAGAATTTTGCTTGTTGTGCTAAAAACAAAATAAACAGCAACATTGGCTAAAAAGACAGCAATTCAATAATTAATTAAATAAAAAAAAAGAAAGGCATTGTATTTTACAAGGAGTCAAGAAAAAGGGAAGAATTTTAAATTAACAGAGCTGTTTTAATTTAAAATAATAATAATAACGGATCCACATGCTTTTTTTTTTTTTTTTAAATATCTGTAGTATAATGAGCTATTATGGGGTAATTCACTAAAATGTGACCTTTAAAAAAAAAAAATCTAACTTTAGACCACTATAGCTGAACAGGAAATATTCTCCATGTAATCTTTATATTCATCTCGGCTATTTTGGGCTAAATTTTCAAACGCATTTTGAATTCACACTTCAGTTATAAATCCGTCGTGTGTAATTAAGATAAAAACCCATGTCACAGATTCAAACTATGACCTGTTCTCTGCATTCGTACCTTTGCATATGAACTGTATCTGCAGAAATAGATTCTGTGACCAGTGACATCCAGGCAAGGCGATATTTTCTTGAAGAGCAGGTGGTGTTTTGAAGGGTAACAAATGCCATTATACAGTTATGCTGATATCTGCCATCATGTCAAAGAAATTACAGAGACAAAATCAGCTGTCAGTTGGTTTGCCGGCAGATCGCAGTGACAGCCTTGGCAGACGATCAAGATTCTAGATTCTGACGTGTGTTTACATCATTCAATGGCACTTGACAGCAGCAAAAGGACACACAAAACCGCTTATTGATCAGTGCAAGATGGTTTGACGGAGTAGATGAGCTTGTTTTGTAGGAGTGCAGGTGCGTTAGGGTGAAGACATTTAGTGTGCCTACGCTCAAGTGTTAACTAGTATACAGCTTCATTAGATTACGCCACTAGCACTTATCACATCATACGGATATCCTCCGACAGTCTGTCTGTCAGGAGGCAAAGACAATCTACCTGCACACGGATCAATTATCACTCAACTGATTTTCTCAAGAAACTTGCAAACTAGCAGGCCAAGCGTCCAGGAATATATATGGACGTACTCTAATATCGCAATCACAGCCAGCTCACTTCTACAGCTTTAATAATGGGATGTTAACCTAGATCTTAAATATGTTTAATCCCATCAATTTCAAACAGACATTTGACGAAAAGCTTTAAATAGAGAAATAATTATCAAATAAATATAGAAAAAAAAATGAATTAAAATAATTATCTGTAGAAATTTTACAATCAGGGAGTTTGCATTCCATATATAGAGAATCCGTTACAGCAACAGTAAAAACTTAAATCAGAATACATTATATAAATGTTATTTTTATAAAGAGACACCTCCAAAGCCACGTTTGACACTAAAAGTGCACTGTATATAATGGTACCAAGACTAAAGAATATACAAAAATTTAAACATGTGCAATCAGATATAGAATAGCAGCCTTTCAAATGTTTATGGATTATATTGCATGAAATTCTCCTCCACTCTATGACCAATGGTACACAGACCGGTAACATGTTTTGTGCTGGACAATTTTATTTTTTTAATTATTCACTTTTCCAAAACAATAAGTGCCAATATGTATACACATTCACATTTTTCTCAGCTGTTTTTATGATAGGTGAGCTACTGACTGGCTTAGACCATCAGTTGGTGATGCTCTCAGCCAATCAGTGTCGCAACTGCCTTCTTCTTCCAAGAATCTGAGCAGCGCAAGAACAGAGGACAGAGCGATCAAGCGCTGGACTTCCAGGTGAAAAATGTTCACCTGTAACATTAAGCCGGCATCCAGAGCCAGGGACCTGTAGAAATCCGTACCATTTTATTTTGCAATTGGGTGTCTCCATATTAGTTCCCTGTTGGTCACTGTTATGAGCTCTGTACTTTTCACCTGGCAGTCAGCACAGAAAAAGTTTGCATAGTGGAGGAGAAATAACGTTTCTATTTCTCATTTGTAACGTGCACTCCGACTGTGCCTGGACATAACTGGAATGCGATGCAATTTGCTATACGTTGAATGTCAATGTTTCATTCAATTGTGTAATTTTCAAGTAATGCTTTTCCTTTAAACAATCTATCCACAGTCCTTTATAAAACCATTACTGAAATCCGTGTATTATTTTAGTAAATTATTGTTTAGATTGCTTATAATCTAACCGCTTAAAGAGGAATGTTTAACTTCACAGACTAGTCAGCTGTCTGAGCATCATGGGAGCAGAAGTCCTTAACATTTGGAATGCTGCAGGCCATCATGGTCTTGGATCAATATAATGCAAGAAGCTCTTTAAACTCTTCATGTGCAATACCAAAGTTTTTAAGAGGAGTTAAAAATCATTTTTGTGCTTGGAGTATTTTGGTTTTAACTTCAGCTGAGACAAGAGACACGTTTTATCCGAGGGGACAGCGTAGACTTTTTGACTTGCCAAGTGACTTGTCTAAAGCCCACATCTCTTCAGCAGCAGGAGAAACTGACTCTTTATGACAAGGATATTGGAACTAGGGAAATGCCTGCACCATTGCTCAGAGCATGCCTTTAGCACTATGAATACATCATTGCCGACAGGCTGCCTACAACAAGATTATCTTGGCCATTGCTGGGTAAACAATACGGAATTAGAGTGAAAGTCAACTGAAAAACTCTCAGCGGGTTCCATCTTACTTTTCTGATAGAAAGGGTTAGCAGGAATAGGTAACAGCTGGCACTCCTTGTACCATAGAATGCAACTCTAATCATGCTTAATCCAGAAATATGCAACTTCATGCTCATAAGATTTATCAATATTTTGCATGGTAACATCTACTCTTGATTCTAGAGATTTTCCAGCAAATATTGTGGGAGGGCTCTCTGAGACAAGGCACATTTGAAAACCAACTGGAATTTTCAGGGTATGCATAAAAAAAAATAATAAATCAGAGTAAATCCCACACGCTATCTTCTACTGCACAACTGCTGCGTATCAAGCCTAATATCCACACTGGTAAACCTGCTCTCTTAGCTATATTTGCACATTGTGCCAAATCCAAGATGTTTGTAAGTAAACGCCAAGGATGCTGGGAGTAAAAACCTCACACAGTGAAGGCACAAGTATTGCATGTGCGTGCACACACAGCTCAGGAAAATAAAACTAAACTGCCTGTTTTATTTTATTTATTTATAAAATATTTTACCAGGAAAGATACATTGCGATTTCTCTCGTTTTCAAGTATGTTCTGGGTCCACAAAACTGTTATTTTATGCAAGTAATATAATAATAATAATAAAAAAAAAAACAGAACTGAAAAAAAAAAAACTAATATAAGCAAAAAAAAATTATCTAAAACTTAAAATGCAGATAAAATATGAACTAAATTACAATTGCTAAAACCTAAAATCACATGTAGGAGTTTCCCAAAGCACTGTTAAAGTAATCTATTAGAACAATGTCAGTCAAATTTAAGATTGGATGTAACACAAAATTTAGACAGGTAAGCATTGAGTAACACTTTAAAAATGCAAAATGTGGGCAGTCTGCATACAGAAATTCAGTGTAAATGAAGCAGCAATTGCATGATGTAATAATCAAGATATTTTGAGCAAGTCACCATTCATCTCTAAGATACTATGGCTATTAGTCCAACGGGTAGTGGTGGAAAGAAACATTCATACAACACAGTATTTGCAATAAATGCTTATGTTGCAACAAAACTGAATAGTACAAGGATACTAATGTGGTGGTTGCAAAAAGAAAGTAATACCTCTGTATTATCTGACCACCGGGAGCAGGAAACCCTGTTTTGACAAACAACAATTTGACAAAAAAAAAAAAAAAAAAAGTATAATAACCTGCAGTATATATGGTCCTGATGCTATTTAACAAATGTAAACATTCAGTAACTATGTTAAAATGTGTATGCCATAATTCATAAATAACAAGCAATATTTCTTGATTGAGGTCAGTGACAACGGCGACATCTACTGGTGTGTTCTGAAATCAAGTTCATTGTTACTCTAGATCTGGTATAGATTCATTTTTGTGGATTCATATGACCCATGATATTTCCACATCCTAGCAAACTTAATGGGATATGATGGCACAACTGCTTGACAAGTCTCTGTTAACTCTAGAATAAAATTAATGCATTATTTACATGGCACATGAATTACAGTGCAGTTTAAACTGCTACACAAACTGCATTAAGCGGAAGAGTACAAATTTACAAATACTTTTGCAAAAATACGGTTTCACACAGCAATGCTTCCTCAAGTTTCTACATTTCAGTTTCATTGATGGACGTGATGCAAGCTTGCATAATACCCAGCGTATATACTAAATGAGACATGGTACTTCTGAATGTAACATGCACAGCACAGATGTAAGTGTGACATGAACACAGTTACATGAAGGCAAAACACACATGTACTACGGCATGAACAACATCAATTTAAAACATGATCCGTGAAGGGACAGCATGTGTAATAGGAGGCATAGTTTGTGAATGCATAGGTGTATTTGCACAAAGGATCAGCATGTAATTCTATGGGTATATTTGCATGGAGAATCGCTTTATGAGTGCTTGTGTATACTTGAGCAGAGGGTTGTAAAGTGAATAGAAACATAGAATGTGACGGCAGATAAGAACCATTCGGCCCAATTTTCTAAATACTTTCATTAGTCCCTAGCCTTATCTTATAGTTAGGATACCCTTATGCCTATCCCACGCATGCTTAAACTCATTTACTGTGTTAACCTCTACCACTTCATCTGGAAGGCTATTCCATGCATCTACAACCCTCTCAGTAAAGTAATACTTCCTGATATTTTTAAACCTTTGTCCTTCTAATTTAAGACTATGTCCTCTTGTTGTGGTAGTTTTTCTTCTTTTAAATATAGTCTCCTCCCTTACTGTGTTGATTCCCTTTATGTATTTAAATGTTTCTATCATATCCCCCCGTCTCGTCTTTCCTCCAAGCTATACATGTTAAGATCCTTTAACCTTTCCTGGTAAGTTTTATCCCGCAATCCATTAACCAGTTTAGTAGCCTTTCTCTGAACCCTCTGTAAGGTTTAAGGTAAGTTTGCGCCAAGTTATGCGAATCTATTTATGTCTTTTTGGGAACAGCTGTTTGTGTTCCAGGGACATGAATTTGGCGCAAACTTGGTCCTCTATAAAAGGTATATCGACGACATTTTTATTATTTGGAAGGGGTCAGAAGACACTTTTCTTCAGTTTTTTACATATCTTAATTATAATGATTGGGAAATTACACTCACGAAGAGTGTTAGTAAATGCAGTGTTGATTTTTTAGATCTTAATGTTTTTATCCAAGATCAAATGTTGATGACTAAAACCTTTTTTTAAAAAGTTGATGTTAACAGTTTTATTGAATTAGATAGTTGCCACCACCGTCCGTGGCTTAATAATATACCCAAAGGACAGTTCTTAAGGATACGGAGGAACTGTACCAAGAAAGAGGATTATACCATCCAAGCAATGTCCCTTAAAAAACAACTGATAGAAAAAGGGTATAAAGAAGATGTTTTACAGGACAAAATAGATCAGGTTGGAGAAATGGATAGGTCCCCCCTGCTACAATATAGAAAGAAAGATGATTCAGGACAATTAAATAACCAGATCCCTTTTATTTTTAATTTTTCAAGTAATATTGGTGCAATTAAAAAAAAATATTAAGAAAAACTGGCACATTTTACAGCATGAGGAGGACATTCAACAATTTATAGGAAATAAACCTAAGTTTATATTTAGGGGAGCAAAAAATTTAAAACAAATGTTAACATCAAGTTTTATTAAAACAGAGATTCCGAGGAATTTTTTAAGTAATTGGACACAGGAGCAGAAGGGCTTTTTTTATTGTGGATCTTGCCGGGCTTGTTGTAATACTCTAAGATTGAATAAGAAAGTGGAAAACTTCCACTCTTCAGTTACCAAGAAGGAATATTATATTAAATCTCTAATTACATGCCACTCTACTTATGTTATTTATCTTTTACAATGTAGCTGCGGATACCAATACGTGGGGAAGACGTCCCGCCATCTTAAAATAAGAATTAACGAACACCTTAGAAACATTCAGAAAGGTTTTCCAAACCATAGTGTATCAAGGCACTTCTCACAACACCATGGTTCGGACCCTAAGTTTCTAAGTTTTTTTGCGATTGAAAAAGTAGTAGGAAACTGGAGAGGGGGAGATATATCTAGAACTCTTGGCCTGAAAGAATCCAAATGGATTTTTGAATTACGGTCTTTAACTCCAAGAGGACTTAATATTGACTTTGAAATCAATAAATTGTTATAAAAATGATAAATTTAGTGAAAAATATCTTATATATTTTTGAAGGCTTCTTATCCCTGGGTTTGTGATTGACTATTTGCTGGACAACTAGTTTTATATGTATTTTAGTATTTATATTCTAAATAGCACTTTATACTTTGATCAGCACTTTATATACTCATTATGTTTTATTTGTAAGGCATGGTGAATATGTGCATGTCATTTTTATGTATTATATATAACTAATGGTTTCATTATTTTTTATTTTTTATTTTTCCCCTTTAAATTATGTCTGCTCGAGATTTATATGTGTGTTCTGAAACAAGTAGACTAATTGCCCATTTCCAAGATGGCCATTTTTGCCCCAGGATGCATGAACATTGCTAGAATATGGGAAGAGAGGAGGAACGTTCTGCTGATTTACTCTCAGCGAAACCGGAAGTGACGCGACGGACGGACTCCATTATGACACACGTAACCGGAAGTGTCATAACGAAGATCGGGAATGGATTTACTACACCCTATACTTTATGGTCACTCACTAACTAAACATTTTGTGAGGGTAGATTATGGTGGGGAGGATTGATCTTATTATATTCTATTTTTATATAAGTATTCCTTTGGTTACCTGTGCCTCCGAACCGCATGTGGAGCCATATTGGAGGTGGCAGAACACATCCGGTCCGGACCATATAAGGTAATATCATTGTAATTAGTTTTTCATGTGCAAGGGATTATGCAATTAAGTTTGTAACACTATTCCCTATATAAACAACAGTATATTCATTTGAGCTTTGAACAGCACCTGAGGAAGACCACTGGTAGATGGTTGAAACGCATTGTGCAATATTTCTTATCATTTTTTATTTTATTATAAATAAATATTTTACTCTGACACTCCTGGTTCCTGACTTCTGATTCCTGCTCCATTATAGAAGACCACTAAGACTAAAGGAGAACCTGCCTGATGAGTAAAGAAAATGCGTATGTCCCATTGAAGTGACATAAAAGCCATATAAGTTCAGAGCCTACTTTAAATGGCTCATTAAAGTGTGAGTGTTTCTAACTCAGAACTTCCATTTTAATTGTGTGGAATATACAGATTACACTATGTTTTGTTTTATGTTTATACCCTTTGTATAGGTAATCTAATATTCAATACACTGATTGTATATAAGGAGGAGATACCTACTATTTATTTGTCAGGTAAACCACCTCACTGGTGTGTGTGTGCGCTGTTACCTTTTCTGTGCTTTATTGTATCTTTTCTAAGTATACATAGTGGTGATATACTTGGGTATAGCAGCACCAGTCACCTATCTTCATCCTAAAGCGCCACTTCTATTTCTATTTGTTGTCCTCTGTAAGGTATCAATATCCTTCTGAAGATACGGTCTCCAGTACTGTGTACAATACTCCAAGTGAGGTCTCACCAGTGTTCTGTACAATGGCATGAGCACTTCCCTCTTTCTACTGCTAATACCTCTCCCTATACAACCAAGCATTCTGCTAGCATTTCCTGCTGCTCTATTACATTGTCTGCCTACCTTTAAGTCATCAGAAATAATCACCCCTAAATCCCTTTCCTCATATGTTGAGGTTAGGACTCTATCAAATATTCTGTACTCTGCCCTTGGGTTTTTACGTCCAAGATGTATTATCTTGCACTTATCCACATTAAATGTCAGTTGCCACAATTCTGACCATTTTTCTAGTTTACCTAAATCATTTGCCATTTGGCTTATCCCTCCTGGAACATCAACCCTGTTACATATCTTAGTATCATCAGCAAAAAGACATACCTTACCATCAAGACCTTCTGCAATATCACTAATAAAAATATTAAAGAGAATGGGTCCAAGTACAGATCCCTGAGGTACCCCACTGGTGACAAGTCCAAGCTTCGAATATATTCCATTAACTACAACCCTCTGTTGCCTGTCACTCAGCCACTGCCTTACCCATTCAACATTATTGGAATCCAAACTTAAAGATTGCAGTTTATTGATAAGCCTTCTATGTGCAACAGTGTCAAAAGCCTTACTGAAATCTAGGTAAGCAATGTCTACTGCACCACCCTGATCTATAATGTTACCCAATCAAAAAAATCAATAAGATTAGTTTGGCATGATCACGCTGAAGTAAACCCATGTTGTCTCTGATCTTGAAATCCATGTGTTTTTAGATGTTCATCAATCCTATCCTTTAACATGGTTTCCATCACTTTCCCCATTACTGAAGTAAGGCTTACTGGTCTATAGTTGCCCGACTCCTCCCTATTACCTTTCTTGTAAATGGGCACAACATTCGCTAAGTTCCAATCTTCTGGGACTACTCCTGTTAACAAAGATTGGTTAAATAAATCTGTTAATGGTTTTGCTAGTACACCACTAAGCTCTTTTAATAGCTTTGGGTGTATTCCATCAGGTCCCATTGACTTATTTGTCTTTTGACAGTTGAAATAGAACCTCTTCCTCTGTAAACTCACATGTAATAAATGACTCATTTATCCTTTTTCTCAACTGAGGTCCCTTTTCCTTCATTTTCATCTGTAAATACAGAGCAAAAATATTAATTGAATGCATGGGTATACTCGCATGGAGGGTCAGTGTGCGAATGCTTGGGTATACTCGCATGGAGGGTCAGTGTGCGAATGCTTGGGTATACTCGCATGGAGGGTCAGTGTGCAAATGCTTGGGTATACTCGCATGGAGGGTCAGTGTGCAAATGCTTGGGTATACTCGCATGGAGGGTCAGTGTGCGAATGCTTGGTATACTCGCATGGAGGGTCAGTGTGCGAATGCATGGGTATACTCGCATGGAGGGTCAGTGTGCGAATGCATGGGTATACTCGCATGGAGGGTCAGTGTGCGAATGCATGGGTATACTCGCATGGAGGGCCAGTGTGCCAATGCTTGGGTATACTCGCATGGAGGGTCAGTGTGCCAATGCTTGGGTATACTCGCATGGAGGGTCAGTGTGCCAATGCTTGGGTATACTCGCATGGAGGGTCAGTGTGCCAATGCTTGGGTATACTCGCATGGAGGGTTAGTGTGCCAATGCTTGGGTATACTCGCATGGAGGGTCAGCGTGCGAATGAATGGGTATACTCGCATGGAGGGTCAGTGTGTGAATGAATTACCATATGTGTGTGGCGCTGTGTAATTCTAGAGGAATATGTGCATGGATGATCCGTGTGCATGAATGCAGGGGGGTATATGTACCCCTTTCTTATTCCATTTTTAATGATCTACTGCTCTAGCAGTGGCTTCCTTCCTAGATCCTAAGTTATTCCCATGTTATCAGACCAATTCCTACCATATGATAATAGCTACATTCTCTCACTTTGTTATTAGCCTGGGCCTCTCCAACCAGCATTCAAGGCAGGAGCTTTAGTCTTTGGGCTAGCCTATGAAAACTACCCCACTATACAAAATTCATTCAGTCTAGATATGTACAAAATGAATACACCTAATGCAGACCTAGGAACTTCTTCCCTATCTATGTTAGAAAATGTACCAGACTGCAGACATCCAGTGAATCCCATTAAGTGTGAAATCATTTAAAAATGAATACCAAGAAAATATCTAAAATAGCACTTTGAATTAAATTGGTTTTACATCATGCCAAACGAATGGCTAATGCACAAAATGCCAAGTGTTTTGTTTAGCATGTGCTGGCTTATAAAACAGACATAAATATAAAGAATAATTGGACACATATATTTAGATGCTATAAAGGCAGAAACAAAAAGAATATATCTATATATTCTGTGACCAGCATTTCCTTAATTAAAAAAAAAACAAAAAACACTGGAACAAGTGATATGCCCGACTCCTGTTTCTCCTATAAAGACAGAAAAAAAATATATAGAAATATATATATTTATTTTTTTGCCTTTATAGCATCTAAAAGAAAGTACATCATTCATCAGGACTAGCAAACGGTCCATTTAAGTACCCGGTGTGTCAGCTACTATAAGTGTTCCACTATTTATTTATTGTATATTTATATATCCTGGCCTTGTGTGCAAAGCAGAACAAAGAGAGCAAGTGACATTAGGAAGCCTATTGTAGCTTCAGGGGACCTTCCTGGCCACTGGGGAACCAACCTTCAAACCATCCAAAGGCAAAAAAGGAGAAACCTGAGCGGAGTGGATCACTTTACCATTGTGAATTCTACAGAGGAGCAAAAGTGGAAAAACAAAGATGAAATATTAAAGAATCCCCATCGCTTGACTGCAAGCAACTACTCATCATCCGCATGACTTCAAGCATGAAAAAAGTTCTTCTCGAATTCAGAGAGGCTTGCTTGTTAGTCAGATGCATGTTCACAATAACAAGAGCCCATGATCTGACACATTTCAGTAGCAGATTACAGGCACATTTTAAACGTTCTGCGAATGAAATTACTAACATTAACACCTTCATGCTAATCGGTGTCAGCAAAAACACATGAAGGTCCACTGAAGGTTCAGACATATCAGCCATGCAATCAATGAGTGAAGTCAGAAGGAAAAAAAAATTATACAAAGATCAAATTTGTCAATTGCAAAATAATCTTGGCAATGAAAATAGACACAGTCTCAATGAAAGAGCAATTCTTAGACATCCTTTTACAACCTTATTTACAGGATACAACAACAGACCCTTTTGGAGCTGAAGGACCTTATACGTTCCCTCATACACATTGGTAACAAGCCTACACATACTTATCCTCTATAGCAACATTCCATATAATAAAGATCCTTGAGGCCTGCTCTTACTTTCTTCATAAATCAAAGAAACACTATAGGCCCCCAGACTACTTCAGCTAATTGAAGTGCTCTGGGTACAGTGTCCCTGAGAAACTGCAGTGTTTACATTGCAGCACTAAGTCTGCATCCAGTTGCTGTCTACCAGACAGTCACTGGAGGCAATTCCTGGATTAAAACAGATCTTTGGTCTGGTAACGGACGCTGGATGTCCTCACGCTCTATATACGAACACGCAGCATCAGATTTTTCCCAATAGGAAAGCATTGATTCAATGCTTTCCTATGGAGACGACCAAGCACCGAGGAACATTGGTGCTGTGGTAAGGTAAGTAAATAAAGGGTTTTTAACCCTTTATTTATCACAGTGGGGAGCAAACGGAGGAAAGGGGCAGAAGGAGCTATAGTGCCAGGAATACAGCTTTGTATACCTGGCACTTATAGTATCTCTTTAACCCCTTAAGGACACATGACATGTCATGATTCTCTTTCATTCCAGAAGTTTGGTCCTTAAAGGGTTAAATCACTTTAACTCCTCTGAGAAACAAACATTTTTTTTCCACTTTTAATGGAAAATATCTCCAAATAAAGGGAAATGTTATGTCAGCCTATGCACCCAGTAATGCCAAAGAAGAAAGTGAATAAGTAGGAAGGCTTAAGAGAGGTGCCCCTATTCAATAAGTGCAGCATGTCTGTTCATTGGGGATGATTGATGATATTTTGATGAAGATTTCAATATGGTATGTATGCCTTTAACATTCCTACAACATATATGTATTTGCACTAAATAATTTAGGTTTACGTTTCAGGAAGGGAACCCATGTTTATTACATTGTGCCTATGGGAAATTACTTCTCACGTTATGAATTAGGCTTCGGAACCAATTCATTCGTAAAGTTGGGAACTACCTGTATACTTTATAGCCAGTGCTTTAGCGCTAGGAGGAACTGCTCCAATGAGAGACTTCGAGAAGGAAGCACAAGATTTAAGGTAGCGTTTCAAAGCACCAAGCTGTCTGAATAGAATTTCAAAAAGGCTTAGCAGAAGATAGATCTATGTGCTAACACAATACATCTTAAATCAAAAAGTTCAACATCCAAAAATTCGTATTCTTTGGAACTTTTCTTCAGAAATGGGTCGTTGCCAAATGAATTCTACCAAGGAACGGACTCATCCTTAAACATCATATGGCCCTCAATGACATTCTACCATCTATCTTTGCCAACAATGACAGAGAGAAGGCCTAAGAACTTAACAGATATGTTGTTTCACAGTAACTTGGAGTCTCCTGAACCCACAGCTACACGGTTGACCCCCGCACTAAAAGGGTCTACCGATGTGGTCATTGTAAGGTCTGTCAGTATATTAAATCATTACTTTTACTAACTTATAACCAAACATCAAAAAAGTTTCAAATTAATGCCTTTGTGAATTGCAGTACAACAAAGTTAATTTGCCCGATTACATGCACATGCAGGTAACAGTATATAGGGAAACCTAACCAAAAATTCTGGCAAAGAATTTTGCAACATATTAATTCCATCACTTACATGAATGTTTCAACACCCATAGCAAGATATGTGCACACTAATCATGACGCTAACCCCCAAAAGAATTACAGTTTCAGGCTACTAAAAAAACATCAATCTCTGTTCAGGCAAAGGCAGTATAGACCACCTTCATCTGAATCTTGATGAATTTACACTTTCAGAACAACGTCTCCTAGGGGTCTGAATGAAATATTTAATTTCACACCTTGTATTCAGTCATGGCACAAAGAAAGTACCCCCTTTTTGAATGGTTTTCACATATCAGAGCATAATAACAATCACCTATTCCTTAGCACAGGGCTCGACAAATCCCAGGTACCAGGTCGCCATGGCGACTTGAAATTTTGTCCTGGCACCTCTGGGATTTGTCAGCCTGGTCTGTGGAGACAGCAATGGAGAATGCAGGCGGCCTGCTGTGGGAGAGCAGAAGGGACCAGCCGGCTGTGAGGAATGGAGGCGGCAAGGTAAACCGTAATCTTCCTGCTCTGCTCCCTCGTGTCCTGCTGTGATGCCGAAATATAATGTCACGGCCCCGGCATCACTAAACAGCGCAAGAGGTACCAGAGCAGGAAGAGGACAGAAGCCCCACTTGGACCCAGAGAAATTTGATTCACTCTAGCTCTCCCAAAAGGTAGGGAGGCTGGGTGCATTTAAAACTTTAAAATTTTAACTTTAAAAAAAAACAAAAAAAAAAAACAGAAAGATGCATTATGTAGCATTTCTGACTGTGCACACTGCAAACTATTGCACAAGACGAAAAAAATTTTTTGCGGGGAAAATAAATGGTCCCATATAAGTTTTCCTCTTTACACTGTACATTGTATATACTACTTTATATACTACCCCTTAAGGACACACCCTTTTATTCCAGAAGTTTGGTCCTTAAGGGGTTAAAGGGACACTATAATCACCAGAACAACTACAGCTTAATGTAGTTGTTCTGGTGAGTATAAACATTATATGCAGGCATTTTCATGCAAACCCTGTCTTTTCAGAGAAAAGGCAGTGCATTGCCCCTAGGTACAGCTCCAAGTGGGGGAATCCACCTTAATGATGGGTTTAACACTATAGGGTCAGGAATACATGTTTGAGATTCGCTCTCCCTTTAGCTGTACGTGTACACATTACACAACAGACGGCCTTACAAGGACATACGTGAAAACAAGAAAAATTCTAATGTTTTCTTAGTGTTAGAACTTTTTATATAGTAATAAAAATAGATATATGCATTTAAAATATAGTGCCAAACTTGCACTGGGATTAACAACAATGAGAACATCACGAAAATAATATAGTTTTAGACTACAGACCTCCCTTACACAAGTAATTAAATATAGGATTCCAAAATCCTGAATTTATCTGAAAACATATTCATGGCTATATCCCAAAATCTACTCTGGGCTGTTATTATCTAGAACCGTCTCAATGACATTCTTTGCTTCCGCGAACAATCAGAATGTATTAAAATAACGGAGCACTGATAATGCCAGAAACATGACAAATTACAGGCCAAGAGTCAGATACCGAAGGGATCACAAGCCAGGCCCATTTGCAAGTAAATGATATTGTGTGAAAGTGGCATGCTCAGTGCATGACAAACTGAAGCAATTTCAGCAATGTCTGAGGATCTGGGTTAGATTTGGTTGATGCCGGCTGCGCTTACTTTACACAATTGTGCAGAGTTCCTAGATTTGAATCACTGGGGGCTCCAAAGGGCTTCATTTGACAAGCCACGAATAATGGCTATACACTCTTTCCATTGTACTTTATTATTTTGTACCCCTTATCTGCAGTCTGTGGGCACTTGTGTACAAGCAGGGTCGCTTTTATTTTGACCACGACAGCAACAAAACATTGCTCTTTTGCTGATAGCATAAATAAAATTAGGCCTCGTAGCCCAAACAATGTTATTTATCAGGTACAGTACATTCGGGAATCGGAGAAAACGGAGAGGTGGGTTACTGGAAGCTAGGTTTTGAGGATGGAAAATTATAAGGGCAAGTTCATGATCTGTTCTATTCAGGCCTTGAATTACTGCAAAAACTCATTTGAAAAATGGAGCATAACGTTTCTACAATATTTCAGTTAAACACATGAAGAAAAAAAAAAAAAACCTTATAACAATTAAAGTTGTTCTTTTCACTGTGGTTTCCATATGCTGATATGGGCTGATACATTGTAAACGTAGTTTGCCTCTCTGCCACAGTGCTGCAGACTAGGACTGGATAAAGTACTAATTAGTTGTGCTGGCTTAAAGTGAGCTATGTATTAATTAGATTAAGCTAATACTGTCTAGCGCCCTTCACAGTGTATGAATATAATGTTGATTCTACTCACCTTCCATGCGTCTTAGTGGTCATTTTACCATACCCATCTCCTGCTCAATGACTCCAGCACCGCCATCAGTCTGCCTTCATGAGCGGCAACCTCCTCTCTGGCGGTGCCCCTCTATAGAAGGATAGTAACACTTCCCAGCTCCTCTCTCTGCCTCCCTGATTGAAGCCAAGCTTTAAGGCATCTTCTGTTTTAGACAGACATTGGAATGGGGGGAGCATGCTATTTTTTTCCTCACAACAGCTGTCTAATGCAAAAACTATATATTGTGCTAATTGTCAGAACTTAACTGTTGGCTTCTTGCTATTCCGACACTTCCGGGTTGACGGAACAACAACAAGCCGCCCTTCTCTGACGCGGCTTACTCACGCTACATAGGGGAACCACACCAGTTTCAAGTGCTTGGTTATTTTGAAGCTTCCTAGATCTTCTGACCGGCTACAAACAATTCTCTCGCTAAACTTCTCTACACGTGTACCGAAGCTGGACTGTTAAATCGCTGATCTCCATTCTGCTTCCCTTGACCTCGGACTACCTGTGATATTGTTCCTACTTCCTCTATTACTGGAAAACCTTCCAAGGAAACAGCAAGTTATATAAATTGGATTATATAATTCTTCTGGCATTTCAATATGAATGCAAATCTATTTCCTCGTCTCCTAAATTCAACTAATGAAATATCTAATCTTTGATATTCCATCTATAAACTGGTCTTTGCTTACCTAAACCATCTGCAGCAACCACTCTGCTTAACCCCTTAAAACCGGAGGGCTTACTATTACACCCTATTCTAAGCAGCTCTAAACACTGCAGGGTGTAATAGTACGCCCTCACGTTTTTTGTTACTTACCCGGACGCCGGCGATCGCGGTTGGGGAGACTCACCTGGGATCCCAGGGAGTCCCCCACGGCGGATTCAGCCTCCTCCGGGCCCTCACAGGACCTCACAATCACATGGCCGGGTTAGCTGGCTGCTGCATTGCCAACAGGGGGACTGCCTGTAATGACAGTTAGTTTCCCTGCTGGCTGAATTCAAATAAAATAAAGTTAAAGTCAGTATATATATATATATATATATATGATCTAAGTATATAAAAAATTTTTATATACTATTTTATTTGAATATATACGTATATATAAACACATATACATACACTCACACATACATTGTCTAGGTGTATTTTACTATATATATTTTAATATCAAATTACACGTAGACTGATACTGATTAAATATATATATATATATATATAATTATTGTTATATATAATTAAAAAAAGTAAATTCGTTAAATAAAATTACAAAATGATTAAAAAATATATATGTATTATTTCGTTCTAACTGTATTGTGATATATATTTATATCAAAATACACGTAGAACAAAATAATATATATCCATATATATATATATATATATATTTTACACATACACACACATATAATAAAAATATATATACATACATATAATTATGTAATATTTTTACATAATTAGGTTTTTTAATTAATTACAATTAGTGGGACCTGCCTGACAACCCATGCAGAAAGTATAGGGAATTTAATTTGCTAGCACTATATTTAACCTTATAACTTTCCGAGACACCATAAAACCTGTACATGGGGGGTACTGTTTTACTCGGGAGACTTCGCTGAACACAAATATTAGTGTTTCAAAACAGTAAAATGTATTACATTTTTCACACACAAACAGCACTTACACGGACAATACTTTTGCTGTGATACTTTTTACTGTTTTGAAACACAAATATTTGTGTTCAGCAAAGTCTCCCGAGTACAACAGTACCCCTCATGTACAGGTTTGATGGTGTTTTCAAAAGTTACAGCGTCAAATATAAGGCTTGTGTTTCATTTTCTTCACATTAAAATTCGCCAGATTGGTTACGTTGCCTTTAAGACCCTATGGTAGCCCAAGAATGAAAATCACCCATATGATGGCATACCATTTGCAATAGTAGACAACCCAAGGTATTGCAAATGGGGTATGTCCAGTCTTTTTTAGTAGCCACTTAGTCACAAACACTGGCCAAAATTGGCGGTTTTTGCATTTTTCACACACAAACAAATATTAACGCTAACTTTGGCCAGTGTTTGTGACCAAATGGTTACTAAAGAAAACTGGAAATACCCCATTTGCAATACATTGGGTTGTCTACTATTGCATATGGTATGCCATTATGGGCGTAAATTTCATTCCTAGGCTACTATACAGTCTCAAAGGCAACATAACCAATCTGGCGAATTTCAATTTTAAATGTAACTTCCCAAACCACCATAAAGCCTGTACATAGGGGGTTCATGTTTTACAGACTTTGCTGAATACAAATATGTGTATTTTATTGCAGTAAAAATCAAACAGTATTATGACATTTACAGTTAAAATGTCATGTAGAACAAAATAACAAAATTTCTTATTTTCATATTAAATTATGTTTCATAGCTAAATATTTGATATTAAATGAAAGCCCCGTTTCCCATGAAAAAAATGATATATAATAAGGGTAGGTGCATTTAATATGAAAGAGGTGAATTACGGTTGTACAGACGTAGCGCAAATGCCAGGTTTTGTTTACATTTTGTTTTGTTCACAACGTGTACATTTGGCTCAGTCCTTAAGGGGTTAATTGTCCCAACTTCTACCTTCATATTGTATTCCATAAAGCTACAGGAAGTATCCTCAGAAATCCACCTTCAAATCAAACTCCTTTATTAGGAATTTATTCTATTTAAATTCTAGTTCTTACTCTGATCATCCTCTAACACTAACGAATGATCAATATGTGTGTAGACAGAGTAAGGAAAAGATTTAGTGTCTGCAGAGCACAAGGGGGCATGACAGTAACCCTTTAAAATGACACTCAACTGATACTCCTCTTTTCCATCTATAGAACTCGTGAGCTATACCCAAAAGATGCTTTCTATAGGTCCAACAATGGTTTCTGAAATGTCTAGCATTTAACACCTGCTTGTAATGAGATATTAAAGGATCACTATAGGGTCAGGAACACAAACACGTATTCCCGACCCTAGTGTTAAAACCACCATCTAGCCCCCTGGGCCCCTCATGCCTCCATAAATATAGCAAAATCTTATTGTATTCAAGCCTGAAGCTGTAAATCTACATGCTGTTAGACTCAGAAAAACAAGCAGTCTGCTGACATGTGGTAGCCTGATCCAATCACAATGCTTCCCCATAAGATTGGCCGAGACTGACAAAGAGGCAGATCGGGGCAGAGCCAGCATGATTCAAACACAGCCCTGGCGAATCAGCATCTCCTCATAGAGAGGAATTGAATCAATGAATATCTATGAGGAAAGTTCAGTGTCTGCATGCAGAGGGAGGAGATACTGAAACACAGGATGCATCTTGGACGTAAAAACCCAAGGGCAGAGTACAGAATATTTGATAGAGTCCTAACCTCAACATCTGAAGAAAGGGATTTAGGGGTGATTATTTCTGATGACTTAAAGGTAGGCAGACAATGTAATAGAGCAGCAGGAAATGCTAACAGAATGCTTGGTTGTATAGGTAGAGGTATTAGCAGTAGAAAGAGGGAAGTGCTCATGCCATTGTACAGAACACTGGTGAGACCTCACTTGGAGTATTGTACACAGTACTGGAGACCGTATCTTTAGAATGATATTGATACCTTAGAGAGAGTTCAGAGAAGGGCTACTAAACTGGTTCATGGATTGCGGGATTAAATTTACCAGGAAAGGTTAAAGGATCTTAACATGTATAGCTTGGAGGAAAGACGAGACAGGGGGGATATGATAGAAACATTTAAATACATAAAGGGAATCAACACAGTAAAGGAGGAGACTATATTTAAAAGAAGAAAAACTACCGCAACAAGAGGACATAGTCTTAAATTAGAGGGACAAAGGTTTAAAAATAATATCAGGAAGTATTACTTTACTGTGAGGGTAGTGGATGCATGGAATAGCCTTCCACCTGAAGTGGTAGAGGTTAACACAGTAACGGAGTTTAAGCATGCGTGGGATAGGCATACGGCTATCCAAACTATAAGATAAGGCCAAGGACTAATGAAAGTATTTAGAAAATTTGGCAGATTAGATGGGCCGAATGGTTCTTATCTGCTGTCACATTCTATGTTTCTGTGCACAGTGCTGCCCTGTGCTCTGCTGACAGCAGATCTGAGTGGATGGAGGCATATTATGCCTCCATCAACTCCGAAGTCCCTCTGGTTCACTCTGAGTGACTGCAACTGGAGGTGTTCCTAGCTTTCAATGTAAACACTGTATTTTCTCAGAAAAGATGGATAGAATAGGATTGTTTCTAGAGCGTTAAGGTTAGTGTTGGTTCAGGTTTGAAGAACCCACTTCCGCTAAGCAGTTGCTGTCAACTGATGCAGTTTTCTGTCACCCCCCCCCTCCAAAAAAATCTTTATAAAACACTCATATTGAAGGTGTTGGAATTTCACTGAAGAGATAGATTGATATACTGAGACAAAGAAAAAACAAAATAAAACAAAAACCAAAGTCTCCATACATATACCGCTCTTTACAATAGGAGGATATATATCTTGTCAAGCTTGTCATTTCCCATTTATAAGGGGGGGGGGGGGAAGCTATCTTTATAGAGAATCCCGCAGTCTTGCAGAAGACTCCATATAGTACAGAGCTCACATTAGCTCCTCACAGCTCAAGCGCTGGGAGCTCAATAGGATAGGACAGATCATGGTGATGGCTGTGGAGGACTATTTAGTGACAAAGCCACTTTAACAAATCATAATACAAAAAAAAACACACAAACAAGACACATGTTCACTTCACCTAATTATACTACTACCTCACAGTACAAACAAAGATTAATCCCCTTATTTTACTTAGATTAGATTCATAGATTTAAATTAGGCTTATTACCTAAATTATCCATTGAGAAGAAATGCTGTATAACATCAATACAACCAAAACTAGCGCAATAAATACTTCATTGAATTAGATTAATACATTTGATAGAGCCCATCAGCCAAAACACAGTAATCACAGTACATGCCAATACAAATACTACGTAAAGAAGCACTGTCATGGCCGCATCCGTGATTTTTGTTGTGTTTTTTTTAAGCTCCCCTCCTGACTCCAGTACATCTGATTTCCTCCCTAGTCAACCCCATATGCCTTAGGCCCCCCCATTTACCTTTTAAAAAAAAAAAAAACTTTATTTTGTGCCCAGACCTAGGTTCTGGGCACCACCTGCTTTGTGTGGGTAGATGAAGGCCCTGTGGGACACATCATCTGCCCACACTAGATAGCGCCATAAAATTCCCGTGCATGCCCAATAAAAAACACTGTGGCTACTGTACAAAATTCGGATGGGAATTTCATCTATTCATTCATCAGAAAGACAAATGAATGAATAGAAATGTCAGATGAACAAACAAACTCTGAATATCGGTGTTCGTTTGGTTTATTACAAGGAGGGAGCTACCGGTGCGCAGCTCCTTCCTTGTAATATGTAAAGATAGAAGCTGTGCTCCCTGCCACTTCCTAAGTCCCTCCAAATCTCTCCCAAATGCCCCTACTTATCTGCTCACTGTAAAAAAAATAAAAAAGCTCCCCCCCCCCACCATGATGGGCAATAACTGCCCATCATGGTGGGGCATCTATTAACTAGTGGGGGGACCTAGTGTCCACCTCGAACCCCCAACCGTGCCCCGCGAGTTGTGGCTATTCAACTAAATGGGGGACATAGGTTGCACTGACAATTAGGGAATGGACCTAGTGCCCCCCGGGTCCCCACCCATGAGCGGTGGGTGGGGGCCCTAAACAACAATGGGAGGGGGGAGGAGACCTATTGTCCTCCCCCCCCCCCTGGCTCCCAACCATGAGCAGCAGGGTTGGGGCCCTAAATTACAATAATGGGGGGCCTATTGTCGTCCTCTCCCCAGCCCCCAATGAGCAGCGGGTGGAGACCCTAAATTACAATAAGGGGGGAAACCTATTGTCCTCCCCCCCGGCCCCCACCCATGAGCAATGGGTGGGGGCCCTAAATGACAATGGTGGGGACATATCGTCCTCCCCCCGGCCCGACAGGTTGGGGTTAAATGTTAAAATACCACCCCAGGTGACCCCCAGACCCAAATAAAATTAAATAAAGACCTATCTACCCCCCCTCACCATAAAAATAGTGAGGGGGGAGACAATAAAACAAAATACCTGTAAATAAATTTTACAAATACTTACCATTTGAGGTCTTTTTTGTTTTTTTTTTAAACCGGTATAGCGAGTAGGGGCAGATTATTTACCAATACTAAGTCATTTTTATTTTAGTATTTGTAAAGTTGGCTGAAAGACCAACCTTGGTCTTTCAGCCTTTTAGTAGATATCTCGCTGATACCAGGGGAATTTGGGAGCTATCTACGAAGCGGCTGCAAGATGCAGCCACAGCACAGACCAGATCGGAATTTCACAGACAGGAAGAAATGAACAGATCGTGAGAGAGGAAGAGAAAAGGAAGCGATTAGGCAAAGGTAAGTTCAGCATGACAGAGCCGCTTTAACTAATCTGTCCTTAAAGGACCACTAAGGTCACCCCAGGTCTCAATGAAGTGGTCTGGGAGCAGTGGTCCTATAAGTTTAATACTTTAAGGTTAACCCAATAGTTTTGACAGCCACCTTAGGCACCTCTATTGCACCTACCGAATGCAACTCATAGAAAAGCATTGGATTCAACGTTTTCCTATGATAAGGATTGGATTCAACGTTTTCCTATGATAAGGATTGGATGTAGGCAAAGCAGTTGCTGCGCATCAGGTATTATGGAGCACTGGATTGGCTATCAGCCGAGGAAGCCATGCACTCTCAATGACATCGCGGGAGGAGGAGGGGTGAGCAGGACCAAGGAAGCTTTGGCTCTAGAAAAAGATGAGCAAAAACCTTTAACTTGTTAATTTTATGGCAAATACAATGGGGAATCTCTAGCATTAGGTTTGTACTGCAAACTCTAGAGAGTGTTCCTTTAATAGTTACACTTCAAACCATACAATAAAAAAATTTAGCTTAATTTTATTTTATTAAAGCATCCATGCTGTGCTACTGCAAACAGTTACAATATCATATATGTTGGTGATGTTCAATGCACAAAATTACAATAAGTTTCTATTTTTGGACTTGAGCAGGAGCTCTACTTTGTGCACCTGCAACAAGGTCAAGGGTTAAAAAAAAAAAAAAAAGACTGATATTGATTTTTTGACAATTCTTCCCTCATGCTAGTAAGCGCAATTGAACGGCTCATTGTTGTGAAAATCTACCTCTGCAGTACATATTTATTTAGTATCTCTGCAGTGTCACTTTAAGATGTTAGATGCTACTCTTCTTTCACCTTTGGAGCTTCTGCATTTGCTAACAATCCCAGGGATTTTCAACTATATTTGTGTACTTTCCCATAAGCCCAGAAAAGGATTTTTTTTTTGCCCTAACCCACCAGACGATTGGGAGCAGAAAACATAGTCCACATCCCACTGCGTACAGACTAAGTAAATGGCTTCAGTTTTATTTATAAAAAGGATACAAACCATACTTGATGTGCAAGCCAACGTCCAACATAGTAGCATCTACAAAGTGGTTAAGGTGCGATCATTGGTTAACAGAAATTCCTTTAATTCAAAACAGACACGTTAGATTAAAAACAAAACAAAAAAAAAAACACACAACCACACTGACAGACAATAAGGGACTTTTTCCATAGTCCTTTCCATTATAAACATTACAATAGGATGGATTTAGGTGTTTTGGCATTTGGCTTATCCCGTTAAACCTTTCATTTGGTGGTTGCTAGATATAAAGATGTGTCAGTTTGTTTTAGTTGAACATAATTGTTACTATGTCAAAAAGCTCAAATGTATTCCATAGAGCTGTTCAATAGAGCAGACACTTCATATACCGTAATTCACTAATGATACACTTTAATAAGAAATACTGGATTATTTAGCTTTAAATGTATATATTTAGATGGTAATGATAATTCATCATTAAAGAAGAAGTGTTAGTTTTGAATATGAATCTAGATGGTATATCTTGCACCCTTTGATTTAGGGGTGATTATTTCTGATGACTTAAAGGTAGGCAGACAATGTAATAGAGCAGCAGGAAATGCTAGCAGAATGCTTGGTTGTATAGGGAGAGGTATTAGCAGTAGAAAGAGGGAAGTGCTCATGCCATTGTACAGAACACTGGTGAGACCTCACTTGGAGTATTGTACACAGTACTGGAGACCGTATCTTCAGAAGGATATTGATACCTTAGAGAGGGTTCAGAGAAGGGCTACTAAATTGGTTCATGGATTGCGGGATAAAACTTACCAGGAAAGGTTAAAGGATCTTAACATGTATAGCTTGGAGGAAAGACGAGACAGGGGGGATATGATAGAAACATTTAAATATATAAAGGGAATCAACACAGTAAAGGAGGAGACTATATTTAAAAGAAGAAAAACTACCACAACAAGAGGACATAGTCTTAAATTAGAGGGACAAAGGTTTAAAAATAATATCAGGAAGTATTCCTTTACTGAGAGGGTAGTGGATGCATGGAATAGCCTTCCAGCTGAAGTGGTAGAGGTTAACACAGTAAATGAGTTTAAGCATGCGTGGGATAGGCATAAGGCTATCCTAACTATAAGATAAGACTAGGGACTAATGAAAGTATTTAGAAAATTGGGCAGACTAGATGGGCCGAATGGTTCTTATCTGCCGTCACATTCTATGTTTCTATGTTTCTATGTTTGACTGCTTGTTGGAAGAAAACTGCACATTCAACAGATGACCAATTGCATTTACAAAGTGGATTCTTTTCTGTTGAGACTTACAGGTCAGGGGGTCAATATCTCCTCTAATTCAAACTAACAGGAAGACATGTTAATGTCTCTGATTAAGCAAGTATACTGGGGACAGCTATTGACATGCACAGCTCCTCACGGCTTCCGTGCCTGACCTTGCTTTTGAAAAAGCTTTATGCGGACACCTTGCCAATGGCAGTTAATGAGTACCGGCACTGGCTACATTACAGATCAGCAGTCTTACACATTCACCATGCTTTCTTTTTTCCTCCCTTATCAGGTAAATTAAAATGTTGTGGTTTTTATTCCCCTTTCTTTTTCATCGTAATAAGCCTTGAAGCTACTCATTCTTTGGATCAAGACAATGTGAAGCCCACCCTTTCAGTAAAAACAAAAAACAAAAAACAATGCATTTCTTATCAAATTTGCCATAGGAGCATATATTTGAGAACATAAAGACTACCACCATGCATTTAAAAAGCAAAAAACATTGAAAACGTTTGTTTCCTCAATATAAACAAATGTTATTTAAGTATGTTCATTTGAAAGATATACATCTAGTGCTGGTTACATTAATATACACCCAAACCAGAAAGGCTGCTTGCACACCAAAACAAAATCTGTCCTGGTGGTTAGCAATGAATCATAGTCATTGGTCAACTGACCAGAGTAGTCATTTCTCCCTCATAACCCCAGTGGAGGTGGAGAAATAAGCAGCGCCGAGGGAGTTTTGGTGCTGGAAAAAAGAGAGTATAAGGCCTGATTTTATTACTTTTATGTGGCACACGGAGGGAGGACCTTTCTAACAAGAGACAGACACCAAGCTAAACGTTAGTGTTCCTTTAACTATGCAAGCCTAGCTGGGCTTTGAGTAATTTTTTACAATTTGAGCTATAGGAACAGAACATACAATAACATACTCCACATTCCAAGTACTTGATAGTTTCAGAGTAAATGCCTTTTAGACAATGTTTAAAGTTTTTTGTTTGTTTTTTTAAACTTACATTCAAAACATAATTCTTACATACTGTCCACAGATATATGCCTAAACAGGCAGTATTCTGCAGTAGAAAGAGGATCCAAGCACTCCAAGTATCTTCAAACTTGTTTATTGGGACACGTGAGACACCACAACTTGTCCCAATAAACACACTTGGAGTGCCTGGATCCTCTTTCTACAACAGATATCTACTCCCTGGGGCTGGTGCTGGCCCTTGGTCCAGTTTAGCACCCAGATCTTCACGTGATTGGAGTGCGTTTTTTTTTTTTTTGCATAAAACAGGCAGTATTGTCTGCTCAATTTGTAAATCACCATGAATATGTAAAAAAAAAAAAAAAATTGATTAAGAAAACATACTAAATGTAATTAAAGCCACAAAAACCAATATATATGCCAGCATGACCTAATGAATGTATACTACCTTGACCTGGAAGCAACTAGGTCAACAGCAATCAAACTATAACTAACAAATGTTGTATGTATCTCAATCAACATAAGGGATGTGATTGGTGGTTGTCATTCTGGTATTGACACAAGTAGAATATTTAAATGATAACTAGCTCTCATTTGTGACACAATCAAGCTAAATTGTTCCCAATGGTCAATTTCAGTGATGGTTCACATTTAAAGGTCAAGCACAGGCAAGCAATGTCACTTATTGAAACAAGTATAACGGTGAAGAAGCAAATGGCTAGCTTGCATATACTTTAATCCTTTAGGTTACCATTGTAACATGGAGAATAGGGATACAATACTGCTCACCTACTGCCAAATTTGATGTCTCAGAATGGTAAAGTCTGTTCATACTTGTTGTATCCCAACATTTGCATTGCGCATTTTGTCCCGCAATTCTAGCATGGTGATTATAGCTTCAAGTTAATGAGAAATGTAATTTGTTATGATTTAAAATAAAAGAGAATATGTATTACAACTTCTGTGAGTTACACTGCAATGTACACATGTGAGTAACTCGTTTTAGTGTATGTTCAGGCTTAGTCTTGTTCTATGGTGACAGAAGTCAACACCCCTGTTTATTTGACCTAAGGACTTAGGTGAGAATTATTTTTTTTTTATTAGTATTATTTTTTATTTATTTATTCATCCTGGTCTCTGGCCCATGCCATGAACATCCCTAAAATGCACTTTTAGACCTTAATATTACAAATTGTATTAGCAGATAAGTTGTGCTTCTGACCAAAGATGAAAAAAAAAAAAAAAAAAAAAAAGTACTGGTAACCAAAAAGAAGTAGCTGCCCACGAGATGCATTGAGAAATTATGGATTTTACTTATTCATTATAAAATAACACACAGCAAGGCTATATTACTCAACTTTTATTTTCAATGATTTAAAATAAAATAAAAAAATAATTTAAAAATAGACTGTATTCCTTTAAGTGAAGCTCTACACAATAAATTACACAAATCACTGTAGTATCCACAAAATGTTGCCAAAATGAGCACACTTGCCTTCCAATCACATTACGAAGCCCCTTTGAAAAATTGTATTCATACTGGGCATATGCGATTTCAGAAGCCCCTTTATATTTTACGTGTCTAGGAATATAAATTCTTGGGTGCATACATAATTCCCACATTAATGGTGAGGAGGAACAGTGAGGCTTTTGTCACCATCCCTTAAATTAGCAGGGATTCCTTTTATTTAAACACTGTGCTAGAAACACCACATTTAGCTAGTGTTTGTATTTTGTTGTGCCAATTTAGGAATATTTCTGAACTTTTTGAGCATCATTTAGGTCAATTACTTGTATGACAAATGTGGATGAATATGGAGTGTCCTTTTTTTTCTAATTTGAATGCTAATAAACAGAGCATACGTCGTGAAAGCAATACAGAAAGAACAATACAACAATTGTGCAAAGTTTGATATCTTAGACAAGCATGATTGCTGTGGGTTGGAATAATGTTGTGGCTGCATTTATAATCTTAACCCCTCCCAATCTGGTTATACAACAGGTTAGGATAGCTGCAAAAACATTGGAAGGAAAGTCATTTTTTTTTTTTTCTTCAATAATTTCCACTAATTCTACACTATACTGGAATAAAATATTTCCTGTGACCAGTCTGTCACTGTGGCACTCAGACACCCTTGGGTGAAATCACACCCAGTGAACTGGTACCCAAGTTTCTGATACAGACATTCAACACTTCTTTCAGAATTTGAATAAACTGATAAGCAGTGTTTTATAGTTCTAGGGATTTAAAGTCACAAGCAGTTATATGTTGCATGTGGCAAAGCATTCACACAACTGTAATATAAGGGCCAGGATTTAAGAGATCAATTTGTATAATAACTAACCTGGCATGAAATTGACCCTTTAGGGGTTAATATTGTACTGTATTTAAGATCAGTGCAAACACTAATCTTATTATAGTAGTACCACATATATGCCTATATCACCACTGCACTAATGGTTCCGACAACTGCATTAATCATCAACATAAATGGTATATTCTGACAAATGTTTAGGAACATGGTATTATGTTTATTCCCTAGTGCTACAACCCCAACAGCAACCCGGTTCCTTAAACAAGACAAGTGATATGTTAGATTTCCCAGCATTTAAATGCATCCTAATATTTTTGCAGTGGTTGAATAACAATTTTCTTGTCTCAGTGTTTTTTTAGCAGATAAATTGTTGATCCCTCATAACAGCAACTTGTATACAAATGTGCAGTTTTGTACTTTTATTTAAAATAAAGAGTGCTGATCTTCTCTCATGTTTGATGCAGAATGAATAAAAAAATTCTACCTGCTAGGGCAGACTGCAGATGTTACAGACATGTATATATAAAACATGCAAGCACATTTGCCACACACCATATGCTTCACTCTTGCTCTGCGCTTAAAAAAAAATATTGTAAATTGTTTGTTTTTTTAATTGTAAAACTCTGTTTCATAAACAATGTGGTGAACTGCAAGTACTGGGATGATTGTGCCTGTCTTCCAAGTGAACAAACTGATGTCTTGAGCATTGTTGAATTGTTTTCAATACATTACACTTGTCCCCCAGACAAGTGTAACTGCTTTTCCACCTGTCTGAGCAGGTGAATCAGTAGTTACTCATTTACCTTCCTGTTGCTGCCCAAGTCCCATGAGAACCAGAACCCTCCAATGAACTGAGCTTTTCAAAACCTATATATCCTTTTATGTCAAGTCATTGACTATAGAAAGAAAAATTTAGATAAGGATAAAAAAAAATCTCCATTTAACTTTGCAGTATAGGTAACAAGTACTGTAATTGTTGGCTTTTTACACAAAATTATAACTTTTTTTATGAATGCTGCATTCGTTTTGAAAACTTTTTTTAGTAATGGGTCTTAAATAAATCAAATGGGAAATAGACATGATATGAACAAAATGATCAGTATATAAGGATACAAACACACCTACTTGTCTATGCATACGCTAGAATTAATTTGCATGTTTTCAAAAGAAATTATTATACATTTCAAAATGAAAAAAAATGGAATGAGAGATATAAAATTGCAAGCTTTAATTTGCAATAATTATAAATGAAACATTGACTGCTGGTCTGTTTATAGCCAAAATGGTGCTATCCATGAGCCTTATAAAGGTGCCAAAAAAGAACCTTCAGTTAACCCCTTAAGCATTTCTGCAAGCTGGAGTGCTTTAGCAGTGTGGATATATTAATTTCTTCCTTTCAATTTAGGGCCTCCATCTTGAGGGGAGGGAGCAATGTTAGCAAACCACTGGGAAGAAAATACATAAATTAATCATCATAAAAGTGGGTAGACTAGCAAGTGCTGATTGTAAATGCAAAGCAGGCTACATACTAAAAATAAAAAAAAATATGAAAATAAGTACTCTTGTGAAACAAGTTACACAGTACTGAACATACATTTAAAACTCTGCAATCGTGTTACATTTTGCAGTAAGGTTCATATGCTGTAGTGCAGCATTTCTCAAACTTTTAGAGAGATGTACCCATGCAGGTCTAAAAATTCCTAAGTACCCCTGCCTTGAGAAAGTGATTTCTATTGATTTAAATTCCAAATGAAATGTGTAGACACCGATATTTAGGTTAATCGAATATTGGAGAACAAGCCTGATAAAAGGTAGTAAAGAGTAATTTGAAAATAAATATGACATGATGTGAATATTGTGTATGCAAGAAGGAGTGTATGAACTATTAATCTGAAATATAAGAGTCACAAAATGAAAATATAAAAACACATATAATTGGTACACCCAGAGGACACGGGGACACACTCACTGATTTGTCACACACAAATTATTTTTATTTAAGTATACCCAGCCTCCCTACCTTTGGGAGAGCTGGAGTGGATTATTTCCCTGTTGTCCAGTGGGGATCTTGTAATGTTTGCGCTCTTCCAGCATTACCCCTTCACACAATGTTTAGTGATGCTGGGGTCTGAGTGACATCATACCCTGAAATCACATGAGTGAGCAGCTCTAGAAGATCATAGAGTATTCAGATCCTTTGCTACCTCCATTCTTCCCCACCTGGCCGCCTCCTAGAAGGTGCTAAGGAGGCCAGCAAGCCACTTTTTGGTGTACCACTTGTCCTTTGTGCATGCAAGCCCTGGGGACCATTGGTTGAAGTACTAGGCTGTACTGTACTAAGTATGGACGTATAAATGTGTTACTAAACTATAAAACTACTTCCGGACAATTAGCATTATTTAATATATTTGTTACACAAACATCACTTATCTGAATATTCTAAATCAACCATAACAAGCATGTGTTCTGTGGCTCTGGATTTACAGATTATTAACCACATGACAGTCTATGCCATCATGGAGTGCAGGGCTTTAACACCTCTTAACAGCATAGATCATCACACATTAAATGCACCAGCAGGGCAAATCCCAGCTGGCACCAAGGAACCCCAGGAATCATTAGCTAAACACCCCAGACTGACAGATGAGCTATGTGTAGTATTTGAAGTGGTTGTGAACACCCACAGTGACTAAGCCTGCACCCAGCCGGGCAACTGCTAAAAATCAGTGTAGCCCATGTATCGTTCCTGATACCCAAGGGTCTACAATGACAGACTAACAGGTTAGCTGGATTGATGAGGTCTCCCTGCATACCTCTCTGCCCAGTGATCAGCGTTCGTCTTTGCCAACTGCCCAGCACCGATCATTGCGTGTAGATTCTGCAGCAAGAGAGGGAGATCTCCCTCTCACGCTGCAGTCACACAGTACAGAATGTTAACAGAGCTCTCTGTAGTGTGTCAGCAGCAAAATCCCTCCGCTGATGTCAGTACTGTCGTGAGCAGAGGGAATCCCTCTGAGATCGCATCACAGGGTGGAATTAGAGAGGATTATGGGCAAAGGTATACATGTGGATATTTTACTCGAAAACAAGTGCAAAATACAAATAAGAGGTCTTTGCAATTGTGTGGTCTATGTGTCCCAAAACTAAAACGTGAGGAGAAAAAATAAATGAATAAAAAGAGCAGATTTCACAGAGGTTTGTTATGAAATGGTTAAATGAAAAGTGTCATACTGCTCTTACTTAAAGGACCACTCTAGGCACCCAGACCACTTCAGCTTAATGAAGTGGTCTGGGTGCCAGGTCCAGCTAGTGTTAACCCATTTTTTCATAAACATAGCAGTTTCAGAGAAACTGCTATGTTTATGAATGGGTTAAGCCTTCCCTATTTCCTCTAGTGGCTGTCTCATTGACAGCCACTAGAGGCGCTTGCGTGCTTCTCACTGTAAGCCACTGGAAATGCAAACGCCATGGAAGGATAGTTTCCTAAAGGTCTATGATGATCTGTGCTCGCTTGGAACAGCAAAGTCAGCAGCTTCCACCAACTTGTTTTGTGGCCATGAACACCCAACCAGCTAACTACACATGAGCCTCTCAACAGCTGACTCAGCTGCTACTTACTAGATTCCCTTCCACACAAACCAAATCCCAGGGAAGTTCTTGATAAATGCTCTTTGGGTTTGGAGGAATAATCTCTTGGGCAACGTTACGGACGTCAGGCGTGGCCAGCATATGGTGGCTCCGTGCCAGCCTGGTGGAGACTCTCCACTCCACTCTAGGCTTTTTATGTTTCATGGCATTCCTGAGGTCAGAGTGGGTTGATAGGTCACTGATTAGGGCTGGTCCATATATAATCCTTATGTTATTTTTATGTTTTTCCACATATGCATACAACACTCAATTTTGGTTTACAAATTGTTCCTTTTATTAGTTTTTCTAAGAAACTTAGAACACGGTGGGGGCGCAACGTTTGCTTTTATTGAGCATACTGAGACCTCATCTTTACCACCCAGTGATACTTTCCTACATATGCTAAGTGGTAGCTATGTCTGTGTTACTCTTCCTTCAAGTTATATATTAAGAAATGATTTCAGTAAGCCATCTAGTATTTAAATTAAAAAATTTATATATATATATAAATAAAAAAAATACAAAGAGGGTGTCAAAAGTAAGCCATATTTCTCCTTTAAAATTGTTTATATGTATGGGTGCACTAAAAAAGAAAGGGTGAAATTGGTTAGAAAGAACACATGGCAAAAGTGCCAAAAAGGGCTTGGTCATAAACCCGTCACGTCTCAAAAAAGTATTGGTTCTTAAGGGGTTCAAACATCTGAACCCAGAGAAAAGATAATTCTTTATTTTAGTTTGAAAGAGGTGCTGTAATTGCATAGTTTTTGTAATTATGAAATGACTGAGTCATACAAATCATGAGGATATACACATCTATGAGTGGGGAAACTACTGCTTCATCCAATTAAAATTTGGTTGGGGTGAATATGCACCATGGTTTAGACTTCTTACAAATCTTAAGTATACAGCATATTTTAAGAATGTTGATGTGAACATGACAGTAACATTACACGCAAAGCTATGTATTATGCTCCCTGGACTGTCCATTTGTGTCTGAAAGAGTATATTCATTGCATAGCATGTAGTGAAAGGAGCTACTCTGTTCCTTTGTTCTGTTGCTCAGAGGTTTGGCAATCTGAGTATATTGCTGCAACTATAACCCCACTGCTATAATGTATAACATTGTGAGCAGTGAAACCAGAACAGGTTGGGGAATGACAAATATGAACGACAATTCTGGTATGTGGCAGAATAAATATCCAAAATGGATCGATGTTAGAGTGGTACATATGTGTAGGTTCCGGACACTCAATCATACAGGCCAAAAGGACAGCTGATGCACTCCTGTATAGATATGGATACAAAAATTCTCAGCTATAAGCTTACACAGTGTATTAAATCTCATGAAATGCCTTTAAAGCAAGAGGGGACATCCTCCATCAATCTTGGCAGCCACAACCCTGTGCATAAAGGGAGCACCAAGGGCAAAAAAGGGAAGCAAATATCTTGTGACTTATACTTACAAAGCTGAAAAGGAGTCTCGTTTTGAATATGGCGCATTCAGGATACAACAAGATGATCACTCCGCCCCCCCCATTCCCTTTGAGTTTGCATGGTAATGGTGTTAAAACTTACCTTTTCTCACTCGCAGTACCAGTCTTGCCACAGCTTCCCCCACCTCGATGGCAAAGATCAATCTTGAACTCAGCTAATCCAATACGGAGGCTATTGCGCATGCGCTGCAAAAAACTGCATTGCATCAATCAGTATCTTCTCATAGAAAGGCATCTCTATGGGAAACGTTCAGCGTCTCCATGCAGCACTGAAATAGGAAACACCTCTAGTGGTCTCTAGAGATGTAGCGGATTAGGAGATTTTTGGCCTCAAATTTGACAATTCTCACTTCAGTAAATAACTCTAGAAGTGTGATACAATGTGAAACATTAACTTATTTATTAAAAAGCAAAGCCTGTGCTAGAACGCCAACCCGATGCACTTTGTCTTGTTCTAGGCTTTATAAATAGCACGTGCAAGATCAATAGGAGGTCTCATGGGGGTCATCCTTAGACACCCACTTTGCACTCTTGGGCTGGACTTGCGGTTGCCTTATGACAGACGAAACAACCAGGCACATAAGACCAAGAAGAACTAAGGGAAAAAGTTCAAATAACTAATTTCCCCCTTCTTCCACAGAACTAAATTAAAAAATAGAGGGCAGATGGAGAATTCATAATTTCAAGAATCCATCACAGGAAAAAAATTAATGCCTATAAGGCAGCATCAGTGTGTAACTAACCCATATAAAACTGACAAAACACAAATCTGTATTTATATCAAAATAAATAGCGGGACAGCAACAGTTATAACACACCGAGCATCTATTATATTCACCAGGTGACGCAATAATTGCTTCTTGAGCAAAGTTCTAGAAGTAAAGCGATTTCCATGGAAACCGACAGAAAGTTCCTGCTGATTCCCTTACTTGCCCTATTTATATAACTTCAGGTGTAGATGTATTCAACACGTGACTGACCAAAGGTTGCTGGCCATCCAATCCCATGGTCTTGTCCCACCACAGAAATATATTTCAATATCAAAAACCCAACATGCGTACCGCTACAGGCTGCCTGGTTTTGTATTAAACAATTCTGCTTCATATATAAAAAAAAATAAATAAATAAAATAATAATGTCAAGTACAAGTTTCAGAGACAGACAAGGATAATAAATTCAATTGAATAATTTTTTTTTTTTTAAATGACCTTACTAAGCAAAGATAAAATTTAGTACAGTAACTGACCCCTCTCTAAATTGAGAGAATATTTAATGCAATAAACCCATGTTACTTCAGGGACCCCCTGTATCTCAGTATGGGGGGAGCACGCTATCTGTGTCCATGTCAGTCTGTATGGTTCTCCCCTACCGTGTATCCCCTCTCCAGGTCGCTCTCCTCGTAGCGAAATGACGGTATGTACACGTCCATCTCGGTGGTCTCCCCCCACCAAGGCTGGGGGGGAAGGGGGGGAGCGGCCGGTGGAATGTCTATCAGTGACGTCACAGCTCCTAAAGGCATCCAATGATACAGCACCGGGGAAACGCTGGGAGAAGTGCAGAGACCGAGCAGGCTGCTGTCACGTGATGCGTCATGTGACCCGCAGTGCTAGGAAGGGTGGGGAGGAGAGGCTCTCTAGGCTGGAGCCATCAGAACCATTAGCACCCACACATACACACATTACAGGACAATGAATGAGGGATCAATGGTTATATATCACCGGTATTGGCAGAAATAGGGGATTATAGGGTTTGGTTTAACTCTGTAATAGTGAGGAGTGAGTGTTCACTGGCAGAAAAAGGCAAGTATGGGACAGAGCAGCATAGTCCCCAAACAAGGCAGGACCCATCAGGACTCTTCCAGTGAGGTACTGAATAAAACATGGGCTTTCTGAAGGTTGGGAACCAAATATTTGATTTACTTCCATTTACTATCTTCAAATCAAATGGCTAAGGAAAAGGATACATGTCCTTTATTATTGTGGAAAAAATACACAGTTACTCTGTGTTTTGCAAGGAGTATAAATATGGATCTCATAATAGTTTGTCTTTGAACTAATGAAAGTTTGTTTTTTTTGTTAATAAATTCACATAGGAAGGATGTGCTTTGAATTGATTTGCAAGTCTTTAGAGTGCGGTGTACTAGCAAAGAAATTGCAATCTACATATTTTGGGAACCCAGGCTTCTGAAATTTTTTGTCTAGTCTATGAGTAAGTGTACCTTCAGAACAATACAATCAAAACATATTTGCCTTGTATTTCCCTATGCTGGGGGAACAGCTTATTGTTTGTTAATATTGCGTTTTGTATATGCCACAATTTGGTACAGCTAACTCTGCGAAAAAACAAACAACTAAACCAGGAATTTATGTGAAGTGAAAAAGGTATTACAGTTTTGGACCAAAATAAGCAGGAAAAAAAAAAAAACAACTGGATTTATAGATTCCCTTGTCAGGACCTTTCCTAGTTTATTTATATCTGAATTTTGTAATATGTCTTTGAGATCACTGTTAAGAGAATAAACCTACACATGCTTGCTGGGGGCATATCAGCATCCTAGATATTAATATGTAGTAAGGGGCCTAGCCCACCCCCTGAAAAACAGCCCTATACCATAATCCCTCCTCCACCAAACTTTACAGTTAGCACAATGCAGGCAGAGAATGTTCTCCTGGCATACGCCAGACTCGCCCATCAGACTGCCAAACAGAGAAGCACTAGTCACTACACAGTGCTCCAGAGTCCAGTTGCGGCTTGCTTTACACCACTATCTGGCGCTTGGCTTTGTACTTGGTGACTCAAAGCTTGCATGCAGCTGCTCAGCCACGGAAACCCATTCCATGAAGCTCCCATTGCACAGTTTTTGTGCAAATATTAATGCATGGGGAAGATTCAGTTATGGAATCAGCAGAGCATTGGCGACCTTTACGCACCATGTGCCTCAGCACACTGACACCACTCTGTGACTTTATGTAGTCTTCCACTTTGTGGACGAGTTGCTACTGTTTCTAAACACTTTCACTTTTCAATACTACTACTTACCGTTGGCCGTGGAATATTTAGCAGGCATGTAATTTATTTAACTATATTGGGAGCTCCTGGCAGAATATTCCTTGAAGAAAGGTTGTTGATTGCCACCTAAAAGGCACAAGAGGCCACAGAGTTTAGAGCTTGTATGCAGAAAAGGCTCTACACAATGTGAGTTAATTTTCACTCACTGTATTGTGAGTTTAAAAAATCCACCAACATACACCATTTTTTTTTAATCTTTTGTATTTATTCACTTGTATCCATAATTGTTACAATTTTAAGGTCAAGTCCCTATATTCACTTTTGAAGCGCTGCACTCACACTTTATATATTAGTTAGGGGTTCTTGGGTAAGTCCATTAAATCTACAATAGTATGACTATTTGAGCATAAAATACGCAGTTACTGTGTTGATTCCCTACTATCTTCCAGTGTGGTAAATAAACTAGTTTGATGGGAATCTTAAAATGTATCATAATTTTGTAAAGATCATAGAAACCATGGGGAAAATAAAAATTAAATTTCAATAACCAAAATTTGTGCTGAACCATAAATGCCACAAGCTAACAATATCAGTATGCACCTGCATGAAGAAAATGAGAAAACACAAACTTTGTGTTATTATTTTTGGTATATATATATATATATATATATATATATATATATATATATTCAGCAGAGCTTTACAATGTTATAAAGAGGGGGAAAATAAACCATAAATGAGACAAATACAAAATGTTACAGTATCAGTAGTCTGACATGGACCCTGCTCAAATGAGCTTACAGTCTATAGGAGTGGAGTATAAAGCACAATTGGACAGGCATTGAGTGGGATAGCCACCAAACAAGGTGGGCGTGAAGCAGAACTGGAGGAAAGAGTGTGGAGTGCTGCCCTTTAGAAGAGAGCAGGAGACCGGTATGTGAGGTAGAAGTCACTCTGGGAGGCCATAAGCTTTCCTGAAGAGTTAGGTTTTGAGGGACTTCTTAAACAATTAAAGACTAGCGGAAAGTCTGATGGTGGTAGGCAGGCTGTTCCAAAGGAGAAGAGCTATCCATGAGAAGTCTTGCAAGCGTGAGTTAGCATTTTGGGTGCGAAGAGCGGACAGGAGGCGGTCACCGGCAGAGCAGAGAGATCAAGAAGGGGCATACCTATGAATCAGTGAAGGAATAACTGGGTAGAGTTAATTGCTTTATAGGCAAGAGTTAAGATTTTAACTTGACTCCTATAGGATATGAGAAGCCACTGTAAGGAATAACAGGAGTGACTGGAGAGGAAAATCAGCCTGGCGGCAGCATTCATTACACATTAACAGGGCAGTACGGCTTCTGGGAAGACCAGTTAAGAGGGAATTACAAAAAAATCAATGCAAAAAATTACTACAACACGAACAATCTCCTTAGAAGCGTCTTTTGCATAAGAAAGTGGCGGGTGCAGGGATTATTTTTAAGGTGGAATCGACAGGATTTAGCAACATACTGGACTTCAGGCTCAAAGGTGAGGCCTGATTTAAAGAAAACACCAAGACAACAAGCTTGCAAGGATGGGCTGATACGGTCGTATTATTAACTTAATTGCCACTTTTAAACCAAAATATGAGAATTGGAACAAATGCTCAATGCAGCACTTCGACAATTTACTGTGGACTAATTTCTTCAATTCCCTTTTAATTCATCTGGTTTTTTGTTTTTGTTTTGTTTAAAGACTTTACCATTTTGACTAATGCAGTGAAGTGGGGGGGGGGGGAGAGAACCCCCAAAACATAGTTACCAATGTATTTAGAGTGGCATATCACATGGCGTTATATCACTCTGGTATCTGCACAGATATGACAGCCTTGGGTATTCCTTTACTAGTGCCATATGTATGCGTGTGTCTAGAAGACACTTTGGGGTTTATTGTATTTTCAAAAAGACAAAATTATTGAAAATTAAAAGGACAATCCACAGTCATTTAAGTAGCGAAAATGTAACTGCAATTGTCTATGAAGCGATACATACCATAAAACGTTCTATGGATTAGATTTTCTATTACAATACAAACAACCGAAGGCAGAACAGAAGTGAGGCAAAAAGAAAATAAGCTTTTCTCAAGGAATATACCTTTATTTATTTTTTATATAATCACAAAATCATAATATCTGTACAGGAATGTGTAAGTGAACATTTAGAAATGCAACAAAATTGCTTCATAAAGTTAGAAGGTATATATATCTCATTGGTCAGAACTCATTTTCAAGGAGAAAAAAAAAAATACGCAAACGTAAAACTTCCTTGTCCTCATCTGCACTTGTTAAATGCAAAATAGTAAGACACATTAGTGTTCAATTCAGCAAAAATATTGCAGAATGTCATGCCACAGTCCATTTGAATGGTTCAGGACATGCAGCACTGTTAAAATGCATTCGTAATATAAAAAGAAGCCACATGTTAATAAAATATAGAGTGGTTTATTTTAATATTTTCTTTGATTTTAGACATGATTTTTTTTGTGGAATGAGGTGAACATCAATTGATGATTTGAGCATGAAATCATCTTCATTCTAGGCTATGGCTTTGGCTTCGGGTAGAAAAGCTTCCCAATACTTTATAAGCTAGAAGAAATAAAAATAAATGTTGTTAATAAAATGCAGTTAGGAATGCGCTATTAGACAGATACAAACCATGAGTTTAACCCCTTAAGGACTGAACTGTTTTTTGCGATGTTGTACATTTGCGACCAGGCATATTTTTACACTTTTGTGGTGTTTGTGTTTGGCTGTAATTTTCCGCTCTCTCATTTACTGTTCCCATACAAAATTATATATTGTTTTTTTCAGGACAAAATGGGCTTTCTTTACATACCATTATTTATATAATCTCATGTATTTTAATAAAAAAAATAAAAAAAAGATGAAAAATTGAAAAAAAATACATGTTTTTTTTACTTTTACTTGAAAAATCTTTCACTCATCTACAAAAGCGAATGAAAAAAAACTGCTAAAAAGATTCAAAATTTTGTCCTGAGTTTAAAAATATCCAGTGTTTACGTGCTTTTTTTTTTGCATGTTATAGGGCTATAGGTACAAGTAGGATATTGCAGTTTCAAAACATACATTTTTAAAATTTATCAATAGTGACATTGTAACACTATTATCTGTCATAAATCTCTGAATAACACCCTACATGTACATATTTTTTTTTTTAAAGTAGACAACCCAGGGTATTCAATATGGGGTGTGTCCAGTCTTTTTTAGTAGCCACTTAGGCGAAAACACTGGCCAAAGTAAGCATTCATATTTGTTTATGTGTGAAAAAAGTAAAAAAATGGAACGCTAATTTTGGCCAGTGTTTGTGACTAAGTGGTTACTAAAAAAAAACTGGACATACCCCATTTGCAATACCTTGGGTTGTCTTCTTTTGCAAATGGTATGCCATCATGGGGGTAATTCTCATTCCTGGGCTACCATACGCTCTCAAAGGCAACGTAACCAACCTAGCCATTTTCAATGTAAAAATATTTGACCCATATATTTGACCTTGTAACTTTCAAAAATGCTATAAAACCTGTACATGGGGGGTACTGTTTTACTCGGGAGACATCGCTGAACACAAATATTAGTGTTTAAAAACTGGAAAACGTATCACAACAATTATATCAGTAAAAGTGCTGTTTGTGTGTGAAAAATGCAAAAAAAGTCACTTTCACTGACAATATCATCGCTGTGATATGTTTTACTGGTTTGAATCACTAATATTTGTGTTCAGCTAAGTCTCCCGAGTAAAACAGTACACCCCATGTACAGGTTTTAAGGTGTCGTAGAACGTTACAGGGTAAAATACAGTGCTAGCAAATTAAATTCTCTGGACTTTCGGCCTGGGTTGGCAGGCAGGTCCCTCAAATTGCAAACAATAAAATTACTTAATTATGTAAAAATATTACATAAATACGCACGTAGAATTTAAATATATATGCATATTTATTGTGACGAGACCAATCTCGCCACATTGCATTGGAGAAGCCTGGTTACTCGCCTGCTGCCTTTGGACTATGGCCCCCTGTTAAAAGACATCTTTTTTACCTGCAGAAAAGTTTAATTCGTGCTTTTCTGCCTGGGGTTCGGTAGATTTGTTTTAATGTGTTATACCCCAGATAGGAATCCCATGGAGCCCATTTGTATGAAACTGACTGTAAAGACTTTGGCTCCATGGCGATTAAACTGTATTCGTGTGGTCTGAGCGCCATTCACTTAATAATGTGCGCTCAAACCTGAGCTATCTGGGGATATGTTACATGTCTGTGTTTTATGTAATAAATGTGACTTTATGTATTTTATAGTGTTTTGTGTCTTTTTGCAACTATGTGCTTAATGGAGTCTTGTGTCTATCCTGGGAGATAATTGAATTACTTATCTCCAGGATAGAAGACTCTGAAACTGGTTTGGGCCAGAAAGCCATGCTTCATTTAGTCACAAAGGACTTTTTACTAACTTTTGAACCCCTGGTCTGATTCATGCCATTTTTAATATGTTGTTCCCCTGAATGGATTGATTGTGAATATGTAATTTTATGTGAATGTGATGTATGGTTTTAGAGTTATGAAAGTTGGGTAGAAAGTATGTTTTAACTGTATGTGTAATTGAGTTTCCTCTCAGGATAAGGGGAGGGAATATGTGGGATGTAACTGTGATGTGATTGGTTGCTTTATACCTCCCTGTGGGCGGTCCTGTATTTGCAAGACTGTAATAAAAACCAGGCTGGGTGTGCCAGCACCTCAGACCACTGCTTGACCCTCAACACGGAGCCTTGTCTCGTTCTTGGGGGGATTCACTGTATGCTGTTAGAGACTGATTGCCAGGAGTGTAAGCTGATTGTCTGCTTTTCCTGTTCGTCTGCTAGCAGCTATTTGGGAGGTTCCAGTTCGGGAGTTGGAGTGCTATTTTGTATCCAGTTTGGGAGTTTGGTGTTCTGCAGTAGCTGTGCCTGTATCTCTGGAAAGGGGGCCGATTGCCTAAACGGTTTTTACCCCTTGTGTGCAAAACGGTCCGTTACATTTATATATTTGAAATCTACGTGTATATTTATATAATTATTTATGTAATTTTGTATATGGACATATGTATATTTCGTATTATTTTTATTTATATATACATAGATATATATACAAATTCATTCTAAGTGTATTTTGATATAAATATATATATTAATTTTAAAATACAGTTAGAATAAAATTTCATTTAGATATAATTTTTTCTCAATTTTTATTATTTAAAAAATATTAAATTTAAATTACTTTTTATATTTTATAATATATATACACAATATATATAGTTATTATATATACACGTGTGTAATTTAATTAGAAGTGTATTTTATATTAATATAAGTACATATTAATATAAAAATACACTTAGTATGACATTATATATAGGATATATAGATATAATATATGTCTATATATATATATATATATATATATATATATACATATATATACATACATATATATACATACATACATACATATACATATATATATATATATATACACACACACCTATTGTGACCATGTGATCGCTGTGTTGAGCGATCACATGGCCACAGGGGTCCTAATTCAGTGCGGGGAGACTGTCTGGGCTGCAGGCAGTCTCCCCACACCGGGAGCAATGCTGATCACCGCCGGGGGAACGACGGCGATCAGGTAAGTACATTGGACCGTTAGGACGGTTCAGGACCGTCAGCGGTCGGCAAGGCAAAAATGCCGATGACGGTCCTGAACCGTCCTCGGTCCTTAAGGGGTTAAACAATGAGATGCCCATACAAAATACAAACGAAAGAGCACAATAAGAAATACTAAAATAGGAAAGTGCTAATTATGCCTTAATATACAAATAAATAATAGCTGCTGTACACATTGAAGATTATTCTTTAAATCTTTAAAACAAGTATACAAATAAGTGTCAGCACTTAGTAGGGGAGTCCCAAAATTAATGCAAATGGGTTCTATAAATGATGTATTATATTGTGAAGGTATCAGAAATTGGTGTCCACCTCCCCAGTGGTGGATCTAATCTAAGTGGGGTATTCATCATCAGAGGGGTTTGACACCCAACAACCCGCAGGAACACTAACCTGAACACACACTCTCCTTATTATTAAGTACCCATGGCAAGGGCAGACTCGCCTCGCTTGAAAAAGAAAAAAAGTGCACATACACTCCCACTGTTTTATCCCCGACTGTAATATTACATGCGGTTTCTTTCTAACATTGAGCATTCAACCTAGCAGCTATACAATAATACTATGCTTGTTGCCCATTACTTAGGTCTACTCTTTATTAACCAGTACAATATGTAAACAAGCCATAACCTATGCTACCGTAAATGCTTTTGAACGTCCTGCCTGCACTAAAAAAATAATAAAAAAAAAAAAAAAAAAAATTCTGCATAAAAAAAATCCCAACCCCTACTTAAAAAAACTCTTTACACAGTAAAAACCTCCGACAGAGGTGTAATATATTCTACAATATATTTTACCATACACTATGCTTTACATCAGATCACTGGCTTTTTTGGGTTCTGCAGTAGCTATTTGAAGCAATAGCTATCTTTTTTACTGTGTAAAGAGTTTTTTTTTTAAAGTAGGGTTTGGGATTTTTTTTATGCATAAATAAATTTGTGTTGCATTATACTAAATTTTGCTATTTTGTGTATCCCTATCTGAATACCCCACTTATATTAGATCCACCACTGGGGTGTTGAATACCAATTTCTGAACTCTGCACAACCTCTAGAGGCTGTATGAGTGACTGTCATTATAGGGTTTACTGGGCAGCAACGTAAACACTGCCTTTTTACTATAAAGGCAGTATTTACATTGAAAAACGTGTTGAGACAGGCTATAGACTTCAGGACAACTACATTAAGCTGTAGTGGTTTTGGTGACTATAGTGTCCCTTTAAGAATTGTATTGTATGACAAAGCATGTATTTATTATGTATTTAAAAACAAAAGGCATAGTACAATTGTAGAGACCCCACCCGATATGAGGCTTACCTGTTGTTGCGTTTGTACTAGTGATTCTAAGTACTTGATAATAACTGTCTTGAAGTCTTTCACTCTGTCTTTCTAAATATTAAGAAGAGGAATACGTTTCTGTCAGTTGCATCAATATGCATATACAGCTACACACATCATGCATTCCAAATAATACATAGGTCAACTCCCCTGGGCTTGCAAATGTTGCTAGAATAGATTTATGTGATGGCCAGCAGAGGGAACAAGTATTGTATCCCTCAACAGCAGCTGAGTTTTACTAAAGTGTTAAGATCTATAAGGTTTTCCCTCTGAATAACTTTGTAGATTTAGAACAAACTAGATGTAAATGTTCACTATGTTGTGTTAGACAGTATATGACTGGGTTTAATCAAAAAATACCATAATGCCAATGCCATCCAGCAAGGTGACGTAGGGGCTTGCAGTGGTGCCTTTAGTTACATTTTAGTTATACTGGTCTCAATTGTTTGTAAACATATGTGAAAAATCTAAGCCAAGAATTGTTTTTTTTATTTAGATGAAAAGTGGAAACACACAAAACATGGTTTAAGGACTGCTTTTGACTAAGGGATCGAACAAGATACATGCCTCAAACCTTCCTACTTCCTTGCGAATGTTTTTGGAAATCTGCTCAAAATCTCTCTCTCCTTGTTGAACTTTTGCCTCCCACTGACAATAAAAAAAAAAAGACAAAACAAAAACAAAAAAATAAAATAAATTTTTTTAAATTTAGTATTATCACAATAACAAATATTAGCTATCAACAATGCAGAAATGCAAACATTCATTGATCTTGTTTCTTTATTAAACTAACCAACCAATAAAATGTTGACACAGGCAAACAAAGGGAACAGATAATCTTACAGTTAACACATTGTTATGTTGTAGGTGGGATACAAGATACAATATGTGTTTGCACATTATACTTACCAACGTTTAAAGTAATATAGGTGATATTACTAATTAGACGTTAGATGCTTTCATCATACTATATCTGCACACACCACCACAAGGTATTTTATTAATTCCATACTACCTGGGAAGGTTTCCTACCAACCTAAAGATTTTCATGATTTTACAGGTTTTGAAGAGATCTCATGAACACACAAAGCCATACATACAAACTAGTGGTACAAGTACAGGAATCGCTTGGTCACACGTGTCCACGTAAACAATCATTTACTAATGTATGTACTATAACTGCAACGTGGAAACAACGGTAGGCACATGACTAAAACCACCAATACAGTTCACATTTAAAGGTTTGGACAAGATAATTAAACTGCTAATGAGTTTCCCGGCTACATTCTACAGTAAAACCTTAAGGTAATAATAAAATACTCCTGTAGAAAAATACAATGAAAGCGTGAAATTCTAAATCAATAGTAATATTAAAAAAAGAATGCAGGTTGAAAGAATATGTAAAGACTCACCCCCAAAAATAATCAGTATGTCACTGTATTTGTGGATAAGACAATATGCATAATAATTATATAATATTAAACAAAGCTCCACTGCCCAAACTTAAAAAAATAAATCACAGTTTAGATATGACCTCAACAAAACATGCATGCATCCAATAATTTTTTCCACTGGATTAGCAGCCAAAGGGTGTAACAAGATTAATTTATAAAAAGAAGCAAGTTTCTATTACAATCTGCACGTTTTGTAAAATAAAAAATATATATATATATATATATATATATTTATTTTTTTAAAGGACACTGTACACAAAAAAGAACTTTAGGGGTTTGTAGTGAAGTCTGACATGGCCAATCTTCTACAACTGTCCTTGTAATAGTGTTCACGAATAGAACAGTGTAGAGAAACAGTATTGAAAGAACAAAATGGATACAAAGAAAAAAAACTGACACAGCAGAACAAATGTGACAATATGGACTACAGCAACCATGCTTAACCCCTTCTATTCCAGAGGAATTAGCAGCACATCTCAACCAATTTGTTCAAGGAAGTGGGGTTTAATGATTATACATAGGCAAATTATATGGGAAAAAAAGCAATGGATTCTGTACATGCATGCTTGTAAGCAGGGAAGAAGCTCAAATCCAGAAATCTATTCATATAGGAGTGTACACTGAAAAGACTATATATTCTTAAATGCTCTAAAGTGAAATCCACAGGACATTACTGTATGAGACATGTTTTGTGAACCATACCTTTCAGTATGGACTTTTACAAAGTGTTTTGGGGGAGGGGATGGGTTGTGTTGTCATTCTGTGCTGCATTTTGTTTCCCCACATTATTCCAGTCTATATGTTGTACTTTAGACTTTAAAGAACATGTGTCTCCTTGTAATAAAATACAAAATTTGCTCATCAACACTGCAGTGCTCAGACAGAAGTATAATGAATGGGACATTTAGGACAAACTGCTTTAAAAAAAAAAAAGTTTTGGGTTTCAGAAAATACTGGGCAATGGTTTGCAATTCAAAAACAAAAAAAAGTCACAGAAATGAACAAAGTATAGAACAGTTTCAAATGAGCGAATGTTGTATACAATAATTTGTGTCGAAAAAAACAACAACATAACGTCAATATAATTCTAGTTTCTGGTTTCATTCTAGAATAAGGAAGGGATTGAAAATTAGGATCTTTACAGGCGAACATGCAGGTGGCATTTTCAAATGATAATTACCAGCAAGCAAAATGCAACATTATACATAGACAAACACACAAGTAGTTGTCAAATCCTCACCACTCAGTTCTGTTCGAGAAGTATTACATCACTTTGTTCGAGACAGAATGGGATGCAGTGTTAAAAGTTTAATGGACCAGCACAAATACAATAAAATTATGTGTCCATTCTTTCCGGCATAAAATGTAGTCACCATGTCATAACAACATAGTTAAATATAAAATTTACAACTTAAGTTCAGCAATGAAGAGAATGGTGTTCATTTATGTACATGTAGGTAATGTCCTACCTCTTCAATCTCCTTAATGAAGCATAGGAAAGAAATGAGCATGTGAGGCATTTTCCTTAAACAATGATTTCAGCATGACACTTGTTTACAAAGAAAATGGATTCATTCTGATTATGCAAGATTTCAGCAGCCCAAGCTGTATGTACACTGCCAATGACTCTCAGGGAGAATGGTAGCAATGCAGTTTCCATAGCATATGGTACTTACATTTTCTTGAACAAATATGGACATTAACGGTTAGTACAGTTAGTATAGCAATAGGGTGTTTTAGTTCATCTATATCACCCTAACATGATACTATGACAAGTCAACTGAAAATATTTACATTAGCAATGATGCTGCAAGACACTCTGGCACTAAATGGGTTAATGCTAGGTAAATATATTTAATAGTCAAAAATTATTATTGGAAGTCAAATCTATGGATACAAACAGGCAATGAATGAAGTCTACTGCTGTAATATATACCTCTCGGATTTCATCTTTAGCTTGCTGAATTTTGTCCGGTTTGTTGGAGATTTGAAGTTTGGCCTCTGCCTCTCGTTTCTTCTGCAAATTAATCTGAGCATCTTGCCACTTTTGCCAGCACTTAATCCTCTGATCAAATACACCCTGGCAATTCAAAGGAGTAAAGGAACATAACATCCTGTTACATGTTGGTACCATTTTTCATGCAGTGTTTATTAGGCTGCAGTTTGACTTCAGCTGAAAGCATTATTTTTGTGTCATCACCCCATGCTTAATTCAACAGCTAAATTCACCCTGCTGACGTCAAAGTAATAATTTCACTGTGGCAAATCTCCCCCCATCTTAAAGGACCAGCTCAATGAAGTGGTCTGGGTGCCAGGTCCCCCAGCTTTTAACCCTTCAGATGTAAACATAGCCGCTAGAGGCGCTTCTGCGGCGCTGAAAGCGAAAATCTAATTCAGCATGCAGAACGTCCATATGAAAGCATTGAGAAATACTTTCCTATGGGCGTTTTTAATGCGCGCGCGTCTATGGCTGCGCATTCCGCTCCACTCGGGAGCTGACGTCGGAGTGGAAGGAGAGGTAACCATATAGTGTTAGGAAAATGAGTTTGTTTTCCTGACACTATAGTGATCCTTTAAGACCACTAATCAAAGTTACCAAGTCTCAAAACCACAGATTGACAGTTGTCACACGTTGACCACACGTGGGTAGTCTAATGTTTAGGATAGGTTTAAATCATACCAAAAAACCTGAATGAAAACACAGGGTTATTTAAACCAAGAACAGTGTTTCAATAAAACTATATTTTGTTTGGAGTAACCCTTGCTGCCATGGTACCCCAGTTTATTTTTCCAACACTTGCTGCCATGGTACCCCAGTTTATTTTTCCAACACTGACGCCTGATCATCCTCTGGCGAGGTCACTCCACCTCACTATGGAGGCAATGTATGCTGATGATGATAGACACCCAATATAAACATGTTTAACATAACCCATCCCAAAAAATCTTGTTAGTAAGTTACACCCTAGTAAGTTACATATCCAGCAGCAATCAGCATTTTTCCCCCTCAAACTTAAAATCTAGATGTAAGACTCAAAGCACCATGACATCAGTTAACATCAGTGTTCATGATGTTTTGAGTAACCCTTTAAATTGTAGGTTTCCAAAAGTGGTCATCAGCAAACCAAGGCTTATTTAATAGCAACTAAACTAATAACCCACACATTAACATTTAGAGCGACACTGGGTCTATTCACTATATTCATTGAATTTGCAATAACACATTTGGCCACTATCATTAAACTGAATTCAATTCACATCAAGAAATTCCTTGAAGGTTCATCACATACACTAATGAGTTGAAAAATCATTGAGTCAAACCAGTAACTTTTTTTTCAGATGAACTTCTGCAGCAATGACATTTTTTTTTAAAAATCATCAGCTATATGTCAGCACATATCAAAGAAGGGGGGGCATTAGAGATCAAAGGGGGGAGGGGATTTGATGTCATAGGCCTTAGAGTTAATTTTTCTAGTCTAAAACAGGAATATTACATTAAACAATCAGAATTAGCAAACATATGTAGAGGTTCAGCTAACTCAACAGCAGACCAATAACAGTATTTAGCATTTATGAACAGCCCAATGGTTTTCAAATAGATAGATTTCACTTAAGATAGCCTAATTAAGACTACTGAAAGCCATTTGTCTACCGTTCAGTGCAAAATGAATATAAATCACAGCCCTATAGCCAGTTTCAATCTGGGTTAAAGTTAAGGGAAGGGTTCCAGGATCAACCCGGCATAGCTTAATATTAGCTGGTTCACTATAGTGTACAATGGTAAAGATATTGTGAGCAGCAATAAAATCAGAGAGAATTCACTGCATAATTTCTGCAGACTAAAGGGATTAATCCATATGATCATGCAGCTAGACCTCTTAGAAACATGCAGGTTTTCACTCGCTGCTATAGGTGCATAAAATCCAGCACATAGCCTTGACATATCCATAGACAAGCATGGCAGTACAATGGATTGAAGAGTTCAAGGACTTTAAAACGTGGCATCTCCAGACGATGCCAGTGTCTGTTTGAAAAATGTCTGCCCTACTAGATATGTCCATGTCAACTAAGAACAATTATTGAAAAGTGGAAGCATGTAGATGCAACAGCATGCCACCATGGGACTCTAGAGTAGGGTCATCTTAAAGGAACACTACATGGTCAGGAATACAAACATGTATTCCTGACATTATAATGCTGGTGTGGTTGTTTTAGTTACTGGCCCCGCTCTGATCAAGCTGAAAAGGTGATTTTATATACCCTTTCTCCCAAGCTGCGCCTCCATGGCTGAGATTATAAATCTTGATCTCAGCCAATCCAATTGCACAGAGCAAAACACAGTGAAAATGTATATTCTAAATGCCATATTGTCCTACTCACCGTTTAAGTTAAAGCGACCGCCCCCAATATTTAAATAGGTATGTCTAACCTTTTATCAGAAAGCATGTACAGTATCTCTCACTATTAACCAAAAGCTGGGCTGGATGCTACCATAAAGGGACACTACCCCAAGTGCAAAAACCACAAATATCAAACAAAAGTATGTACACCAAATATTTATGATACAAAAGTCAATCTTTCGGTCTTATTTGATTATTTGCATGTGTGCTGTCTCAAATAAGATAGTGATTTAAGCACATTTATTGGTGCTGAACTTTGTGGTCTTTACTGTCACGTGTCCATCTCTGGTAGGCTCCTTGCAAGTTATTGGTAGTAATATTTTTGGTTTAAATCTGGGTCACTTTCTTTGTGACAGGTCCACATATGCTCTTGGGCATATAATGCAGTATAAAGAAAAGGGTAAAATAAGGTTCAAATATGGACCTTAAATATAAGAGTATATAATGTGGCTTAAAGGAAAAACCTCTTCAACTGAAAGAAAGGGTTCCACTATAAAAACCCTTTAAATGCAATAAGAAAGTAAAATATTAGATTTGAATCCAATAAATTTCAGGAGTGGTATTCCTTTAAATGGGCAATATATGAAGCAGATATTGAATAACTTGTAAAAGACAATAATAGAAATCTAATATAAATATTACAATAATTCACCTTTTGTTACCATGCATTAATAAAAACATGTATCTTAAATATGTAGAAAATATATATAACTTTATAGTAGAAATGTCTCTGTATAAATAGTCTCTTTTTAAAAAGTCTCTTTTTAAAAAGACACCGTGGTCTGTGATTTGTTAGCTGTTACAGTTTTCTCCAGTTATGATCGAACTGGAATATGTTAACTGAATGAGCTAATTTAGTGTTGTACAAAATTATATATATAAGCCAATGTGATATATAATTGTATGTACTTAGTATAAAATATAATAGCTAACAGATCATGGTTAATGATCTGTAGTTTAGTAGATAAGTTCCATGTTGTTCACAAAAAGTGAAACAAAATCCGAAGTGCTAAGTGCAATAAAATACGTTTATTCAATAAAAAAGAAAAGTTGTGCACTTACAAAAACGCAAAGAGTCTAAGTGCTTAACTGGAATCTGGAGAACCTGGTGTTTGCAGCTCGTTCTTTTCGGTCCGCCGGCAGATGAATGGACCTGTGGATAGCCGCGTGCGTGTCACCGATCTCCTGCGTTCCAAGTGAAGCCCGGTCTTCTTTGCGATAAGTGCCACAAAGTGTTAGAGTCCTTACGCGTTTCGTGAGTCTAATGCTCACTTCATCAGAGGATATTGTGCAAGGAGAACCCACGGGTTTAAATAGCTGATTGCTGCTTCAGTTTATATTAACCCTTTCATGCTTGTGTTCATACTTGCTCTGAAAATTGTTTTAATACTGTACATATATATTATTATAATAAATTTGATCTTTGAAGAATATATTTCATCATATAAAACACATTAAAGGAGAAAATTCTAAAAAGTTATTATAAAAAGAATTTAACACTTCACTAAAAATATTTCATTAGAAAATAACATTGTTTTATAATAAAAAGGGTGACATCATTAAAAGGATATAATAATGTTATATAGTATATGTTAAAAATAGTGTAACTGCATGTTAAAATGATAATACAGATATCTTAGAGAATTATACAGTGTTTGTTTATACAAATGGAGATAAAGACTTTTGATATGGAGAAAACTTCCATCAATAGTATAGGAATGAACAGTAAATAAATAAAATATATGTGTAAATATAAAAATATGTGTAAATATAAAAACATGAAAAGATAAGAACAGATTTAAAAAGATAAATATTTTATATTTTATAGGAATGCTCGCAACTCAAAATCTATATTAAGTCCTTTTGGTTCTAGTGTATCTAATTTAAATATCCAGCTTGCTTCTGCTTTATCTAATTCTTTATTTAAGTCGCCTCCTCTCCATGGGATGTTTACTTTCTGTATTGCCATAAATATGAGGCCTTCAGGATTTCTCTTATGTTTAACATCAAAATGCTTTGAAAGATTGTGTGAATAAAGTCCATTTCTAATATTCCTAATATGTTCTCCCATTCTTGTTTTAAATGCTCTTTTAGTGCGCCCTATGTATAATTTCTCACAGGGGCATTTTAACAAATAAATTACGCCAGTAGTGTTACATGTCAGTTGTGATTTAATTTTAAATAAATCTTGTGTTTGGGGATGAGCAAATTGTGTTGTTTTAGTTGGTTGATTTAAATTATTTTTGCAAGCTTTACATTTTCCACATTTCCAAAAACCTGAAGATTTATTTGTGGTAATGGTAGTATTTTCTTGTGTTTTTTCTTGTTTAGTAGTGGGGGCTAATAATAGACTTAGATTTGGAGCTCTAGAATATATTATCCTAGGTTTATTTTCTAGTATTAGATCTAATTGGGGATCACCTTTTAGTATGCTCCAATTTTTTTGTAAAATTTTTTTGAATTCCTGAGTATGATTATTGTATCTGGTTATAAACGCCGGAGCTTCTAAATTAATGTTAGTGGTTTTTAGTTTTGTTGCTAAAATCTGTTCTCTTGTTAGGCTTGAGGTTTTGGATAGGGCTTCATTAAGTATGTTTGTTGTATAGCCTTTAGCTTGGAATTGTGATACCATATTTGTAGTTTGTTCATCACAAATATTGGGTTCTGAGCAATTTCTTTTAATTCTCCTAAATTGGCTAAATGGAATATTGTTAAGCCAACTTTTTTTATGAAAACTGTTGTGAGGGATAAAACTATTACATGCTACTGCTTTCCTAAATGTTTTAGTTTCTAATTGGTTGTTCTTGACATAAATCTCTAAATCCAAAAATTCCAATTTTTCCGTGGATTGATTAAATGTGAATTTAAGATTGTAAGGGTTAAAATTAAGGTGTTCTTTAAAGTGTTCAAGTGTTGCAATGTCTCCTTTCCAAATAAAAATGCAATCGTCTATATAACGATGCCATGAGACCAGATTTGCGCCATATGGGTTATTTAACGCCAGTAGTGTTACATGTCAGTTGTGATTTAATTTTAAATAAACCCATATGGCGCAAATCTGGTCTCATGGCATCGTTATATAGACGATTGCATTTTTATTTGGAAAGGAGACATTGCAACACTTGAACACTTTAAAGAACACCTTAATTTTAACCCTTACAATCTTAAATTCACATTTAATCAATCCACGGAAAAATTGGAATTTTTGGATTTAGAGATTTATGTCAAGAACAACCAATTAGAAACTAAAACATTTAGGAAAGCAGTAGCATGTAATAGTTTTATCCCTCACAACAGTTTTCATAAAAAAAGTTGGCTTAACAATATTCCATTTAGCCAATTTAGGAGAATTAAAAGAAATTGCTCAGAACCCAATATTTGTGATGAACAAACTACAAATATGGTATCACAATTCCAAGCTAAAGGCTATACAACAAACATACTTAATGAAGCCCTATCCAAAACCTCAAGCCTAACAAGAGAACAGATTTTAGCAACAAAACTAAAAACCACTAACATTAATTTAGAAGCTCCGGCGTTTATAACCAGATACAATAATCATACTCAGGAATTCAAAAAAATTTTACAAAAAAATTGGAGCATACTAAAAGGTGATCCCCAATTAGATCTAATACTAGAAAATAAACCTAGGATAATATATTCTAGAGCTCCAAATCTAAGTCTATTATTAGCCCCCACTACTAAACAAGAAAAAACACAAGAAAATACTACCATTACCACAAATAAATCTTCAGGTTTTTGGAAATGTGGAAAATGTAAAGCTTGCAAAAATAATTTAAATCAACCAACTAAAACAACACAATTTGCTCATCCCCAAACACAAGATTTATTTAAAATTAAATCACAACTGACATGTAACACTACTGGCGTAATTTATTTGTTAAAATGCCCCTGTGAGAAATTATACATAGGGCGCACTAAAAGAGCATTTAAAACAAGAATGGGAGAACATATTAGGAATATTAGAAATGGACTTTATTCACACAATCTTTCAAAGCATTTTGATGTTAAACATAAGAGAAATCCTGAAGGCCTCATATTTATGGCAATACAGAAAGTAAACATCCCATGGAGAGGAGGCGACTTAAATAAAGAATTAGATAAAGCAGAAGCAAGCTGGATATTTAAATTAGATACACTAGAACCAAAAGGACTTAATATAGATTTTGAGTTGCGAGCATTCCTATAAAATATAAAATATTTATCTTTTTAAATCTGTTCTTATCTTTTCATGTTTTTATATTTACACATATTTTTATATTTACACATATATTTTATTTATTTACTGTTCATTCCTATACTATTGATGGAAGTTTTCTCCATATCAAAAGTCTTTATCTCCATTTGTATAAACAAACACTGTATAATTCTCTAAGATATCTGTATTATCATTTTAACATGCAGTTACACTATTTTTAACATATACTATATAACATTATTATATCCTTTTAATGATGTCACCCTTTTTATTATAAAACAATGTTATTTTCTAATGAAATATTTTTAGTGAAGTGTTAAATTCTTTTTATAATAACTTTTTAGAATTTTCTCCTTTAATGTGTTTTATATGATGAAATATATTCTTCAAAGATCAAATTTATTATAATAATATATATGTACAGTATTAAAACAATTTTCAGAGCAAGTATGAACACAAGCATGAAAGGGTTAATATAAACTGAAGCAGCAATCAGCTATTTAAACCCGTGGGTTCTCCTTGCACAATATCCTCTGATGAAGTGAGCATTAGACTCACGAAACGCGTAAGGACTCTAACACTTTGTGGCACTTATCGCAAAGAAGACCGGGCTTCACTTGGAACGCAGGAGATCGGTGACACGCACGCGGCTATCCACAGGTCCATTCATCTGCCGGCGGACCGAAAAGAACGAGCTGCAAACACCAGGTTCTCCAGATTCCAGTTAAGCACTTAGACTCTTTGCGTTTTTGTAAGTGCACAACTTTTCTTTTTTATTGAATAAACGTATTTTATTGCACTTAGCACTTCGGATTTTGTTTCACTTTTTGTGAACAACATGGAACTTATCTACTAAACTACAGATCATTAACCATGATCTGTTAGCTATTATATTTTATACTAAGTACATACAATTATATATCACATTGGCTTATATATATAATTTTGTACAACACTAAATTAGCTCATTCAGTTAACATATTCCAGTTCGATCATAACTGGAGAAAACTGTAACAGCTAACAAATCACAGACCACGGTGTCTTTTTAAAAAGAGACTATTTATACAGAGACATTTCTACTATAAAGTTATATATATTTTCTACATATTTAAGATACATGTTTTTATTAATGCATGGTAACAAAAGGTGAATTATTGTAATATTTATATTAGATTTCTATTATTGTCTTTTACAAGTTATTCAATATCTGCTTCATATATTGCCCATTTAAAGGAATACCACTCCTGAAATTTATTGGATTCAAATCTAATATTTTACTTTCTTATATAATGCAGTATGCTTCTTTTGAAAGAGTAGGACAAATATAAGATTGTATGCAAAATTTTACTAAACACTTACTTTTACTGCAGCAATTAGTCTGATGTAGTCACTCAGAAGTTCACAAAACAAATAGAAGTCAGCAAAGGCCTGCTCCTGATGAAGCTGGTCAATTTTTTCTTCTACTTCAGCAAGCTGAGATAAGGCCCTCGACAAGGCTGTATGATCCTCAGAATTGCCCAACATAGCAGCGCTCTTGGCGAAGGCAGCAGTGTTAGCCGAAAGCTCTAGACAAGAACAACAACATATATACAGCTTTAAAGCACTGCATGGGGTAACACAGAATAAACTGGGTACATTGTGCAGCAGTACACTAGGTGTGTATGATGTACACGTAACAACATGGGACTGGTATATTAAACTAGGTCACAGTTTTCATCCTATTAATAGCATTGAAGCTTTTAACCCCTTAAGGACACATGACATGTCATGATTCCCTTTTATTCCAGAAGTTTGGTCCTTAAGGGGTTAAACAGATTTTCACTCCCTTCCATCTTCAGATTCATCGTCTGAATTCCATCAGCAAACAAACCAAAAGTTTTGCTATTATTACCCATCCTGCAGCCCCTCCTCATTCTACCTTTATTCATTGCATTATTTCAATTTCACAGCAAGCAATGCTCCATATATTGACCTTTTGTGTCTCCTTTTACTCACAATTTATCTGGCTAAGTAATTTATATTAAAGTACAGTATTTACAAGATTGTAAACTCATGAGTAAGATTATTGTTCCTTCTTTATTAATATATGTTCAATATTTGTACTCTAGTTTTTTTTACAGTGCTGCATAACATATTGGCGCTATATAAATACCAAATAATAATGATACAAAACAACCAAGGTCTTCTCATTTAAAAATAGCAAAATGTTTGAAACATAGAAAACATGGGATGTATAGCTAGCATAAAAGTGTAGGGTAAAACCGTGATTTCATCTTTATAGTACAGCTAGCGATACGTTAACATTGCATTAAGTTTCTATTTTCTATGTTCATTAGGGGTAAAAGTACCAAACTACTCTACATTCCAAAATTCCAATAGGTTTAAAGCCAGCAAAATATAGCCAAAGTCACATAATACAGTCTTTAACTGCGTGGTGTATTTGTTCACCGTACAGTCCGTATGACAGGGTAGAGTAAATAGGTTTACATACAATGAACAGTATGTGGCAATGCAGGAAGAATGAATAAGAAATAGTGCAGGGCACAGTATCTTATGTTCAACAAAAAAAAAAAAAAGATAAAAGGCAGAAAAACTTAAGTGTATCATATCTGTTGACCCATGCTCCTAGTTACTTAGGAAATATATGTCAAGACCTGCTTGGATCCCATCCCATCATGAAAGTTCCTCCAAGTTTGCAACATCCCCCATTTAGATTAGGAATTGTCAAGACCACAGGCCATTTACATTGTATTGTACTTATTTATGTAGCTAATCAAAACCACAGAATCTATAATCCAAAATGTAGTATACACACACACACTTTTGTTGAATGGAAACACACCTTTTAATTGCTCTATTAAATGCTAAAAGCATTTACGTTTGTATCAGGACTTTAAAAAAAATGCATTTTTCGGGGACTGTCCCAAGTGTTTGATTTTCAAAGCATTAATTGATTGATGAGAATGTCCAATTAAAACATTTTCCACTTCTCTTTGGAAATTACCATAATGAAAATACCAACCTTTGCGGTGACAGACCAAAGCTTCAACGTTGGCATGCAGCTTCCTGAGTTGCTGATCGAGATTCTCAAATTGCTGCTGCTTTTCTTCAAACCACTAACCATGAATACAAATAAAAAGATCCAATTTATCAAGCAACAAAAAACATTTTATATTAGGATTTGTAGTAGTTGACAAGCTTACATACAACTGTGTCAGTCAAGAGAACAGAAGAGTCAATACGTAAATCATCTTACTTTCTGCCCGTAAAGGCCTAAAATGCAATTGTTTAGACTTGTTAGACCATCATTATGCAATCCCCCACCCCAAAAAAAAAAAAAAATATCTGTTCTTACAGCATCCGATTCATTCATCTTGATTGTCATTTTGTTGACAGCATCCGCAGCCTTGTTCACCATCCTCAATAATCCTGCTCCACTCAAAGCCTGGGTGCTAACCGCCCTTGGCAGCTGCAATTGAATGACAAATAAGGGCAAACAAACCGGTTAAAAGGTTGGAGTCTTAGCAGGGCACCCAAGTGCAAATAAAAGGATGTTATGTTTTCTGCACTCTCCTACATTTCAATATAGAGTAAACTCATTTTTTCTGATTTACTACCCTCACTGTCCCAGTGGAAAACCTAAAAAATAGAATTACTATTTACGTTTGATGGTCATCTACATTTAGATGAACAAAACTAGGGGTTGTAAAGGTCAAGAGAATAGAGGTCCCAAAGCTTATACGCTAAATAATGCTGGTTACTTGTTTTTTTTGCAACCTCTGAAACAAAGAAACAGGATTTACTTTGGAAGATGGCAAGAAAGAGTATAAGGAATAAGAATTTACTTTCCAAGACATTGCTCCGAAGATCATTTGAAAATCTGGGCTATCCAACATGTGATTGTCCAATTCGTGCATGAAGTATCAACAAATAAAACCGTACAAAATATATTGATAACAAGTTCACCTTCAGAGACGTATACTTTTAATTGACAAATTGTATTGGTCAAGAATTAAACATACTAAAAACAAAAGTATAGCTAAAAAGTAATTTGTGACTACTTCCTCCATCTAGATGACATAAGGAAATAAATGTGGTGGCATGCAGAAGCCCCTTCCAAATCAGGCACACTGCACCCGAGTGAAATATTTGTAGTCTCTATTTAATTTCATTCTATTAACCCAAATGTTACAGTTTTTTGCAGATATCAAAATCAGATCATACACAATGCGAAAAAAAAAAAAAAAAGTTACCTCATTGCTTTCCAAGAACTGTCGCACATCTGGGTCTTGTAACAGTGTGGGATGTTTTACTGTGCGCTGAAGATATCTAGAAAATTTCATACGTTTTAAATCATACAATCTTTTTGTGTGCAATAAATGACAATTACCAGCTGGTCAGTTTTTGACTGAAATCGTATGAATAGCAACTCACAATTTCTTGTACAGAATTGGAAGTGTATGACAAAATGTTCTATTGGCAAAAGGATACAAATGACCCATAGCATGAAGTTTCAAAGAGTTTGCTGTCCAGTCATCAGGTAGCTTTTCACCAATCTTATCTGCTTATATATAGCTCTGTGTCTGAATTGGTTTCTTTTACTTTTTTTCTCCCTAAGTGGCCTTAGTTTTGAGCATAAACAAAGTTCCTAGTTCATTTGAAAAATACATTTACAAAAACCACACACAAATTTTTTTTTATAAATGATGTCATAAAAGGGTACATGGCAGACAAAAAAAAAATTAAAAATGGCTACACCAAGATATTGAGATGCAGCACAAGGATTTAAAGAGACACTATAGTCACCAGAACAACAAGCTTATTGAATTTGTTCTGGTGAGCAGAATCATTACATTCAGGCTTTTTGCTGTAAACACTGTCTTTTCAGAGAAAATGCAGTGTTTAAATTACAGCCTAGTGGCTGCCTAAAATGCATCCAAACATTCAGTATCTCCTCCTTCTGCATGGAGACACTGAACTTTCCGCATACAGATTCATTGATTCAATTCATCTCTATGAGTAGATGCTGATTGGCCAGGGCTTTGTTTGAATTGTGCTGACTCTGCCCCTGATCTGCCTCTTTGTCAGTCTCAACCAATGCTATGGGGAAGCACTGTGATGGGATCAGGCTACCACTTCTGCTGACGTCAGCAGGCAGTGGGCAGGTCTAAAGGAAACAGGGACAAAGCATTCACCTGCAGACATGAATACTAGTAAGATTTTACTATATTTAAGGAGGCATGAGGGGACCAGGGTGGCTAGATGGTGGTTTTAACCATATAGGGTCAGGAATACATGTTTGTGTTCCTGACCCTATAGTGCTTCTTTAAAGTATAATTAAAGGCAAGTGTTGGGGAAGAACGTAAAGAAAGGAAAGGCAAAAGAAAAGACAGACAAAACATGCCAGAGCCACATTAATTAATGTTAATAAACATACGTTAAGAGGACCCCCCAAAAAACACAAAAACAAACAAAAATAACCTCAAGAGCTTTGTCTGTGGATGGCCAGGAAACAGAGTATGGATAAAGGGTTGGTATGGTCAAAGGCCGTAAAATATTTGCTGGATATACAGTAGTTTTATTTTGTATATTTGTTCCAGGTTATACCACAAGTGTTTGAAATGTGAAATGTACCCCTTGATGGTCCTCATGACTGTAGTTGAAAGAAGGCTATACAGTCTGATTATAACTATCATGATAAAGCATCAGTCACTATGGTACCTCGATCTCTTCAGAGTGCCAATCATTAAATCAGATTTTAGAAATGTGTCTCATCATAATTTATAAGGTATCCTCGGTTTACTCAGGCATATAGTTGTAAGGACTCTTCAATGTGACCACATGGTTAGGTTTATAAACCGCCTTTTGCATTAACTAACCAGTAGTTTATGAGAGAGATAATTAAGTCACAGAGAGATGTTGGGAGTGCTTTAGGGTGCAATGCCTGCTCAACACTTGCTATATTTCACATGACCTACTTGTTAATTTAAAAATGTAGATCATGTTTTCAAACCTGCAACTCACAAGTAAAACATCATCCCTATGAAATTACAAGAAATACATAAAAAGTATGGGTTCACATTTTCAACACACAAAGCATTAAATCAACTTCAGCAAACACAAAACAGCTTTGGGGTGTAGATCATGTTGTGACTCTTGCGGACATGCTTCATTATATATAAATAGCAAACAACTGAAAGCAGCTCTATACATACATACATACACACACACACACACACACACACACACATATATATATTTTGGTGACAGAGCTGTTTGTTTGTTTTTTTCTTCAATCAATGCCAATTAAAAATCACAAACAAGCTAACAAAAGAGAAAATCATCGACATGTTACCTTTCTAATGCAGCTCTCCTTTTTTCCACAAATTCATTTGATGATGAATCTTCTTTTCCAACTTTAACTTTAGTCATGCCTTGAAAAGAAGTAATCAAGTTTAAAAAAACAAAAAAAAACAGTAATACATAAATAGTGTTTGTCAGCTTAACACAATATGTAACAAACTACAAGCAGAGGCAAAGAGGTGGCATGAACTCAAATTAGATTTTGAACTATGTCTTTTCAAAACACCAAATTACGGTAGTCTTTTAAATTAAATTTAAGGAAAGGACCAAGGAAATCCCTGATTTGTACGTTCCTGTTGTTCACAGGGCATAAGAGCAGAAAAATTCCAGAAACCTGCCACATACAGTTTGCAAAATTAATCCGGCACCTTAAATCCCTACTCTGCAGTGGGTGATCCTTCATCACTTCAAGAACCTAAAAGAGGAGAACGTGCTCAACCATTATAACCAATGACACATCCTCCTCCAGCATAACCTAAACGGCACCAGGAAGCTCAGAGATGGAACCACAATCAGACCCTGAAAAGTAGCCATGGCCAAAGCTAGCATCCTACTTGACAGGAGAGGGCACATCAGTAGCACACTTAGCAGGATTCAATCACAAGCATTTTGGAGTAGGAGGCAAAAAGCTAATGAGGTCAGAAATCACAGCTTTAAAGGGACCACTGTAGACACCCAGACCACTTTAGCTAATTAAAGTGGTCTGGGTGCAATGTCCCATGTCCTTTAAACGTACAGTGGTAATTATTGCAGTTTCTGAGAAACTGCAATAATTACCGTATATACTCGTGTATAAGTCGATCTCATGTATAAGTCGAGTGCAGTTTTGTGACCAACAATTGTGAAATATGCTATGCCTCGTGGATAAGTCGAGGGTAAAACTTGGGGCTATGAAATTCTGTGATTTTTATAATTATATACACACACACACTCATACAAACACACACTCTGCATTATATACACAGACTCTGTGTATATAATGCAGAGTGTGTATATAATGAAGAGTGTGTGTTTGTGTAGTGTGTGTGAACTGGATGGGGGGAGGGCATTTTTATTTTTATTTTTTTAAATTTAATATTTTTTTTAATTATTTTAAAAAAAAATTGTCCCCCCTCCCTGCTTGTTAACCAGTCAGGGAGGGGGGCTATCTTAATCCCTAGTGGTCCAGTGGCATGGGCTGTGAAGTGGGGGGGCCAGTAGGAAGCATTTACTTACCTTTCCTGCAGCTCCTGTCAGCTCCCTTCTCCTCCGTTCTGGTCAGCTCCACTGTAAGTCTCGCGGTCTGGTTGTCGCGCGCATCGTTGCCACGGCTCTGACGGCCGCGGCTCTCTAAGTTGCCATAATACAGACAGTGACTCGAGTATAAGTCGAGTGGGTGTTTTTAAGCACAAAAAATGTGCTGAAAAACTAGACTTATACTCGAGTATATACTGTACCTGCTAGGGTTAACTCCTGCTCTAGTGGCTGTCTTTAGGCGACTTTTGGTCGACTAAATGACGCTGGACGTCCTCATGCTATGCATGAGGACTTCCAGCGTCACCGGAATCCCCACAGGAAAGCATGTGCATTAAGTCTCCCCCACTGGCCGACATCGGGCGGGAGTATCGTGGGCGGAGTCTGACCAAGCACCAAGGGACATCGGCACTGGATTCAGATAAGTGTCTGAATGGGGTTTTAACCCCTTCACAACCGCAGGAGGAGAACACTGTAGGAACCTCTAGTGCCAGGAAAAACAGCTTTGTTTTCCTGCCACTATAGAAATCCTTTAATATAGGCCTGTAACATCAGGAGGACTTCCACATTAACAAAAGCAGCGGCAAACCTACCAAAGGGTCCAAGCTAATTTTCTAAAGGAAGTTCTTATAGGACCTGGTCAAGACTGAGGGGAGTTCTGAAGCATTGCATTATGAGTGTTTCTACCTAAATCGTATTCAGGGGAAATTTATCCCATAAGTCATAATTCACCATCCAAGAAAGGCAAAAATTATTTATTTGAAAAAAAAAAAAAGTAATTTTTAGCCTGACTTAAGAACTCAATTCAAAACGTTTCACTAAATGGAACATATATTTAACTAAAGTGAAAGCCTTTAAGGTTTCATTGTAGTGAAGTCTATCTAGACAGCCATTATCCTAGTTCTACAAAGCTCAAGATGGAATGCTCTTTTACCCATTAATAGCAGGGTCAGAAAAGGCAACTAATCGTGACAGCCCTGACATGTCATCTATCACTGTAATTAAAACACCAAGTGTTCTGCTATTCATCCTCAGCATTTCCACATGTGAAATTTTGGTAAATTATTGGTTACTTAGGGGTAAAGAACTTAGAATTACAGAGCCTTTTTAACCTTTAACTGAGCACTCCGTCTTAGCTCCCTGTCAATCATCGTTATAAATTCTGACCTTTGCACCTGACAGTCAATATAGGGATAGAATACAGAGAAATTAAACTGAACTTAAAGGAACACTATAGGCACCCAGACCCAGCTACGGTTAACCATTTTTTCTATAAACATAGCAGTTTGAATGCGCGCGCGGCTCTTGCCGCACATGCGCATTCAGCCAAGGAGGAGGAGAGTCCCCCGCCCGGCGCTGTAGAAAGTGGCAAGTTTAACCTCTTCATCACCCTAGAGCCCGGCGGGAGGGGGACCTGAGGGTGGGGGCACCCTCAGGGCACTATAGTGCCAGGAAAATGAGTATGTTTTCCTGGCACTATAGTGGTCCTTTAACTGGATTTAATACATTTTAATATACATTTAAAATAGAACAGAGCATATCATAAAAGAACTCTTTTTTTTTTGTTTTGTTTTTTTAAATACTGGCAAATGTTATGGATGGTGTTTACGCAAGATCCAGAACCTAACACAATCCCTACCCTGATATAGGGATAATAATAATAATAATATATATTAGCATACTCACCTCAGGGATCCAAAATACAGAATAGGAGAAACTAGCCATACATTTAATAGGACACTTCAATCCTATAAAGCACTTTGGCTTACTGAAGTGCTTTATGCATGAAGCGTGCGCTCTCTTTTTTCATTTTACAAAAAGTGCAGGTTTGAAAAGAAATTGGCATTTCTATAAATTAGCTTTGTTACACACGGACTGTCAATCAGGCAACCAGTCCTTCTACTAGCTTTTTGGTTAGCTCATGAATCTAAACTACAGCGGCAGCAATTGCCCACAGCACCTAACTTGCAAATACTACTCATTCAGTTGACTTGGAAAGTCTGTGGTTGGACAGTCAAAAAGTTAGGAAGGACTTCCAAAGCCTTCAGACCACGGCTCTGCTGCTTTTGCAAGTGGTATCAAGATTTATCTCTTATGAAAATATACATAATTAAATGCAGGCATGTTTTAATTGGGGGTATCTACTAAGCAGTGGTTATTTTGTTTACTTTGGGCTGTGAAGTGGAGATGAGTGTAGGCCAATATTTAAAACAACTATTAGAGTGACAGTGTAAGGAAAATATCAGTCCAATCCTTAGCTTGCTTTACCAAAATCAGCGTAATTACGCGTACCTGCAGCTACTTCACTGAACTGTCGGGTTTTTAGCACAAAGTGGCAGGAGGTATTTTGGGGATTTGAAAAAAAGAAAATGACTGCTTAACTGTGTGAATGGCAGGTGAACAACACTTGTGCTTGTTCTTCTGCAAGTGATTCTTGCGAATACTTTGTTTGCAGTATGTTGTGGCTGTATATCTGCTGTAAGTGAACAGGCCTTTTTGTGCCACATTGAGCTTAATAACCTAGTGGGCTGTGCAAAAAACAAAAGCTTCCAAAGCAAATTAACGCATACTGAATCAATCTGCCAGAGAATTTGAAGATGATTTTCAAAATTTTATGCAATGCTATGGTTTCCAGATAAGGGATGGTCCTGCCTTGTAACTGAGTTTTATGAGAATCTCCACCACTGTAATTCACTGTTATGAACAGGACTTTGGTGAGGATGCAGCAAAGAGTTGGGCACAACAGATGATAAAAGTGTATTGTAACACTACAACAAATTTGACAAGTCAACAGATTTAAGTTCAAAATTATTATAAAACAAAAGAGAAAAGGCTGAAGAGTTTCAAATACAAATAGCACAGAAACACTTTCAATAATTAACAATGGTGACTTTTTTTTGCTACAGTTTCAATTTAACTTCCTCCAGCTCCTTTCTTTCTCTGAGCATGGCCTTTAGTTTTCCTTCCTTTTCCAGTATTGTTTAACTAAAACAAATTGCAGGAAGGAGGCAAGGTATCCAAACTACTTCCTGCTCAAAACAAGCATTAGGACATATAGCTATTTTAGGAAATGCATAAAAGTGAAAGGCAGTAAGGCATGTTGTCCTCTCAGCAGATATTGTAACTTGATATATCAACATATTCTGCATTTGGCTGCAAGAATAACCGGTACATTGTACTTACCCACAATACTTTTCTCTGGAGCCGGGGGAACAATATATCCAATGTGCATATATTTTGTCGCTAGCTTACTGTGTAGCCCAAGGAAGTCACTAAATCGTCTCTTAACAGAGAATTCTTTCTTGTTGAACATGGACAGAGAAGTCTGAAAAAGAGAACAACTTTGGCAATTTAATAAAATCAAAAGCATTTTGTATAGGCAGTGAAAGCCATTGGATGGAACTAACCTTTGTTGAAACTTTATACGCCATGTAAGCATTCATTCCATCTCCTAAAATACAAGACATAACAAAATAACTAACAGAGTAATTGAGACAAACCGCAATATGTTTATATTGGAGTGTGAGAACAGCACAAGTTCACAATTATTTACAGGATCTTCAGATACTACCGAATTTATAAGAACTAATCACCTAGATTTTCTCCTGGCACCACTTATGTGCGTAGCTTTCAAAGTATAGATTGCACTTGAAGCTGCAAAAAACATGACTATGGCATTACCAGAACAGCTACACTTTGCAGCACGCAGATTAGCCATATTGTTTATTATCCAAGACACAGCTTCACTTGTCAGAAAGAGGGAATGATGTGAAAGTACTAAAAAAATTAAAAAAAACTCACCAACTTTTTCTGGATCTGAAACACCTATTTCAATATCAAAGAAGTCTCCATTTGCTTCTTCTTCAATCTGTGTAAATGAAAAGAAAAAGGCAAGAATAAGAAATTCAATTAACAATGTTGATGCATTCAATTGACGATTGTTAAAATGCTCAGCTTTTTTTAAGGGGCACTATAGTCACCAGAACAACTACAGCTTATTGCATATGTCCTAGTGAGTAGAATCATTCCCTGCAGACATTTTGCTGTAAATACTGTCTTTTTCGGAGAAAATGCAGTGTTTACATAACAGCCTAGTTTTAACTCCACTGGCCGCTCCTTAGATGGCTGCTAAAGCTGCTTCCTTAAGCAGTCTTGCCTAATGTGCAGCACTACCATTCAGTGTCCCCATCCACTGCATGCAAACACTGAACTTTCCTCATAGAGATGCATTGATTCAATACATCTCTATGAGTAGATGCTGATTGGCCAGGGCTGTGTTTGACTTGTGCTGGCTCTGCCCCTGATCTGCCTCCTTTACAGTCTCAGCCAATCCTATGGGGAAGCGTTGTGATTGGTTCAGATCACCACTTCTGATGATGTCAGCAGACAGGGGCAGGTCTGTGGCAGACAGAGGCAGAGCCAGGAGCTGGAGACTTGAATACAAGTAAGATTTTACTATATGTAGGGAGGCAAGAGGGGGCCAAGAGGGCTAGATGGTTGTTTTAACACTTTAGGGTCAAAAATACATGGTTGTGTTCCTGACCCCATAGTACTCATTTAAATAGTAATTACATAGTAGCACAAATATCAGTTGAGCATTTCAACATTAAAGAAAAAGAGCTACTCTGCAGGGCAGAACACTATTTAAAACGGAATACAGCATTATGAATATCTACCTCATTCGCTGTGAATGCACCTATGGATGATTTTTCTACACAAGACATATAAAGAAATTAAACTTTGCAAAAAATAATAAAAATGCAAAAAAACAAAACACAAAAGGGGAGAGAGAGTGGTAGGTGTAAAATGCAATTCAAATAACAATCGAATAGAATTTAGGCGTTAGTGAAATAACCCTACAGTGTTTGCCAGCTCAATCAAGACTGATTGAGACTGATTAACTTTCATCACTCTTTCTTTGTATCTATATTAGAACAGGACCAGGACAGGAAAGAGAAATTGATGGAAAAAAAATATATTTAAGAGAAAAAAAAAAAAAATTCTACTAATATTGGAGATTAAATAATATTTACCTCATCTCTTGATCGGTCATATATTACTGGGGCAGATATACTAATAGATTCCATTCGTGGAGTTATGAGTGATGTAGGTGTTACAGGTGTAATGGCAGGACTAGGTTCTGATGAAAGGATTAGCTCTCTCTCAGGACTGTCCAATGAGACTTCATCTGTTGCTTCTAAAAACCAAACATAGAGAAACCAGAAGTAATTGTTATAGTTTAGGTAAGTGAGCTAATAGCAGGATGTTTAATCTGTTTTTTTTTCCTGTATGTGAAAGAATATATTTAATTTAAATAAACCAAAGAAAAGAGATGCAATTTCTAGTATGTCTACCTTTACACAGAAGAACTGCTACTACAAGTGGTAACGAAGGCTTAACTATCTATAGCTCTAGTACATAACAGTATATATACTGCTGTAAACGGATTAGTGAAAAGAAAATGTCAGCTATCTAAAACTGTATGCTACAAGTAGACAAAAAAAGTTCAAAAAGGGTATACAAGTAACAGTGGAAGTCTCTCCGAAAATGATAGAACAAAAAAAATAAACTTTATTGAGTATCTAATTTAAACAAAAGTAAAAGACAATAAACTGAGGCTATGATGCATGATGGGGGTCAGGCAACACGAGCCTGAGGGAGTACACAACCCCTGTGAATCGAACAAGCCCAAATTAATTGCAAACAATTTATCAGGGTCTTAAACAAAAGGTATCCCTTGATGCCGCAAAAAAACCCAAAAGGTCTCAATTAATTAAATTAAACTAAAAAAAAAAAACAGAGACCGCTTTTCTGGTGATATACCAGGTGGAAATGGCAAGGTGTAACAAAATAACTCAAGTCTGACAGAAAGCTTGTACTAGGCTATATAAATATAAAAGTTACAGGCTCTCCGTAGTAGGAATGTAGAACAAGGAAAAAAGTGGTTTCGTAGATATGCCCCAGCTACCTAAATGCCCTTATTGAATGTAGACAGTGCGAACAATAATCAGCTGGCAGTCATGCCACTATACCTTCCCTTTCTATCCATCATAAAGCTTCCCCCATCAACAAACTTGTGAAATAATGACATCTGTAATAAAAAAAAAATGTGAAAGTGAGGTAGTAGCCCCCTCCCCCCTTTTTAAAAAAACAAACAAAAAAAAACAATACTAAAATTGCTGCTAGAGTCTCTTCAGGTGGGGGTAACCCACAATAGAGTAGGATACAAGTAGACAAATAGGTCCAAAAAGGGTAAATCAGTTTAACAGTGAAAGTCTCTCCAAAAACCATATAACAAAACAAAAAATAAACTTTCTAACTGTCTAAAATTGCCCTCACTAACACACATCCGGTGTGTGAAAGCAAACCACGCTGTTTACAACTGGCAGAGTTCATTTTTGGGACATTTGATTCCCATTTCACCTATTTAAAGAATCTTTATGTATTCCATAACAAAACAGGGGTGTTATATGGCCTAGTATTTCAGTGTGCATTAAATTAACTGGTACAATGGGAATATCAACTTCTTCACTTTTATAGTAATATGTTCAAATCAGCATTGCAATTTATTTGTTGATATTAACTCCCCCACAAATGTACTAAAGAAATCCATACCTGCAAAAAGGTCTTCCCTGTCATCACTTAGGATTATTTCAGCAGGCTTTGGACCGTTTGAATTTGTACTGATATCTTCTGTAGGAAGGCTTGCTGGCTCAGGAGAAGACGGGCTGGACTGGAAAAAGAATAGGAAAAAAAAAAAAAAAAAAACACACACACAAAGAAAGAAAAGAAAAAATGTGTTAAGAATTAAAAAAACAAAAAAAAAAAAAAAAAACAACTTGTTCACATATGTATTTACAATGTTTAAAAAGTTGATGACTGTTTTTTGGGAATGCTAAAATGAAAAGGAAACAGCAGTAGGTGTCAGCAGTTTTCATTTCCTAATCTTGGGAAGATAGCAAAATAGGAAACATTAATCACTAAATTAACAGGTCACATGTTTTCTCAATATGTGAACAATGATGTCCATGTTATTGTGTTTCAAACTCTGTCATGTACAAGAAATGATTCATAGAGTGACTGAATGCTTGGGTGGGAGGTACTCAGAAGTGGGATGAGGAATAAAGAGAATGGCGGTGGTATTAAAGGAAATAACCAATGGAATCAGCTGCCAACTGTCCTGAATGGTGGTGGATAGAATCTACATAACGTGAAGTAAATATCTAAAAGAGCGCATGTTCACAAGTATGACAACCCATTGTTGGACCCCTTTTCTGGGCTATCGCTAACATGCTCCTCTCTGCTCCACTCCTGATTCATTCTCTGTATTTGTTGACATATGAATAAGACCTCATTTAATGCTCAAAATGTTATAGCCAGGCATCTTTATTGTTTACCCATCTATTTAGTTTGTTCTTCGTGATATTCTTCTTATATAACATATGCATTGTCTACACTTTTAGTGTGTGTGGTAATTTTCCATGACAGCACTCCAAGGATTCCGTTTGTAGTTGGAAAAAAAATTTAGCTTTTATTTACATTATACAAAAATAACAATTTGACATTTATTTAAAAAAAAAAAAAAAAAAAAACTGTTCTAGCAAGTGTCTGTAAAGTAACATTAGACCCTGTCATAACGTGGTTGCAGAGTGGTAACATTTTAACCCTTCATGATGCGAGAGCATGCCTTTAGAACAGCATAGAAGAAAGACTGCACATTTGGTGCATGCAGGGTTAAAACCCTGCTCACACCAGCAAACCCCAGGTACCAATGAATACATGGTGCTCTCCTCTGACTGCTAGGGCAATTTTTAGTGACCCCAGACTTTTAGATGAGCTGCAGTACTATAAGCCAGCACTGCAAACAACTCTATAAATAGGCATTTAAATGCCTATTAAAAGATCACCCTGTGAGTAGGGTAAAATCCCTGTTCACATCACCAACCCCAGGTATCAATGGAGGCTCCTGTAAGTCAGCTGGGGCCATTTTTAGTGGACCCATACTAATTGATGAGCTCTATGCAGCCCTGTATAGAGAGCCCTTTAACACATTCATAAAAATCTCGCACAGTCGCATTTTTTCTGGGGTGCAGGCAGCTTCACTTCATAATACTGTAATTATCAAAACAGCCAGTAATTTGTGGCAGCATAATATCATCTACAATATAATGCTGCATGGAGTGTATAATACACACACACACACACACACACACACACTAAGGTGCAAGCCTAAATAGGTATTCCCCAAATGGCTGAAAATGCAAGGTAATATGAAAATAAGGATGCACACTGTACAATATAAAAACAAAGGGGTAGACAATTTTTAGCACTCCAGATGTTGTGGACTACATCTCCCCTAATGCTTTGCCAGCACTATGGTATAAAAGCATTAAAGGACCACTATAGGCACCCAGACCACTTCAGGTCAATGAAGTGGTCTGGGTGCCAGGTCCTTCTAGGGTTAACCCTTTTTTTTTTTTTTATAAACATAGCAGTTTCAGAGAAGGGGCACCCTCAGGGCACTATAGTGCCAGGAAAACGAGTATGCTGGCACTGTAGTGGTCCTTTAATGGAAATATAGTCCACAACATCTGGGGTGTCGAAGGTTTCCTCCCCCTGTCCTAACACATCCATGTGCTGACTCACACTTGATTCCCTTTGATAGCAGTCACAAACTTCTAAATCTGGCCATAACACACTTTTTAGACATATTTCCTTGAATATTGACAAATGGGCATTTCATCAGTTCTATCTTATTACCAGTTTCACAAAAACAGTATTTTTTACCATAGAATCTTATTTTCATAGTAGTATAATACGTCCATCAGCTACATCTAATAAATGTGTTTGCAGTCAGATCTACTAAATTTTCTCCATGAAAACTGCTCTAGAAAGTGGAATCAGTGGACCTTTGCTGCAGATGCTCTGGAAATGAGAGCGCTGCTTTGAGAAGCAGCTGCTGGAAACCAAGGGGGAAAAAAAAAATCTGCAAGAAGTTACCAACTTGACCACTGGTTCTCTCAAGTTTGGTGCTGCATTTATAAAGATATTTTTTTTTTTTCTTTTTAACTGTGCAAAGTTAACTTGCACCGTAGGAATTTGATCCTAGTACTTTAACACTTCATCATGAGGATTAGACAAACAGTGATTTAAAACGTTTAGAGAACAAAGGACAGTTCTCTAGATTTTTCCACTCATTTCATTAAGTTTACGAAATTCAGGGGTTTTCTTTTTCACTTTAAAATCTTTGACTTGCTCTAACCTTGATTTTCTTCCATTATGTCTTTAATTAATTTAAAAGAGCAATAGCTAACTTGGGTTAGAGAAAGCCATCAATGGCTTACACATGGATGGCCTTGTCTACATTTGCATTGATAAAAGACGTTATCAACATTACCAATATTAATTCAGTTCCACATGGACAGGACTGATTAAATAGGTTAAGTACTATAACTAGGCTGTGCCCAACTCTCTGCCACCCACTGCCATCCTGGTTGCATGGAGTGGTAATGTGGAAGTGGAAGTTTAATATTATCAACGCAACTTTTGAAGGGGGCTGGCTACAAGTGTCAGAGAGAGTACAGTTTTTGTCAATTGCTCCCAAATGGTCTGAAAAATAAAAGTCGGCACGGGGGGAGGGGGGGAGAGTTGAGGGAGAGGAATTGGGTGCATACCTGGAAGTTGGTATGTTAAGATGCCATATTCTGTTCCTTAACCTGCATGTTGTATATATTTTGTTTTTTTCACGGCAGCACCACTGTGACAAACTTCCTTTTTCAAATGAGTTTGCCACGAGTTCCTGGAGAAGCCTGCTTGCCAGCCACCTGCCCACCGACTATGGACCCTGTAAACTGTGATATAGAAGTCTCAGTTCGTGTACTTAGACTATATGGTTCGGGAACCGAACACCTGCACGAACCGGAGACCACCTTGGAGTTTGTAAAGCAATTTCCACCTCAGTGTTCTAGGTGTTCGTCTGGGTGGCCGCAATTCCTACTGACAACCACGAGGTGGCGGCCATCTTGTTCGCATGAACACAGGCAGCGGTGTTTGGTCATCAAGTTCATGGAACTATTTTTGGATACTGTTTTATAACACTTGGGAAGACACCATTCGGTGGAATCATTCGTCTGAATAAAGTGAACAAGCTCCAGGGTAGAACTATGGATTCCGTTCGGTAGTTTGTTCACTTTTATAAACTACCGAAATAGACTGACCGCAAGCCCTGATTCTCTGGAACTGTTTTGCGCATAGGACCATGCATGCGGTCGGTCAAATAAATTACTTCCAGGAAATTTCTGAACCCCTGAACTGATCTGGGTGATTTTTGGATATGTTGGTCACCCAGATCAGGACTATCAGGAGATGTACCTTTTGTGGAGTTTTGTTTATTTTTAGGGTACTTTTGGGGTGTTTGGGAAAAAGTATGTTTTTTCTGTGCTTGGAGATAATTGGATTAGATTAGTACAGTTCCTTATCCAATTATCTCCTAGGCACAGGGGAGGGATTATCTGATTTTGTATAGGAATGTCCTGGACCTGATAGCCAATGTAATTGTGTATTTGTTTCTACTGTGGTTTACTCTCAGGTCCAGGGGGGAGTGCCTCTTGCATGGGGACATGCATATAAGGCCAGTGGTGGCTGCTATTAAAGTATTCCAGCTTGTTCTCCCAGAACTATGTGTCATCTGGTTACTGGAAGGGGAAAGGGCTTGTCACTTTTCCAGCGTGCAGGATTCAACGGGGAAAGTCCTTGTAAGGACTAGAGCTCTCAGGACTGAGTGTCGTCCAGTGCCTGGGGGCTGCTAGAGCGAATTCCCCATTCGGCTCCAGGAGAGCGGTTCCAGGGCCCCAGTCAAGCCATGGCAACTGTGGGCAGAAGTGCTGTGGTTTGTCCCCTGTTCCAGCTAGGAAGCGGTCCTTGGTGGAGGTACCCAGCCAGGGTACAGGGAGCTTCGCTACAACCACTACTTAGAAATACATGTTCCGGGTTTGCCCCTAATTCCCCTATTTTCTGTGAATATCTGAAACCCAGACCAGATTCTGATTGGTTTGAGCACCTCACCCAATCACGATGGGTGCCACAGGATAGAAGACATTTGAGAATCGAGAGTCGCTGAAAGCAGTAAGTATTGCAGTAAGCATGTTCTCCCATGTTAAAATTAGTGTAGGGCCCACCAATATTGGTGTATTGGAGTACTGTAACATCATGGTGGGCTTAACACAATATGGCCATAAGGTGTAACTGAATCCCAATATTTGTTTTCTAAGATAGGCGATTTTAAGTAGTTTTTTAAACTGTATTTTTTTATGTGTGCGTTGTTCCCTAATCTGCATTTTAAATAGAAATCAGCATCCATAGCCTCTTTGCACCATAACTGCTATGGTGACACAAATAGTTATGGGGCCTCTTTAGATTGACTGAGCAATATAGGAAGCTACTTGAAGAACAATATCACTGAAATAGTTAATGAAATTAAAAATACAACACTTCATATTCTTGTACCTGCTTCATATCTTCTCTATGGGCAGGATGTCTAGAGGACATCACAAACCCAAATAGTGCAGAAAAGACACTTTTTGATGCAGCAGGCGTGCTTGGTGAACCTCAGTTTTAGACAAAAAACACACAAAAAAAACACCACCTATTAACATAAATAAGGGTGGTAGCACTCAGATTCTTTGCACCGGTACAAGTACATTACATTAAGTGGTTATGGTGCCTGGGCCACCTTCATTAAATCAATATGCAATCGAGTCACAAAATGTTTGTATCTGTCAGTTTCTAAGAGTTTAGTTTGCTGTTCCAGTAGAAACAGGATGTATAAGTACCATACAAAGATAGTAACAACACATGCATGCCTATGCAAATAAATGAGAGCCTTATATACACTGCCAAACATAACTTTTAAAGGGGAAGTTTCATTTCTATAAAAATTACACCACCGAACAGTGAAAATAAAAATCATTTCTAGACTGTTTTAACCTTTATTCATGTGATACCCAGTTTAGCAAATTAAATTATAACTTCAAGTGCAGCCCACGGACAACACTGCAAAAAAAAAATTAGGAGAAATGGAAACTTTGTTTGAATATCTCTTCTTCTCTGTATACTTTCTCTGCTTACTGCTAATAACCATGGTTGACAGGGAGCTATATATTTGTTAAAGGGACATTATATGCACCAAAACACTTAACTTAATGAAAAACTTTGTGTATAGATATTGCCCCTGCATGATCAATTATCTGCCAATTAGGAGTTAAATGAAATGGACACACTATTGACACCAGAATTGCTACAGCTTAATCTATTAGTTCTGGTGTTGGCTTCTGCATTCAAGTCTTCTTGTCCAGTTGTAAGTAAGGAATCATGGGAAAAATGAGGTGTGCCACATGTAGGTATAAAAACATAGGAAAAAGATTCTAAGATAATGACACCTGGAAACCAGTTTGTGCAGTACAGGTGAGTGTAACCTTACTTCTGCTGCACAGATCAGTAAATAAACCAACAGGCTTTGCAGGGGTAAATAGGGAAAGCGATGAGAGACGAAAAAAAAAAAAATCCTGACAAAAACATGCTTTATAAAGAAAAAAAATGGCAGCCCTTCATCCTAAATCAAATGTTTTTAGAATGCGTCAGAAAGTGTCTTATCTAAGGCAAGCTGAAATCAAACAGAAGTAAGCATTAAAACTTGATACAGAAATCTGTTAGCAGTTCCAATGAAAGGGGCAAATTATACAATTATAGCATAAATCATCACAGTCTTAAAGGGACACTATAGTTGCCAAAACAACTTTAGTTTAACCCCTTAAGGACATATGACATGTGTGACATGTCATGATTCCTTTTTATTCCAGAAGTTTGGTCCTTAAGGGGTTAATGAAGCAGTTTTGGTGTATTGATCATGCCCCTGCAGATTTTTTGCTCAATTCTTTGTCATTGAGGAGTTAAATAACTTTGTTTATGCAGCCCTGGTCACACCTTCCTGCATGTGACTTACACTTCCTTCTTAACCCCTTAAGACCGGAGGGCGTACTATTACGTCCTCTAATAGGCGGCTCTAAACGCCGCCGGGCGTAATAGTACGCCCTCCGGTCTTTCTGTACTTACCCGGTCGCCGGTGGTCCCACGCCGGCGATCGCGGTGGGGGGGACTCCCAGGGAGCCCCCCGCGGCACGACCGTCCTCCAGGAAACCCCCGGCCGTGTGAGAGTGGGGTCCTAGCGAGGACCCCACAATCACATGGCCGGGGATAGCTGGCTTCTGTATTGCCAGCAGGGGGGCTGCCTGTAATGACAGGTGGTCCCCCTGCTGGCTGAAAATAAAAATGAAATAAATAAATAGTGTAAAAAAATAAATATTATATACTTAGATCATATATATATATTATATATATATGATCAAAGTATATATATACACATATACATACACACATGTACACCGTCTAGGTGTATTTTACTATTAATATATATATAATTATATATATATATTAATATCAAATTACACGTAGACCGATACTGATTAAATATATATATAATTATTGTTATATATATATTTATATATATTATAAAAAAAATTAAAATGTAAATACGTTAAAAAATAAAATTACAAAAATAATTAAAAATAAATAATTAAAAATATATAGATGTGTGTTATTTCGTTCTAACTGTATTGTGAAATTAATATATATATATATATATTCAAAATACACATAGAACGAAATAATATATATATTTATACACATAAATATATACGATATATCACTATATATATATATATATATATAAATAATATTTTTAAAAAATTATATAGATATATACATATATATACACATACGTATATATATACATATATTGATTCTACATATATATTTATGTAATATTTTTACATAATTAGGTATCTTAATTAATTACAATTAGCGGGACCTGCCTGACAACCCATGCCGAAAGTAAAGGGAATTTAATTTGCTAGCACTATATTTAACCCTATAACTTTCCTAGACACCATAAAACCTGTACATGGGGGGTACTGTTCTACTCGGGAGACTTCGCTGAACACAAATATTAGTGTTTCAAAACAGTAAAATGTATTACAACGATGATATCGCCAGTAAAAGTGACGTTTTTTGCATTTTTCACGCACAAACAGCATTAAACGGACGATATTATTGCTGCGATACTTTTTATTGTTTTGAAACACAAATATTTGTGTTCAGCGAAGTCTCCCGAGTACAACAGTACCCCTCATGTACAGGTTTTATGGTGTTTTCAAAAGTTACAGCGTCAAATATAAGGCTTGTGTTTCATTTTTTTCACATTAAAATTTGCCAGATTGGTTACGTTGCCTTTGAGACCCTATGGTAGCCCAAGAATGAAAATTACCCCTATGATGTGAGACCATTTGTATTAGTAGACAACCCGTTGTTGGTAAAATAGGTATGTCCAGTTTTTAGTAATCTTCTTAGTCACAAACACTGGCCAAAATTGGCAGTTTTTGCATTTTTCACACACAAACAAATACTAACGCTAACTTTGGCCAGTGTTTGTGACCAAATGGCTACTAAAAGACTGGACATACCCCATTTGCAATACCTTGGGTTGTCTACTATTGCAAATGGTATGCCATTATGGGTGTAAATTTCATTCCTGGGCTACTATAAAGTCTCAAAGGCAACGTAACCAATCTGGCGAATTTCAATTTCAAATGTAACGTGTATATTTGACCCTGTAACTTCCCAAAATGCCATAAAACCTGTACATAGGGGGTACTGTTTTACAGTGAGACTTTGCTGAATACAAATATGTGTATTTTATTGCAGTAAAAGCAAACAGTATTATGACACTGACCGTTTAATTGTCATGTAGAACTAAAAAAATCCAATAAAATCGTATTTTCTCCCATTTTTTCATATTAAATTATGTTTCATAGCTAAGTATTTGATATTAAATGAAAGCCCTGTTTCCCCTGAATAAAATGATATATAATAAGGGTGGGTGCATTTACTATGAAAGAGGTGTATTACGGTTGGACAGACATGTAGCGCAAATGCCAGGTTTTGTTTACATTTTGTTTTGTTCACAACGTGTACATTTGGCTCCGTCCTTAAGGGGTTAAACACTTCATGTAAAGAGTCACCCAATGTTTACACTTCCTTTATTGCAAAATTTTGTTTAAGTTAGAATTTATCTCCTGCCCTGTTAATAGCTTGCTAGATCCTGCAGGAGCCTCCTTTATGTAATTAAAAAGTTAAATTTACAGAGTAGGAGATAAACTTTATAAAAATTAAACCAACCCTGTTATTACAGCCAGGGGAGGTGTGGCTAGGGCTGTATAAACAGAAACAACAGTGATTTCACTCCTAAACGGCAGTGAATTGAGCAGTAAAACTTCAAAGGCAAGATCTATACACAAATGCTGATTCATTAAGCTAAAGTTGTTTTGGTGACTATATTCTCCCTTTAAGATAGGTTTCTCAGACAGATATACACAAAAGTAATTAGTTTTACTTTCTGGAATCAAAAATATGATTGCAAGAGTAACTTGCCCACTATTTTTTTTTTCTTTTTACCAACGGTTTGTATTTATCTACTTAAAACTGTCAGTATATGTGTAAATTTTCCCTTACTGTTCTCGTTCACTTTATTAAAGGCCTCAACTTGGCAATGTTTTAATAACTTTTTGCTGCCAAGAGTAAGTTATGTAAACAGATGTACTTTTGAGAGATAAAATCCAAGCTTGAAAAGGTGTGACAGCTATTACCAAAAATAAGAAAGAAAAGTTCTTCAAGCAATCAACTTTAAAATATGATTATTATTTTTGGCATTTATATAGCACCAACTTATTTTGCAGAGCTTTACAATATTATAAAGGGAGTAATTTAACAATACATGAGACTACTACAAACTGTTACAGAAACAATGTTGATGAGGACCCAGTTGGGTAGAACTTACAATCAATATTGTATTTCTGGTTAGCAATCAAACACAAAGTATGAATTTTTTACTGGAAAGGCCAATTCCTCACTACTCCACCAACCCACCCCACAAAAGTGTAAAGGGATTTTTTATTTTTTTTTAACCACTTGTCCAATTAACTAAAGCTGTAGTCCAATCTATTTGTCCAGACAGAAAAATATTCAATTACTTAGATTAGACCCTAAATTTTAAATTAACTTAATTCCCAGAATTCACTTTTATGAATAGCCCTGTAAATCTGAATTAAGTGAGCACCAGCTAGTGAGGATGTTATTATTGGCACAGGTACACACCACATTTCCCCTGTCCCGGCAATAATTCCCCTCCAGGTAGCCCTGACTCTTGCCTGGCACCCAAAACTGTATGTCCCAAAAGTTGGGTGGAAGGATTTTCACACCCCTGGAGTAATTAAAACTAATGTGTTCAAAAAAGTCACAGTAAATTTTTCAGGGATAAATCCACAATCACTACTGTTTGTCAATTTATGTTAACCACATAGAATGTGACGGCAGATAAGAACCATTCGGCCCATCTAGTCTGCCCAATTTTCTAAATACTTTAGTTAGTCCCTGGCCTTATCTTATAGTTAGGATAGCCTTATGCCTATTCCATGGATGCTTAAACTCCTTTACTGTGTTAACCTCTACCACTTCAGCTGGAAGGCTATTCCATGCATCCACTACCCTCTCAGTAAAGTAATACTTCCTGATATTTTTAAACCTTTGTCCCTCTAATTTAAGACTATGTCCTCTTGTTGTTGTAGTTTTTCTTCTTTTAAATATAGTCTCCTTTACGTATTTAAATGTTTCTATCATATCCCCCCGTCTCGTCTTTCCTCCAAGCTATACATGTTAAGATCCTTTAACCTACATGTGCCAAGTCAGAGATGACCAACTCCTTTCTAAAGGAAGTAATCATGTATACCAATAATGATAGAATGAAACTGTACTGAGCTCACAAAATTGTTTGCTTGTATACCACATATATACACATGAGGAAGAGAACAAAAAAAAAAAAAAATACAGTGTACAAAAAAACCCAAAAAACTTTTAGACTTACTTAAAACAAAATAACTTAAGAGTACAAGTGGTCATGAGCTAATAAGTAACGTACATATTAAATGATCAACAACATGTACACACCCTTCAAGTTAAACATCTGGACCCATTAACATGCTTACTCAACAAAGACAGCTCCTGTCATGGGTGGTCTCCAATGATACACAGCCTTAGTTTGCTTGGATGTGCAGAATAATGAAAATCTCACATTTGCTGAAATGAGTTTTACTAGAGTCACATTAACTTGCAGAAGCATCACAGGAATTGTAGTACATTTCAAGTTTGTGTGCCAGAGATTAGTTCTAATGATTAATCACCAGCTACATAGCCAATAAACTAGTGGTAGTGGTTGACTAATATGGTAATAAATAAACAGTAATTCACACAGTTATGACACTAAATCCTTCCAGTAGGTACCTGTCCAAGACAAAAAGCATCATAACAGCATCTAAGTCACAGGAAAGATTGGATTAACAGACATCATGTGGCAGAATATAAACGTCTCTTAATAGAGGAGTAGTAATTTAATAAACTGTGCTCTGTAAGCTCTCACAGTATAACTGTAATGGGTAGGAGTGTGGAGGGGGTCAATGCCCGTCTAGGTAGGTACATAGAAGAGATGAACTGTAAGCTGTCACTATAAAACTGTGCAGGCTGCCTGTGATATGCAGGGCAGTCACTTTCTGTCAAGGTAGGTACATAGAAGGGCTGCTTTGGGCTCCCTTTGATGTGCAGGGGAAGCCATACGTAGGTAGATCCTCTATAAGCTGTCACTGTATAACTGTGTAGGGGCAGTCACTTTCTGTTTAGGTAGGTACAAAAGAGATGCTCTATAAGCTGTAACTGTGCTGGCTCTCTGTGATGTGCAGGGCAGTCACTGCCTGACGAGCTAGGTACACAGAAGGGATGCTCTGTAGGCTGTAACCGTACAGGGGGTCACTTTCTGTCTAGGTAGGCACACAGAAGGGATGCTCTGTAGGCTGTAACTGTATAACCGTACAGAGGGTCACTTTCTGTCTAGGTAGGCACACAGAAGGGATGCTCTGTAGGCTGTGACTGTATAACTGTACAGAGGGTCACTTTCTGTCTAGATAGGTACATAGAAGGGATGCTCTGTAGGCTGTAACTGTACAGGGGGTCACTTTCTGTCTAGGTAGGTACACAGAAGGGATGCTCTGTAGGCTGTGACCGTATAACTGTGCAGGGGGTCACTTTCTATCTAGGTAGGTACATAGAAGGGATGCTCTGTAGGCTGTGACTGTGCAAGGGGTCACTTTCTGTCTAGGTAGGTACAAGAAGGGATGCTCTGTAGGCTGTGACTGTATAACTGTGCAGGGGGTCACTTTCTGTCTAGATAGGTACATAGAAGGGATGCTCTGTAGGCTGTGACTGTGCAGGGGGTCACTTTCTGTCTAGGTAGGTACATAGAAGGGATGCTCTGTAGGCTGTGACTGTATAACTGTGCAGAGGGTCACTTTCCGTCTAGGTAGGTACATAGAAGGGATGCTCTGCAGGCTGTGACTGTGCAGGGGGTCACTTTCTGTCTAGGTGGGTACATAGAAGGGATGCTCTGTAGGCTGTGACTGTATAACTGTGCAGGGGGTCACTTTCTGTCTAGGTAGGTACATAGAAGGGATGCTCTGCAGGCTGTGACTGTGTGACTGTGCAGGGGGTCACTTTCTGTCTAGGTAGGTACACAGAAGGGATGCTCTGTAGGCTGTAACTGTACAGGGGGTCACTTTCTGTCTAGGTAGGTACACAGAAGGGATGCTCTGTAGGCTGTGACTGTATAACTGTGCAGGGGGTCACTTTCTATCTAGGTAGGTACATAGAAGGGATGCTCTGTAGGCTGTGACTGTGCAAGGGGTCACTTTCTGTCTTGGTAGGTACATAGAAGGGATGCTCTGTAGGCTGTGACTGTGCAGGGGGTCACTTTCTGTCTAGGTAGGTACACAGAAGGGATGCTCTGTAGGCTGTGACTGTATAACTGTGCAGGGGGTCACTTTCTGTCGAGATAGGTACATAGAAGGGATGCTCTGTAGGCTGTGACTGTGCAGGGGGTCACTTTCTGTCTAGGTAGGTACATAGAAGGGATGCTCTGTAGGCTGTGACTGTATAACTGTGCAGGGGGTCACTTTCCGTCTAGGTAGGTACATAGAAGGGATGCTCTGCAGGCTGTGACTGTGTGACTGTGCAGGGGGTCACTTTCTGTCTAGGTAGGTACATAGAAGGGATGCTCTGTAGGCTGTGACTGTCACTGTGCAGGGGGTCACTTTCTGTCTAGGTAGATACATAGAAGGGATGCTCTGTAGGCTGTGACTGTGCAGGGGGTCACTTTCTGTCCAGGTAGGTACATAGAAGGGATGCTCTGCAGGCTGTGACTGTGCAGGGGGTCACTTTCTGTCCAGGTAGGTACATAGAAGGGATGCTCTGCAGGCTGTGACTGTGCAGGGGGTCACTTTCTGTCTAGGTAGATACATATAAGGGATGCTCTGCAGGCTGTGACTGTGCAGGGGGTCACTTTCTGTCCAGGTAGGTACATAGAAGGGATGCTCTATAGGCTGTCACTGTGCAGGGGGTCACTTTCTGTCCAGGTAGGTACATAGAAGGGATGCTCTGTGCTGGCCCAAGGCCTGGCTGTATGGTCACACTGAGGGGCTGCACACAGGACAGGGGATACACATGACATGACACAGTAGAGTGGTGTATGTGAGGACACCCCAGGCCTTCTACTGGTCACATGATCTCCCCCTGAGCAGGAAGCCCAGAGAAGAAGATAACAGGAAGAACCCTGACACTAGAGGATGGTGCCCTCACCTCCATGGTGGACACTGTGCTGGTGAAGAGGTCCTCGCCGTCATCCAGCTCCTCAAAGTCAGTGTGTCTCCCATCCCCAAGCGGTGGGGGCTCCCTCTCTGCTGCCATCTTGACTCAAAACTGTCAGAGCAGCAGCTCCTCCCTCCTCCTCCTCCCTGCTCAGCTTGTGCGATCACGTACAGGCCAGCGCGTGACCCTCTCCAGGGTGACCAGCGGGCGTCACCTGGCGCGGGATGGAGCCAATCACAGGAGAGATCACTGGGAGGACAGCGCGGCCATCTTTGGTACGGGCAGCTTCCAAACTGAGGACAAAATTAGATTCTTCATTTTTATCGTGATAGGAAATAGAGTTTATACTATTACATTGTGTGTATATTCCTCTCTAATTCTGCCCTCCTCCTTCTAATTCTGCTCTTTAAAACGCTTTTACCGTTGCATCTAGGTTAAGACTTTAACCCCGCCTCTACCCGCCCACAATCTTGTAACTCCGCCCCGCGCACACATCTTGCTCCGCCTCCTAGTCACAAATATCATGCTGCATCCAGCCTTCCTCTATTTGGCCCCGCCCCCTCGCCTTGAGACCCTGCCTCCAGGTAGTGAGCTCCGCCTACCTAGTGCTGCTAATACACTGCCTGTGTGTTGCTCTGCACCTCACACACAGCGCATCAATCAGTGTGTTAATATAGACTGCATTAAAGGGACACTACAGTCACCAAAACAATTATTTCTTCTTACTCACATTGTTACAGCCATCATTTAGCTTACAGGACCTTCATTTGCCTCTGTATAGTGCCATATGTCTCTATAAAGAGATGTAATCACCCTGTATGCAGAAGCATGTAGACAAATATGCATCTACAGAGAGGTATTTACAAGCATGTCATTTTTAGAGACATATGTAAGTGCGTGCCTCTATAGAGAGGCCTACACAGTATATGTCTCCACATAGAGTTATTTACATGCATATTCATTTCATGGAGGTTTGTGTATGTCGCTATGTAGAGGCTTTATACACATACTTTTGCCTTTATAAAAAGATATGCTTGAAAATACCGGTATATAAAAATATTTATGTATATGCCTCTGTAAAGAAGTATATGCATGCATGTGTCTATACAGAGGAATGTATATAAATATGTCTTTGTATAGAGGTATTTACATTCAAACCTTTCTACAAAGACATCCATAGAAATTTCCACCAAAGTGAGAATTTAAAGTGAATTTCAAATTTAAGGCCAATGTAGCAGAACTGAAAAAAAAGTCTAAGTCTGCAAAGCTTTCAGTTCATCTAACTTTGTCTAAAACTTGAAACAAGGGCTGGCCATAGGGGTGTGCAAGCTGTGCAGGTGGTGCCGGGCGGCCGACACAGCTCACACATGTCCGGCTACCCAAGTGGTGGATCTGCACACGGGACTATGAATGAAAATAACATGACAGCACGTGTGGCGCTTACTGAGTGATGGGGGTTTACAGAGCTGTGGAGGCGAGATTAAAATGGCTGCGGGGACGGAACTAAAAGTGCCCAGCAACAGAAGCCTGGTAACTGCTGCACAGGAAGTGGGAAGCAGGAAGGAGTCACTGCCTCCACTACTCTCTTCCAGCCCATAAGGGAAAGAGGTAACTGTGTGAATCCCTATGTGTGTGACTATCTGCCTGTGTGTGACTGTAACTGCATGTGACTGTCTGCCTGTGTGTGACTGTAACTGCATGTGACTTTC